TCAAAATTACACTAGAAATCAGTTAAAACATAATTCACACTGATCCGGGCACTCTGTCAAAAGTTACAGACTAAATAGAAAGTGTGGGGCACGATTTGGCGCCTACAACTTTTGAATCGTAGACTGAAATCCTTTTTTGGTTCTAGAACTTTGAAAATTTAACCATCTTGCTAGATTTTCCTTAGAAAAACAACTTTTTCGGTTGGCAATTTACCTGCGAAACATGATCAGTGTGGAGGTCCACCATTTGCGCCACGGAAAGCAGTAGAAATTGCTAGAGAAGATTCCAAAGAATAGATAACACTAACAGATTTAATAAGTAAGATTTTTTTGAAAATTATAAAAGAAAAAATAAGTTTATATGTAGTGTGAATCGATAGGGAAAGTCTAGAGTCATTGCCTAGATAAGCACTTTCGAGAATCGGAGAAAGAGAGAAAAGAACAACTTCTCAAAGAAAAAGAAAGAGATTGCTGACTATGAGTCATTAAGAGATAAGTTTCCTTGGATGCGAAATACTTGGCATACAAGAAATTGTGAAATAAACATTGTGGACTCATTGTGAGCTCAACATCGTGGACTCATTGTGAGCTCAACATTGTGAACTCATTGTGAGCTCAACATTGTGGACTCATTGTCAACTCAACATTGTGGATTCATTGTGAGCTCAACATTGTGGACTCATTGTCAACTCAAAATGGGATTTATGTGTCTTGTCTTGTCTATGTATAGAGATTGAACCCAGACCAATAAAGTTTATCGTTTTTAAAAGTATTCTTTTTGTAATTCTTTGTATTTTATATTGCAGTTGTAATTCTTTTTTAAAAGAAAATAACAAAATAGTAACTTTACGGTGGTTAAAAAGTGTGGATAGTTCAATGAAGATGATGTGTAGAATTCCCGTATTTCATTATGATGCGTTTATCCATACACAAGTTATTGGTGGAGAGAGAAGTGATTTTAAAACAAATTAATTGAAATGAGCGACTGGACGAAGAGTAAAAGGGGCTCCTTTTAAGCACTCTGAGACATTGAATCACAGTGTTTCAAAATATATACAAAGTTGGTTATAAGAACTATTCAAAGACAGAAATTGAGTCAATTTAGTTCACAGAACTAGACTTCATGTTGTTTCAAAAGATTTTTAAAAGCAATAGGGATGATTTTCCACTGGTACCGTTTGATTTGGCTGGTTGTAGTGAACGATTGAAATGTTCAGGTCACGTTGAAGGTCACGGACTCGGCGATACGCAAACTGCAACACACATTGGACAAGTTTTTGCGATGAGGATTCCGATAGGAGAAGCAGCAGTGAAACCGGAAGCTATTACCCCCATTGACCCAATGACGAAGGCTGCTCCACATGCAGTCAAGCACGCAATGCAAGCGAGGGGCCCAGCCTCGACTTTGAGGACGAGTGGGCTCGCGAATAAAAGCAAAAGGAATAACATATGGCAGGCAGGGCCCTGCATTTTGTTGAAAGTCTATGAATTTGCAGTAGAAACAATGACAAAACCCTTCCAGCGTTTGTTGTGCGCGGCTATAAGAGCTCTCTTTTCCTTGCAAAATCTTATTGTTGAACGTTTAAGAGTAAACATAAAATTGATTTCACAAGATGATATAGGTTTGTTTAACTGTTTTGATACAACTTAATTCCCTTCATACCAATGATGCCACTGATCCGATCGATGCTTAAGCTTATGAAAGCTTGGTTAATCATTCAGAAGTGAAGTCTTCGAAGGCTCAAAAGAGCTCAAAAGCTCAAAAGAGATGCTAATGACTGATTTCGTAACCGGTGTTTTCCCTAATGCCCATCTTTCTATCAATGTTGACATAGCTATCCTATTTTGTGTGTTTTTCTCATGCAAGAGAGTAAGTGGGATAAACAGGCTTCTTATCAATTTGGAAAAAGCTAGAAAACTATACAAGTTTCTGTGAATTTTCATATTTCTGCCGCTTTCTTGAATGAAAAAAAAGGTGGCACTGATTGAAGATGATTCCTCTTAATTGAATATAAGCTAGCAAAATAAAGCAAAGAATCATACGGCAAAAACAACAACCGTAGCCACACTAAACATGAGAAACTTCAGATTCGAACCTGTTCCACCAACCTCGATCCCATTCTCAGCCGTTTCTTGGCCGGTTGCTCTGAAACTTTGTCTACAACCAGAGAATGCCAATTTTTATTTGTAAACAAAATTTCAGAGCAATTGGCCAAGAGATGGCTGAGAAGGCGAAGGTGGAATTAGGTTCGGGTTGAAATTTTTCCATTTCTAAGCCACACGACTCTCAGATAATGGAGAATGGAAAAGAAACTTTCTCTCTAGCCAGTATCCATAGAAAGACTATAATTAAATTGGCAAAAAAGACTCGTCAAAAAGCAGGAAATCAATCAGAAATCATCACAAAGTAGAGCAGTTAAAGAAATAGAATTGACCTAACGATATATTAGTGAGACCCTACAGACTGAAACTGAAGACATTTTTCATTGCTATCAACTATGTTGATATCATGGTTGATGCTATCATCAACCTAGGCAGGCTTAGGGGTATCGCGCATGTAATAGGAGATGCATACTATGATTGGGACCCCTTAGTATACCGTAAAAACTCTAATAGAACGACCTTCTATAGCAGCGTTGCGTGGTCTAAGTTTACCCTCAAACAAACGCTCAGATCTCGACACCAGTACGTTTGTTTCTACGGGCTTGGGTATCAAATTAAAGTAGAGAGGATGAATGATTTTTTGAGATGTAACACATATTATTAGCATTAACCAGCGCTTAGAAAACAATGATTGAAAAGCGGCAAAAAACCGATTTTTCAGCATTTTTCAATCATTTTGTTCTAAGTGCTGGTTAATGCTAAAAATATGTATTATATCTCAAAAAATAAACTTGTATTGTATTTGTATTTGTAAACTAACAAGGGAAGGTCAACTGTTGTCAAATCCCGTAAATATTCTAATAGAACGACCTTCTATAGCAGCGTTGTGTAGTCTAAGTTTACTCTCAAACAAACGCTCAGATCTCGACACCAGTACGTTTGTTTCTGTGCGCTTAGGTATCAAATCAAAGTAGAGAGGATGGGTGATTTTTTTTTTTGAGATATAATACATATTCTTAGCATGAATCAGCGTCTAGAAAAATGATTGAAAAGTGGCAAAAAAGAGCCGATTTTCGCAGGAAAGTTAACAGGATTAGCCGATAAATGTGTGATTTGCTTTAAATAAAAAAAAGATTAACGATTAGGTTTAGCTTTTATTAGGCAAATTTGAAGCTTTGAAGCTTTGAAGCAAATTCGAATGGAAAAAAAATTAAATAACGCGAGCTTTTCAAAATTTCTTAAAGAACAATTTGTAAATAAATAATAGAAGTTTTTCATAAAAAAAATCATAGATCAATTGGTCCATTATTGATTTTAAAAAAATAGCCTTTAAAAAACAGGACAAGACTTTCTGGAGAGCCATTTCTGGCCAACTCAAGCGCTTTAAAGTTTGCTTGCCTTGGTTTAGAGTTTACTAAATTCTACAGAGTTGTGAAATCTTTGTTTCCTTTCGTTCTTTAATCAGAAATCATTTGATTTCAAGGGAAAATTCCTCAATCTTTGATCTGTTTTTGATGACTCATCCAGAAAAGCGGAAAATCCCTTAGGGATTCCCGAGTCAACAAACAAATGGGTGAACACACGTGAACAACTTTGTACGTTCTATTGAAATGAAAAGTGAATGAGTGAAAGGGTGAGGAAAGGGATATTGGCTCAGGCTCAGGCTTAGGCTTAGGCTTAGGCTTAGGAAAAAAGAAGGTCGATTTAGGATTACTCGACGTAAAAACAGCCGATTGTTGATCGAGAAAAGCTTTGAGAACGAGAGAACAGAGTGCAATACATCTAAAACGTGTTCATTACTCTTAAAAGAATCTAAATTGTCAGAATTTAACAGAATCGTCTTTAAAAAATCAGTTTTTATTGGTTTGTACGGAAATTCTTTGCCGCCTGAAATTCCTGCCCGAGAAAATTCCTGAATCTTTGATCTGTTTTTGATGACTCATCCAGACAAACCGGAAATTCCCTTAGGGATTCCCGAGTCAACAAATAAATGGGTGAACACACGTGAACAACTTTGTACGTTCTATTGAAAGAAAAAGTGAGTGATTCAAAGATGATTTCGGTGATCTCTCTTTTTTGATCTCTCTTTTTTGGGTCATTTGATGTGTAACAAAAAGGGTGAGGAAAGGGATAAAAACTAGATAAATGAACGTTGCCAACGGGTAAAACAAAACCCACATTTCCTGGTTTTAAAATCAAAAAAACATTTGATTGATTTGAAAGTTTTTAACTGTTTCAACCAATTTTAACTAGACTAATCGGCTTTTTTGATTGTTTCAGCCAATTCTTGATCTTTAACCATACAAATTGACAAAGCTGGTCCTCAAAGCTGGTCAAAACCATACAAATAGACAAAGCTTGGCGCTCTTTTTGTTCTTTCCAAGTTTACTCAACTTATTCCAAAACAAAAAACAGTCAATCTTTCGTTTCGGGAAAAGTTGAAAATTGATTATAAGTGCTTTGAAGAACTTAAAATCCTCAAAAACCCTTATCATTTTCATATTCAAAATCTGTTTTAAACTATTTTCCTTTAAATGACGATTTCTATTAAAAAAAGGTTTCAAAATTTTTGAATTTTTTGATTGAATTGAAATTTACTTCAACTTTTTATCTGTTAATTAATCTTTTTAATAAGATCCCCTTTACAAAATCTATTTATTAAAAAGATTAACACGTTGACGACATTGTCACCTGATGCTGTCTGACACATATTTGTTCGCCTGGGACATTGTCACCTGATGTCAGGTGACAGTACCAAAATTGATTTTTTTGTGCATATTTATGTTTGCTGATGATGGATATTAAATAATTCAAAAACTTTGAAAACTTTTTTAACTTAACAATCTTTAAGTTTATCTTTTTTTGTTTTATTATTTAACCAAAAAAAAACTTTAGAAATGCGATCGCTATGGTTATTAGGACTGATAACAAGTATGTAAACAGTTCAATTTCAATAAAGTCAACCAACTTTTAGTTGCTGAATGTGGATGGTTCTCGGATCTGTTTGGTGGTGGAACGAAAAGTCCACAATTTGTGACTCCGAACTTGAATATTAAGACAATTGTGAGTCAACTTTAAAGTCATTGAAATTCTTTCTGTGAAATCCTAAGATTCTTTTACTTATTTTAAGATTTATCCATGTTTTCCTCTTCAAATGAAAGTTCCAGGATGAGGCCAGCAAAAAACCGCTGAACATCTCTCTTGAAAAGCCAATTCAAAACGGGCAAATGGTGAACGTGCAAGGGAAACTACTCTGGGAAAAGTTGGAGTTGGTTCTAGATTTGATTTGAATTTAGCACATTGTGTATTTGTGTTTTCTAAAGGATGGATAATTTGAAAAGCTTGTCTTTCCTTCACATTTTGCTCCCATTCGATTCAGAATTCGTTTCTTCATCTAATGAGCTCAAAAATTGATTGAATTGAACAAAATCTGAAAGAAAGATTACGGTAGGTTTTCCATCTTTGAATCTTTTAACCTTTTAACCTTTAACCACCTTTGTGGGACATTTGATGCGCGCCCTACCACTTTGCCATTGGCTCCAACTTTGAACTCAAATATCTTGGTGTTGGACTATTCAATTTAAATAGTTTTTGTACTAATCGACAGAGAAAGACTTGGCGTATCCAATGATACCAAGAATATTCAAATTGGATAGCCCAACACGAAGATATTTGAGCTCAAAGTTAGATTGCTAATGGGAAAAGGTCCCCGAACCCCGCCTTCTTTGCCAATAGTAATCCAACTTTGAGCTCAAATTTCTTGATGTTGGGCTGTTCAATTTGAATAGTTTTTATATCAATCAACAGAGAAAGACTTGGCGCATCGAATGATACCAAGAGTATTTAAATTGGATAGCTCAACGCAAAGAAATTTGAGCTCGAACTTCGATCAAAGTTAGACAAACCATTTTCAGTCTCTGCCTCAAATTTCTCACCGTCAACAGCACCGAGGTGGCCACCGTTTGTACAAATTCAACGAATGGCATCGATAACAGTCAGTAATGCTTTTAAAATAGAGATTTTATAAGTTTATCGATACAATTCGATCGTTTTTGTTTACCTAATTGAGTTATAAATGCAAAAAACATGGTTTTCCTGATATTTTCTATTTATTACTATTGCTAATTTTAAAAACTGTATTGAATTTAAGCCCTTACTCACCTAATTTCCTCGAAGAATGAAGTATTTTGCAGGAGTGAACTTTATGACTCGTTTTCAAAATGGGACCGAATTAAAGGACTGGACGCCGAGCCCGTTAAAGGTTTCTTTTTCAACTCTACACCTATAAAATTTAAGTTAGGTAACAAAAAATCGATCTATTGACACGAATAATTTGTTTAAATCAATTATTTAACAATTTTTGCTTAGCTTTTGCTTTTAAAATCGAAAAATAAAGCAATTTTTTTACAGCCAGGCGCCTCATTTGATCTCCGGGTGCGAATTTTGCCGAAACATATCCAGGTTTGAAATTAGAAAATCAAATAAAATCCATTTTTGATCAATTTTTGAGCTATTTTTGATCAATTTTAGGTTTTTGTTGATAAAGGAGAAGTAGCGATTTTCTGGAAAGCTGAATCTTTTGATTTGGTAAAATTATGAATCTTTTTTTTTGTCATTCAACAAATTCAGGTCCGAAACATCACTCTGAATGGGACTTTTCAAGAAATTTCTTTGTTCAGGTATTTCTTTTTTTAAAATAACAAGTAAATTGATGAAATTTTAGCCTTGAGGGAGCTGAATACGCGAATCCATTCACGGCAAAACTCGAGTTCAAATATGGATCTCGTTTAGATATCTCCGGGCAACCGCTCCCTGAAGGTTTGTAGGAAGGAGTGACTTTGATGGAGCGCTTGTTAAAGTTTACTGATTATTACGCTAAAATACCGTTCCAGCATCACTTTAACAGCTTTTTTACTTTGAGTTTACTTTCGAAAAACCCAGCAAACGTCTTCTTTCCAACTTCTTTCTTGAGTAGACTTTTCGAAGAACAAAAAGAATCATTTGTGCAATATTTATCATTGATAGTATGCTGTGGAACTCTTTCAAAATTCTATTTAACTCAAAGGTTTGAATTTGAATTTAATTCTTGCCGATTTATTGACTTGAGAAAGCTAAAGAACTTGATTTTAAGAGATAAAGCGATAAAGCCTTATTAAAAATCTAAAAGCCTAATTCAAAACCTACCGTAGAGACTGTAATAGTACCCAACCCCATAATGACGGTGCGAAGTGTTGCGTAGTCTAGCTTTGAACGAGTTTTTCTCGACACTGGTTTATGCTACAATGCGCGCTTAGGGACTAAAAAATAGCTGAAATTCAGGGCTATTTTTTGATACCAAAAAGGCATTTTTTGAAAGTACAGGCGCTTTGAAAAAAATGAAATACTAAAAAGCTTTTGCGACTAAGCTACTGTACGAGGGCGGTGGGGTACTATTACAGTATTTACGGTATCTCATATCTGTTTACTGTTGTTGAAATTACGAAAAATAAACGTCATTTATTATGTACAATACGGTCATTCTGCGATTATTTCAAAATTTTCAAAGCTTACATAATGTAGCAATCCTTAGACTTAAAAACCACACGTTCTTTTTTTTTCTTGTGCTTGTTAGAACCCAAATAAACCGCTTCGAGCTTATGAAAAACTTAAGATTAAGGCAAAAACTATTGTCTTAAGATTAAAATCATGATATTAAAACTATTATAGTGCACGACTTGTCCGAGATGAACCGATTGCTCAGTGGAAACGAGGAAATTAGCGATCAGACGAACAAAACTGAGGTAAAAGTTTACTTTGAAAGTGTTCCCCATGCTCAGCTGAATATCTTCTAGTTTTGTGGAGAGTTTCAAACAAAAGGAGCAGCTACGAAAGGCTGCAGCTACACAGAAAAAGAGGGAAAGCTTCGTAGCTTTCATAGCTGCTCTATTTCTTTGAATTTTCTCACAAAATGAAAAGATATTCAACTAGGGCTTAGGGGAACACTTTGAAAGTATAGGTAGAAGACGTCTCAAACTCAACCACCACATTGTTCAATGATGTTCAAAATGCGCCCAAAATTGATCCAGATGAGGTGGCCGCAATGGCACAACGAATCAGGAATCTCACTGTTTTGAAAGGTTTGTTGACTGTTGATTGTCTAGATTGCCTAGATTGTCTAGACTGTCTAGATGTCTAGATTTTGAGTTTCAACAGTACCGAAAAGGAACCAAATCTGTACCAAAAAGGAAGAAAAGAAAAAGGTACTTATCAATCAAACAAAATATAGAATGACTCTTGCATTTGGACAAGTCACAATCACTTTAACAGTTAAATAAATCAAACCCAACTTTCAGAAGCTCTCGATATAAAGATTCGAATGAAACGGAGAAGTGGAGGAGGCAGAGGCAGTTCATCGAGGGGCTCCTCAGCTTCAAGGTTGAACAAAAGTTTGACCAAATTTTGTAGCTCAATTCAATCTTATCTTTTTAAAGCTCAAGAACAAATCAAAACTTACAATTACCTAGTCTTTCAGAAGCTCTTCCTCATCGAGAAGCTCTTCCTCGTGGTCTTCTTCTAAGTCCTCGTCTTCTCGTTCTTCTTCGTGGTTCTCTTCTTCTTCAAAATCAGCCTCTTCCAAGTCTTCATCATCATCGTGGTGGAAGCCATCATCAAAATCTTCCTCATCCTCTTCATCATCCTGGTGGAAACCCTCTTCTTCCTCTTCTTCATCTTCATCCTCCTCATCTTCATCATCTTACTTCAAACCCAGCTCCACCAAGACGCAAGACTCGAACAAGAAAACTGATTCTTGGTGGAACAAGCAATCTAGTGAGTTTTTTAGAAAAGCTGGGAACGAGTAAACACTTTGAAAAGAAAGAACAATCAAAACTGTTTTCAGCACCGACACTTTGAAAATTGTGAGACAACATTATGTTAAGATTTCTCGGCAATTGTTGAAAAATAGAGTATTCATGTATAGCCAATGTTTTGAAATTTACCATGACTATGAGTCTTCAGGTCCCACCAAGCCAAGCACATCGAGAGGATGGTTTGAGAATAAGGACACCCCGTCCACCAAAAATAGAGGCGGCTCAATGGCTAGACAACAAGCGATGGAAAAGCAAAAAGGTATTCAGATAAGAAAATTTCAATTATGACCCTTGAAAACACAATTTATTTATTTCTATATTAGAGGCGTCATATTAGAATTAATAGATAAATTAAGAGATATATTTATATATTAAATTAATATATAAATTTTAGCCAAAACTTTTTACATCTACATTATATGATAGTCTGTCGTACATAAGAGATTTTCAAACCACCTTTTTTAAGCAAGTGTCCCCTTTTTTCAAGGAAACACTGAGCAATAAAGTATATGGTTTAAATTTGTAGTTATCCTAATAGTTTTTTATTATGCACCACGGGAAAGTTTTAATTTTATGGCAAATGGTGATGACCCACATGGTTGTAGTGACATATGTATAGAGGAGATCATGATATGGTAAAAATCATGAAAAGATATCAAAAATTTGCTTTATTGATCACTTGATCAGCGTTTCCTTGAAAAAACGAGACACTTCTTTAAAAAAGGTGAGTTTAAAATCTCTTAAGAGGAACAGATTATCATATAAGGTATTGGGTTGGTGAATTGAAAACTGCCGGACTTTGAACAAAAATTTATTCAACATAAAACCATGAATTCATTCCAAATAATTTCCATTATTATTGACGACTTCTGCCCATTTTACAGGCAATTTGCGGATTCCTCTTTCGTAGTAGGATTTTGGTTTGTGTGCGAGACAAGTGTGAGACTCAAAAATCGAGGACTGGAGATGTCCCAGTTTGAGCACTTTCTTCAAAAGAAACCCATTTTGATGTCAATGGAAAAGTTGTAGAGAATCAAAAATTAGGCTTATAGCCAAATTTCCAAAAAGATACACTTAGTAGTTTCGCTTAAAATGCAAGTTTTGTGTAGCTTCGTAAATTTGGCATTTCTTGAAAACCAGTTTTTGAATCGTTCTGAAAATCTGGATATAAGCTTAATTTTTGATTCTCTACAACTTTTCCATTGACACCAAAATGGGTTTCTTTTGAAGAAAGTGCTCAAACTGTCACATATGACAATAGCCAGCAGTTTTCAATTCACCAACCCAATAGATGAATAAAGTGTTTGGTTAAAAACCTTAGTTTATATATTAACTCTAATACTGACACCACGATGACAGTAGAAAGGTTTAATTTTATGCCAAAAATCTCATGGTGGTGGTATGAGAATTTTTTGTATAAAGAGATCATGATATGGTAAGAATTATGACAAAAGATGAAAAATTTGCGACTCCAAAAAAATCATTTTTGACCTACCACTTTGAGCAACTTCCAGTTTTTTAGAAATTTGACACAAAGTTACTTTTTTTCGGACATCCTGTAGCTTCGGAATCAGCATAAAATTCTGCCTCGAATGGTCTAGATCGCATAGCGTTTGGCTCAGCCAGTTGACCTGGTTCATTTTAAGAATTGTCTGAACCAAAAATTGTCTTTTGTTAGTACACTTTAGCACAAAGTGCAACTAAAGATATGCAAAACTTTGAAAATTGGTTTTCTATGATTTTCTGTTAAAAATTCAACTCCAGTGGAAAACAATCAGTGGAACGACAAGCCAAAGTGGTTCGGTAGTCGGAATCGTGGTTTCTCCGATGCCCGGAAACAGTCAACTCTCAAACGTAATGATTTAGAAATGATAAAAAGCTGTGAAACATTAGATTGCTTAATAAAAATATCAGTGTTTTTCTCACAACAATTTGTTTCAGAATGGAAACCGGCCGCTGTTGGGTTCACGGGTGGATTTGCCACCGGTTATCTGACGCACTCTTATGTGCCCAGTTACAGGTGAGAATTTGTAGATAAACTTACAATTCTTGTAAGTGAAGGTTTCAAAATTGATTGTGAAAATTTGAAAAAGGTTCCATTGAGTTACAAATATTTTCCCAATAATTCAGTCACAACATCGGACATTTAATACGCGCCCGCCCTTTTTCCCATCGGCATTCCAACTTTGAGCTGAAATTTCTTTGTGTTGGGCTATCCAATTTAAATATTCTTAATATTATTGGATACGCCAAGTCTTTCTCTGTCGATTGGTACAAAAACTATTTAAATTGAACAACCCAACACGAAGATATTTGAGCTCAAAGTTAGATTGCCGATGGGAAAAGAGGCGGGGTTGTGGGACCTTTTATACACGCACCGCCCCTTTTCCCATCAGGAATCTAACTTTGAGCTCAAATATCTTCGTGTTGGGCTATCCAATTTGAATATTCTTGGTATGATTGGATGCGCCAAGCCTTTATCTGTTGATTGGTACAAAAACCATATAAATTGGACAGCCCAACACCAAGATATTTGAGTTCAAAGTTGGAGCCAATGGCAAAAGGGACGTCTCAAACGTCCCACAATGAAGTTTAGCTATCGCTACGCTGGGCACACCTATTATCACTCGAGTTGCTACGATTGTGGATACTATTGTTATTCGTGCGGTTATCCGCAAGTGCACAATCACTATTATCGACAATCGAGAGTCGAACGGCCACACCAACCACTGAGAGAAGCCGCTCCTGTGCCAGTTAGTGAGTGATCTCAATTGGAATCCTTCAAAACCAAATCCTTAGCTAAAAACAATCAATATTGAGTCAATGCCAGTTTCTTGTCCGTTCTTATGAAATTTTCTGACAGTTTTCGTTCATTTATCCATAAAGAGTTACTGATTACAATTTGATTTTCAGGTGAACGCTTCAACATCAACTTCTTGACAGGTGATGATGTGCCCAAATTCCAAGTAAGCCATTCTTTTCACATTTTAGACTATTTCATTGACTTGATAAATAACAGACTTAAGAATTTTAGAGATATAATATTTTCTTTTCAGATCTCCGTCCGCTTTGATGAGGGAATGATCGTGAGAAACACGTTTTACAACGGAAAATGGGAAAAGGAGGAAAGAGATGGGGAATTACCGATTGACAATTGGAAAGTGTAAGTGATTGGAAAGAAATAGATTTCAGCAATAGATTTTTTGCACTTAGCAAAGTTAGTTTATGATACAATTTGCGTAGTTGACGAAGTTGATTTAACAATTTATTTAAACAGACAAAATATTGGGGAATTCCTTTCAAAAAAACAAAAGCTCGACCACGAATTTGAGTATTTGAGTTCCAATAAGGTTCCAATACGGTTCCGATACTGTTCCAATAAAGAAACAATGCTGTGAAATGGACAAATAAGGGTCCGGTAGAAGGTCCGTACTTTAGAAAACACTAAAGTTAACAAATAAATAATCTGTGGAAAATGATTTAAAACAATTGCCGTGATATTTGTAATAGTAGCACCCTCATATTACGTACAGTCGCGTAGTCGCTGAAGTAAATCAGTTTTTGCGTCCAGATTTTTCTAAAATAAACTCTTAGTACCAAAAAATCCTTCGCTTCAAGCGCTATCTTTTGAGATCTAAACCCACATTTTTCGTCGAAGCAGCGCGGAGAACCGAGTGTCACAAAATTGTATGTTAGACTACGCGACTGTACGGGGAACTATTACAGGTATTTGCGGTATTATATCCCAACATAGTTCATTAAACAAAACGTTCTATGACATCAGAATACTCAAAATAGAATAGAAATTCTTCTACATGCAACCCAAGGTCAGTCCACCCAAAACCACAGCCAAGGTAAGTTCAGACAAGAAGACAACGCTCAAAACAGGCAGCTCCAGAGTCAACCCAGGAAAAAGGGCAAAACTCAATCTGGTCAGTCCAGAGCTAGAGTTGAGCTAGAGCTAGCTAGAGCTAGAGTTCAGTCCAGAGCTAGAGCTAGAGCTACAGTCCAGAGCTAGAGCTAGCTAGACCAAAGGCCAATCGAGAAATCAAACCAATCAAGCCAATCCAGTCAAAACCAAACAAGCTATCTTTTTTCTAGATTCGACATGACATTGACAAACTCTCAGGAAGAATTAGTGATCTACTTTGGTGGTCAGCGATTCGCCTATTTCAAACACCGAAAAGCCTCGAAATTCTTGTCCAAAATCACAATCGATGGAGATGTTGAGGTAAAGAAATAGATTTTAAGCTTAGAGATTCAAACGTATTCTGTCACTCAGTTCTAACGACTAATTTAGATTCACAAAATTGCTCTCAACAACAAGCTGATCACTGCTTAAGAAGTCAATCGAAATGTTGTACTTAATGGAGCTTCAAATTGGGTTTTGTTGTGTCATTACTATATACTTTTTTGAAAGAATGATAAAATTTAAAGGTTAAAAAAAAGATACAGAGTAAATAGTGATGATTATATTGTCTGTGAAATATTTGTTTCCTATTTGGTTCCTATTTGGTTCATATTTCTTCATATTTGGTTCCTAGCTAAGCCTAAGCCTAAGCCTAAGCCTAAGCCTAAGCCAAGCCTGAGCCTGAGCCAATCCCAAGCAAGCCGGAGCTCAGCCTCAAACCCAAATAGACTTAGTGCTAGGCGCTAGCCGCTAGCCTTCGCACTAAGTCCAAGCCTCCGCCAAGCCTGACCGAGCCTAGCCTAAGCCAAGCCTAGCGGCCGCCAAGCCGCCTAGCCGCCAGCCCCCAAAGCTGGCGGCGCGCCCGCCTACGCACTAAGTCAGCCTGAGCCTGAGCCTAAGCCTGAGCCTGAGCCTGAGCCTAAGCCTAAGCCTAAGCCTGAGCCTGAGCCTGAGCCTAAGCCTAAGCCTAATTCTTCATATTTGGTTCCTATTTGGTTCCTATTTCTTCATATTTGGTTCCTGTTTCATTTCTATTCGGTTCCAATAACCAATCTTTGTTTAAGATCTCTGAATCTTTGTTTAAATTGTTTGGCTTGGTCGTCACTTTCAGATTTTTTCGCTCTTAAACTTTATCTTTGTTAATAAATTATTCTATAGAATAGAGTTCCTAAAAACCATTTTAGAAAACTACTGTAGTCAGCTAAATCTCTGTATTATTAACTGATCTCTGTATTAACTGTTTAAATGTGCCTTGTGATTCCACATCAAATGATACCAAAATTAGGTTGTTTACGTGATCTGCCAGTTTGATTACGATAGTTTTTGCAAGATGCTTGGAACTGGGTTGGCGGGATTGATGCAGATTAAAGCCTAATTAAAGCCTGGTCTGCCCTGGCTTACCTGGTGAGTTTTCCAAATTGAGTACACTGCGATGTTTGCAGGAAATCTTGACTAAAACGAGTTCACCCATTTTTCTCAAATTTTTTTCGAGCAACTTGAAGTTTTTGTTTCAAATACCTGTAATCTGGATGGCACTAGGAGTTTTTACGCATTTAAAAATCTTGAACCTGATCTTTAAGTCCAAGTCAAACCTAGTTCTCCCACTTTTCTCAAAATTTCCCCAATCAACTTTAGGTTTTTGTTCGAAATATTTGTAATCTGGATGGCACTAGGGTTTTGCCATGGATTGACGGCAGAGTGATTCGGCTTTGATCCCCGTCAATCCCAGTTAAAGCCCGAAAAATGCTTTACAATGATTCAATTCGACTCGATTGCAAATGCTTTAAAATGATTCAATTCGACTCGATTCAGGAAATTTCCTTGATGAATCAAAAGCTACAGTGGAACAGCTACAGTGGAACTGCTACAGCTACAGTGGAACTGCTACAGCTACAGTGGAACAAATCGTTGTTCGTTGAATCGTTGAAGTTCAATGGTTAAAAATTTGCATTTCATATGCAAATTGTGATAGCTAATAGGGTTGAGAAAGCTTTTTGCAAGCATTATTTAGAGGAACACTCCTAAATCTAAATAAAACTCCTAAATAAAACACTCCTAATTAGAGAAACACTCTATTCCTAAATCCAGACTCTTTCCCGTTTTCAAAAACAAAAAAACAAAAAAACAACCTTTTCCACCTTGTCTCTAAGCAACATTTTTCAAAAATTAACAACCCATTAACATTTGATTCGACAGAAAAACGTCAATGTTTCAGCAATAATTCCTAACTCTGAAATCTCGTAAAAGGCAAGCTGAAATCACAAAACCATAGTTGTTTGCTTTGCGCGAAACGAGCAAAATGACAATTTTTGCAATTTTTGACTAAAAAGGCTCATAAGAGTTTTCATATTTCAGAAAAAAGCTTTTAGAACCCTCAATTGATCTTTTTCCTGGTTCATTTAGAGTACAGCATTGTTTTCTTCTGATCTATTGTGTGCACTTTGATTTCGCTGACTTGACAGACTGACAGACTTAACTGACAGACACTTGGCAGACTTAACTGACAGACATGACAGACTTAACTGACAGACACTTGACAAACTTAACACAAAGTGACAAAAAGCGTGTGTCACGATCGTTTCTCGCTAATATGTTAATAAAAATTTTACACTTTTTAGTTTCTGTTTTTACAACTTGCTCCTGTTATCATAAACTTTTTCAAGAATTACCAAGAATGACAAGAATTCAGTGAATGACGCCAAAATCCAATACGAGATATCAAGAGTTCAAGATGACGGACGAGTGTGAACAGTTGATTGAAAGTGAATCGAAAGTGAATGACGGGAAAGTCGTTGAAGGTACGTTTGCATAACCTTTTACCTTAAAAAAAAGCAATTACAAATCAGCAAAAATATTCAAGGCTGAAACTGGCCTGAAAAGCTGATTTCATTCTTTAATGTCTGATAAATTTTTGATAAACGGATTTACTCTTTTAGGATTTACGTTTACGATAGAACTTTATAAAAATATTACTACACCTACCGATAATATTAGTGAGAATTGATCATAATTCAGACTTCTCCTTTAACTATTACAGTAAATGAATCTTAGATATTTTAAAAATTTCAGGTAAGATTTCAATCGGAAATAGAGAAATGAACAATTTTTCCATCTTTTATCCGCACTCCCTCAAAATCACTAGTCTAATTGTTTCCATTTTTTCTATGACCGACTCTAGTTGAGGCTTACGGTCGTTGAAGCACGTAAGATCAAGTAAACAATGATAAACTTAGCTCTAACAGCAACAACATCAAATCTCCTCTCATTGATCATTTGAAGACACCGAAAACTGCTTTAGTCAAAGAGGATTTCCGGGACGATGTGGCTGTGCTTCGTGCTTTGGCCATCTTAGCCGTTCTCGCTTTTCACCTCTGGCCAGCCACATTTCAATATGGATATCTGGGTGTTGATGTGTTTGTTTCAAAATTTTTCCATAAATATAACAGCTCTAGTTTTTTTTTTAAAACTTATCCTAGTTACTTTTAAACGAGATTCCAAGTATCTGCCACAAAAATGGGCAAAGTGGTTAATCTAGAGCCTTTCAATTTTAGCTTCTTTGTGATCTCTGGCTTTTTGATGATGAGAATTTTGACCCGATCAAAGGAAGGGCCGATTCTACTTTTTCTCAAGTTCTACAGAAGAAGAGTGCGAAGGATTGTTCCGCTTTATTATTTCGTTATGTTTCTAACAGGTGAGCTTTTGATATTCAATATGTTTTCTAGTTGGCTAACAGTTACCTGGTTGTTTTCTGGTTGGCTAACAGCTACCTGGCTGTTTTCTGGTTAGCTAACAGTTACCTGGTTGTCTTCTGGTTGGCTAACAGTCACCTAGCTTCAGATTCGGACGCTAGTTCGGATTCGGACTTAATATTTGCATCGATAAAAAGCTTTCAGGTCTCACCCTGGTTTGCCTTTACACGCACGTTTACAAGAAACGCTATTTTCCTTATTATACTGGTGCTCTGCTTTTTGCGACGAATTTCAAAGTGCAACCGGCGGGTGGTTATTTTGAAAAGGTCAGGGAATACGTTTCTTCTGAAAGATAGTGTTAATGAAAATTAGGTAACTGGTAAAATTTGGTTAAGGGAATGACCGAGTCAATCTCTTTTAACAATCATTTACTCTAGAAAACGACAAACATTCCTTTTCTGCACACTTGGTCTCTTGGAGTTGAGATGCAGTTCTATGTGGTGGCCCCGTTTTTCCTTTATCTATCGAAGTTATGCACGGGTGAGCTTTTGAATCACTTTTATCGATCTTGACCATTCAGCAATAAAGCCATTTTACCTTCTTTGGCCTGCGTGTCTGCTGTTTTCTTTGTACTATCAAGTGACCGCTGAGCCGAAAGACTCATTCTATCATCCGATGGCTCGATTGTGGCAATTCTTGTGTGGAATGTTGGCAATAGTGTTCTTGGAGAAGCTCAAAGGCAAGTCAATTGGTGAAAATTGATAACCGAAATTGATAAACTTTAGCTCTAACTCCAATAACGTTAAACATTCTCTCAACGATTTTCCTTTTGATCATCCTCACAATGTTTTCACCATTTGCGATCACCGTTTTTTCACTGGATCTCCTTCGAATTCTCATCACGATCTCATCAGCCGCTTTCATCTATTTTGCCACACATTGGTTAGTGGCTTGAGAATTGCAGGGTAGGACTTAGAATTTGCCTCAGATTACTGTAGCTGGGGAATCTGAATTAGTTTTTGATAACACGCTTTAGAGCATCTTCTACCGTAAATTGTTTCCAAACGCTAAACGGGCTACGGTAGCTGGTCGGATTTTAGGATCTGAGGCAATTGGGTTTTCAAGTTTACCGTAGGGCCAAGCTTTAAAGCGCCTAATTAAGCTGAAAGTTCGAAGATTTAAAATCTCACATTGAAAATTGCATTTAGCACACTCAAGTGGTCTTTTCTCCACCTCCACCACATTTCCAAAATCTCCTATGCTCTTTATTTGGTGCACTTCCCCGTCATTCGCCTCATCGAATATCTGAAGCCAGTTTATGAAATGAACGATTCAACTGGTAACTTTCCAATCCAAAATCTCTAACTCTACAATTTTGTAGTCGCGTTTGCCTCAATTCTACTCACTTTTACTATCAGTGAAATGCTGCATCGACGATTCGAAGCACCGCTACTTCGAGCGAAAAATCTCAAAGTTGCCCGAGAGTCTTTGAAATATTTCTTCTTATGTTTACTGATTCAATGGAAATGGCAAGTGGTCAAGCCATACGGATGGGGTCGGTTCTTCAATTTGCATAAAAAAAAGGTTAAAGAAAACCTTTGACAAACGTCACTAGCACTGAAAATCATTCCCTTTCCAGACTCTTCAATAGCGTTAGCTGAAAACGACAAGTACAATCACAATTGGGCAATGTATTGCGTCATGGAGGGTGGAGTCTTCATCAATGACACCTTTCGCAATTCCACCAATGACCGTGATCGATGGGCTGTCGAACCACCATTCGGACATTATAGTTATCAGGTTTATATGCAAATTCTCTACCTGAATCTCATTTTCAGGGAAATACGGGTCAACTCAAGATCGTCGTTGTGGGGAATTCGTGGGCGGCACAACATGCTCAAGTGAGTCAGTCAGTGAGCTCCAGTGAGCCTGAGCTCCAGTGAGCCTGAGCTCCAGTGAGCCTGAGCTCCAGTGAGCCTGAGCTCAACTGAGTATAGCCTAACAAGGACACAGAAGTTGTAAGCATTAAAAGTGAAAAGTTATAAAGTACGGAACTTTCCCAAAGCCATTTTGTACTTGACTTTCCAGGCCAGGTCAATAGCTAATTGTAAAACTGGACTGGCTTGGGTATGACCTTTGATCGAAGTTATGACAATAAGCTAGACCGGACCAACATCTGTTGTTGGCATAATAGGATTCAGATATGATAAAGGGATCAATATTTTACAGGTAATGCGAAACATTTTCCCTGGATGGAAAACCGCCGAGTTTCACGTCTTTTCACAAGCCACTTTTGCTCTGGGAATCGACAATGAAGCGGAGCGGATAAAAAGTATGTCTTGTAAGCGAGAACAGACATTGAATCACAGAAAATCTTGTGACTAGAGCCTTTCCTTCAGATCAAGCACCTTTTGTGATGAAATTCCTCGCGGACCTACAGCCCGACTATGTTTTCATTCTTTTGAGGTGACAAATTTGGCTTTTTTTGGCTTAAAAAGGACTGGAATGAGTACTGACGTTTTCAGAGTCTGTAACTTTATTTAGAGATAATATTATCGCTAATTTTTTTCTATAGTTTTAAAGAGGAGACTTAAGGCATTCGAATGATACCAAATAGAGACTGATTGGGGTGCAGAATGTAAAGAAAAACAGAAGACAGGATCACTCTTGTCGCGCTCAAGATCGCACTGTTCTCTCAGTTTTGGCATGATAAAATTTGTCGAAAAATACTAACAAAATTTAGGGCAGAGGATCCTAGGAATTTGAGCATAGTTTGTGTTGCTTCTGTCCAATCGGTATCATTTAAAAACCTGATATGTTCCCTTTCAAAGCTCGGCCAGAAGCCAGAGCTGATCTTGGCCCGTAAAATCGACTTTGGAACAACTCTGCTGGCAAAAAACTCTACCAATTTCAGATATCTAGATGAGAATGATCCATTCACGACTGGGCCTGGCAATGATACAAGAACAGAAGTTTATTGGAAAGGAATCAAAGAAATCAGGTGAAAAAGCTCCATATTTAGCTCATATTTTAGCATATTTACAGCAAAATCGCCAAGCATGTATTCATCGAAGGCCATCAACCCTTCAGATGTGATCATTTACATCGTGACGATCGTTTCACTCGTTTCCTTGATGCTTTGGAAAGAGGAGAAGATTTGAATAAATTCAATATGCCACTCAATGTAAATTTGGAAGAAAGCTTTAGAGCCAATTTAATTCTAGAAAAATGAAACTACCATTTTTTTAGGCTAGTGCTTTTTACAATCATGCGGTTTATAAACGATTGAAAGTAATCACGGAAAGGTGTGCCAATTGTCATCTTCTCGATTTCAGCGCAACGTTTATTGGTGAGTAATGGGCTTGACTATGACATTGACTTGATCAAGACAATGATCATGGGGATTTCAAGGTTATTCAAGACCGAAATAGCTAGTGAGAGATTTGGGTTTGATTTGGAACTTGGTCAACAGCCTTAATATCAAGTTTTCGATTTCGAATCCTAATCGATTGTCCAAATTGTATGAAAGAACTTACAAGGGAAAGGCAACAATAGAATGTGACCAAATGAGATAAGCCATAAACCATTCGACGCAGAATTTTACGCTGATTTCGAATCTGCTTTCCGTTTTGATGATGATGCAAATTTAAATGCTTTTTTGGTGATTTTCATCTATGTTAATTATCATGGTTTAATTTTATAAAATTTCAATTATAGTATAATAGTTTTAATAGTCAATTATAGTACCAAATAGTTTTAAGGTCAGATAAAAATCAGGTGTTAAAACATCAAAACGAAAAACCGTTTTGCCAAAGAGAAATCGAACTCGAGAAAAGAATGACGCGCTCGTTTTGTATGCAAGCGCTTTATCCACTATAGCATCAAGTCAGTGATCAAGACCCGTGAGAGAACCTTTATAAAGGCATCCAACTTTTCGCTTTTTCATCCTAAAACTTAAAACACTTATAAATCTTTATAGAAAGCTATCTAAACGCAAAACAGATTCAGAATCAGCGTGAAATTCTACGTCGAATGGTTTATGGTTTATCTATTTAGTCACATCCTACTGTTGCCTTTCCCTTGTTAGTTTCTAACCTAAAAGAAATTTAATTTTAAGCCAAAAGCAAAGTTATCCAAGCCAAGCCAAAGATAATGGCTTTTAATTGGCCTGGAATCCTGGAACCCTGGAATGGATTTAGGTTAGAACTTTTGCTTGGCTTTTGCTTTGGCTTTGGCTTGGCTTGGCTTTGTCTGGAATTTATGAAAAATTAAGCAACCCTGGGCTATTAGATGAATCAAAGTACCAGATTTCTCAAATACTTCTGCGATAAAATCTTATGTTTTTTTTCTTGCAGATGTCGCGAAAAACGAATTGTCGACCTACGATCCAAAAACGAAGTTTATCTACATGGATGGTGGGTGTCATTTCACGGCCACTGGGCTTAAAATGCTTGAAAAGCCGCTACGGGAAGCAATCGAGTCTGTGCTCAAACAAACCAATAATTCCGGACCTTCTTTACCAGAGTCAGAGGGTCCAGCATTCTGGAAACACGGTGGGAAATACGGGCCAACAATACCGTAAATTTGTGTGCTTTTTTGTGCTCACTAAATGAATATCATATTAAGAGAAATAAACGTTTAACTTTTTACTGAAACACAGTGACTTTGACTTTGACAAATTTCAAGAGTTGAACTATTGTTTTTACTTTTTTTCAGACTTTAATCACAATCAATTTTTGGAGATCCTTGATTGGATAAATCTTGACATCACGGTGTTGTGAAACTCTTCTGAGATCTTCTCTTACAAATCTCATTTGCATTAAATGACATTCACTATCAATGCTTTACCAAACAGTGATGGTGGATTTGTAGATAGAATTCGTGTCTTCATGCTTTATCCTCATTTCCGAGCACTTCAAAGTACCCATTCTTGTTCGTTTTCGTTTTCGCCGACAATACTAGAAGTTAGTTTAAGTCATCTTTAGCATCGATATTGATACTTTTAAGATGTTCTACCGCTCCTGAAAAATTTTCGTTTAAAATCCTCCGATAAGTATGATAAAGATGCTCGTAGTATGGTAGCTTTTTTATAAGCTCAACTTTTAGCACTTTATTCAAGAAGATTGCATGGCAATTTGTTACTTATTCGTTATTCGTTCATACAGGAAATGCAACGCTTACTGCTATAGTGAACCCATTTGCACCCACCTTCATTAGTCTAAACCGTGTCAAGTTTTGCTTGAACTCGTGCTGCTCGAACTGCTCACAAGGGGATGCCATAAAATGGTCGTAGCAGATTTTGACGCCGTTTAGGAACTATAAAATGATTTTCGCTAATTCTGGAAAAGAAAACAAAAGTTTTTTCTGGAGTGGATCCGAACCAGTAGCCAAAAAGCAAAAATAAAGAACGGTTACACGTGCAATTACCACTACGCCATCTGGTCGGAAAAGAGCCTTTAATAATAAAATAAGTCCGCGGCACGATTTCCCGAGTAGGCACCCAAGCTTTGGACACGTTTTTCTTTTGAATATGGGCAAAAACTGAATACAGCATCGGATTCCCCGTGTCCGATAGGTGTTTGCATCTCAACAGTGTCAAAATTTGCATTGGCCCTTGTCAGACATCTTGTGCGAAATCCTTTCCACAAAAAAATACCCATTCATTCACAATATTAGTACTAAAACCGATCACGACAAATCAAAAGTACAGACATTTTTGCTTGAGAAAACTATGGGAAATCCTTTCTCTAAAAAGTAGTTGTTTTATTTTTGTCCATCCAACATCATAGCTGTTTGAATTAAATAGTTTTCATGATTCTTGCGGGTGGGTCAAATGCTACCTTTTTTTTGCTGGAAAGGACCGTAGAGCTTCAAAAATGTTTTCATGCAGGAAAATCGTATGCGTAAATTCCGAATTTCGACAAATCAGACCTCGCTGTCACGTCAAATTTGAGCTAAAAGGCAAAAACTACGCAACTTAACGCTTTTTCGCAGTTTTTGCCTTTTAGCCCAAATTTGACGTGACAGCGTGACAGGTCTGAGCTGCAATTGTAAATCAATAAAATGAATGGCTCCAATCGATTGCCCGATCCTGAAAGCCCCGGGTACAAATTTACAGCAAATATCTTCTTTTCATACCATCCATAAAGTAAAAGAGAAACCCCTATGTAAATGACTGGCAAAGTGTTCTTTGTGCGCGTGCGTAATCGCTCTCCACCTGGCAAACACTCCGGATAGATAGGTGTTCCCTTAATTTCATTTAAAATATATTGTTTTTATCATTGATTTGAAAATCATTGAAGCAACCACAAAAAGCTTTACTACCCGTTCAAAAAGAAGCAATACATATAAATAGATATGTGAGAAATGAGATCTAATGAAATAAACATGTAAATAGGAACTTTGAGTACTTTTTGTTGTGAGTACTTTTGAATTATTCCAATTGGGTGATAGGGATTTTAACACGGCCAAAGTCGCCACCAAAAACGTCCATTGTGGGTGAGGCGCGATCGCCATCTTCTGATGAAGGTGGGCTCTGGAAATGGGAATTTATAAGATTTCGAATTCATACATTTACATTGTGCTTGAGACATTTGATAACTTTTGATATAATAAGTTAAACTGTTCATTTATAATAAGTTAAATGCAAATGCAGATCTAGATCTTGTGCTGAAATCATATTTCTTTTGCTTACCGGCGTGACACTGGCCAAACGCTTGTGGAAGAGAGAATCGGTGGTTTTCTCAAATCGTTTGAACACTCCGAAGACACTCTTTTCAATGCCCACATAAGTGCATCGGTTAACAATCTGAAATATATTTATTAGAGCTATTAAAGCTTGATAAGTAAGCTTGATTAGTTTACTACACTCTGTCAAAAAATTATAGACGCACTCTGTTTTTTGCTAGTTTAGAGCCGGTTATAAGTGCTAGTCCAGTGAAAAGTATTTTTTGTCTACAAGGGAAACAAGCAATATTCGAGCGTGAATGAACTCAAGAAAGCCATTCAAGTAGCCTGGAATCGGCTCCAGCCAACAGCGCTCCATGACCTTGTCTCTTCGATGCCGAGACGTCTTTTTGAAGTTGGGCTAAAGCAAGGAGGGGCCACACATTATTAATTTATTTGTTTTGCGTTGTTATTTTTATTTCTGTTAACTTTTTTTTGATAAAATAAAAGTGCGTCTATAATTTTTTGACAGCTGATAAAACGTTTTTTGTACGATAAAGTACTTTGGATGAGTGAAATGACTTGAAAATTTGCATCGGTTGTTTTTTTTACATTAAAGTAACATTTTACATTACATTATATTAAAGCTGTCAAAAAATTATAGACGCACTTTTATTTTATCAAAAAAAAGTTAACAGAAATAAAAATAACAACGCAAAACAAATAAATTAATAATGTGTGGCCCCTCCTTGCTTTAGCCCAACTTCAAAAAGACGTCTCGGCATCGAAGAGACAAGGTCATGGAGCGCTGTTGGCTGAAGCCGATTCCAGGCTACTTGAATGGCTTTCTTGAGTTCATTCACGCTCGAATATTGCTTGTTTCCCTTGTAGACAAAAAAATACGTTTCACTGGACTAGCACTTTTATATGGCTCTAAACTAGCAAAAAACAGGGTGCGTCTATAATTTTTTTGACAGAGTGTATTACTTTTTGCCGTAAGTGTTTAACAAGTTTGTAATTATCGGCTTCAATCTTTTAAACAACTTCTTACAATTAAATCTAGAGTTTGACTTACTCTGAATGGCATCCCGACGAAGAAGTGGAAGAATTTCCAGACGGGATCACGCTAAAAATGAGTTGTTTAAATTAAGTTGTTTTAAGGCAAGAAACAAATCTGCATTATTCAATAAAAACATTCAAATGTACTAACAATTTTTTCAATCTATCACTTACCGCAGTATATGTCGGCAAGAGATCTCCCATTCCAATTGTTGTCACCGTCAAGTACGAGAGATAGATCGATCCCCAGTATGTGATCGAGTTATCGCCGAATAGACCATCATACCAATACGTGAACCAGGCACAAAGGAACCAAGAAGCTAAAAATGAATTGTTTTATAAAATTGAATCGTTGATGCACAAATTTAGTGTTCAAATGTAGTTTCGCGTAAAATTTTCACTCACCGAACAATAAAACAATAGCGACGATCGGGCTGAGAGCGACCGTGTCCTCTAGATTGCCATTTTTCTTGTTTCTACTGAAATTTGGATCAATTCTAACCATCTGATATCACTATTGAACTCGATATGAACTAATCTAAGTAGCAAACTTACCACGACTTGCAATGCGAGTAGAGTTTTGTAATTTGATAAAGAACCGCTTGTCCCAAGTCACGAGTCACAACAATGGCCAATGGAATGCCGACAATCGAGAAAATGATCGTGAGAGCTCGGCCGAGGTCGGAGATCGCTGGTACGGTACCTAAATAAGAAATTTAGTTACTCTCCTGTTTACCCAAAGAAAACTATTCGCCTGGGTTCTCTTTCCTGTTAAACCACCGAATGCGCATCATGCCATTTTGTCTTAGTGACTATACTTTATTTTATGTATTGAATAAAGTATGAGTTATACTTTTACAGTGCCCCGGAGTCACGCCCAAAAGTGTCCCCATTGCCAGAGGTAAACTACGTTTTTTATGTTTTTCTCGCCGCTCACTTGATCGATTTGGCTACAGTTGGCCTCTGGCAATGGGGACACATGGGGGAACACTGTAAAAGTATTTTATGAACTTAAATCCTGGTATAGCATCCCAAAATTGCAAAATTTGCATGTTGTTAGTAGGGAAAACATCGATCGGTTTAGGAATAAGCAGAAATAGAAACTGGGCAAATTTCGTTTAATTGAATGCACTTGCAATCTTTAAATGCGAAATTTGATTGGTGATTTTTATAAATAAAGGCATTCTAATTTTTTAAATACAAATTTTGTGGTGGTATAATAGGATTGATGGGGTGGTATATCAGGATTGTTCTCTATTTCTTTGCATGGATTGGGTATAACCGAATAGTACCGAAATTTATATCAAAAGATAAACATTTTGCAAGTACAGCCGCAGAAATGACTTTATTGAATAACTTTTTGAAGTTTAAACCATTTTTGTTAGACTCTTTTCCAGTCAGTTTGCTTTTACTGATCTTTTAGCGATTCAGGTTAGGCATATTTCTCATGACTAATTCGTTTTCTAAAAGACGCTTATTTTACACCATCAGTTTTCAGTTTTTTGAAGTAGGTGTCTTTTAGAAAGTACAATTAGCCTAATTTTATCAATTTTTGATTGGTCCTTGTGATTTCTCATCGATTGACACCAAAATCGAGCTGATCAAATGAAAATTGCGTTTGAATACGGTAATTTTTTGACTTTTAGAAAACACATTAAGCAAAAAAAGCACTCTCTTGGCTAAAATTGGCTAAAACTGGCTAAAATGAGCTAAAAATTGCCTCTGAAGTAACCCGTAACCTTTTCTAAATAAATACAAGGGCAAACAGTTCGTTTTCGGTTCAATGAATGATTTTAAAGGTTTACTGAACACTTATTACAATGAAAACCTATTCCTTACCGTAATCAACCGTCATAAACGCGTTTGTGCAGAAGAAAACCGACGCCGCGTAGTCTTTCCACGCCATATTGTTCGGCGTCTCATTCTTAAAATAAGCCGATTTCTCATATCTCCTTTCAGCACTCAGCAACTTTTTGTAAACAACCTAAATATTTGCTATTTTTAAGCGATTTTTCTTCATTTTTACCCTCAATTTTTCCTTCAAAATCTCCTTGTTTAGTGGTTGCTGATTTTTCTTGAAATCCTCGACGATTTGTTGACTTTGAGCTTTTATCTCGGCTTGCAACTGGTCCATGTACTTGTTTTGTAGCTAAATTTTGATGATTTGGTTTAGAACCTCTATATTTACTTATTGTAGAAGGAATAATAGGTTCTGTAGAATTCCTGCACTAGTTCTAGCAATAACTGCTCTGACTAGGTGATTCTTAAAAGGTGACAAAACTTTTGTAGCATTTTTTGAGCAAAATAATTAGATTGACTTAGCCGTAAAAGCCATAACGATCCTCAGCCAATGTTTAATTGTTAAAAAGGTAGTACAGTAGGGTTTAGAATAGAGCTGATGTTGGTATTCGATCAGTTAAAGCTCGTGCCAGCTGATTTCATTTGGTACATTTTTTGAAAACTAATCGTTGCATTGGAAATATTAAGTTAACAAATAAGTCTTTTCGTTCCTTTTCGTACTTCCGTTTTAAACCAACAAATACACCAATTGAACTACGGTTTCCTCTAAATCAAAAGTGCTTATTTTTCAGTTTTCCATCTTTTGAAGTCAATTTTGGTTCACTTTCTGGCAAATTTGAGACTGGAAACCTCGTAAACTTCATCGTAAACATCTATAAAAACCTCTACAAAGAAATTGGCTGAATCGATTACTCTGAAAATTTGGCTATATACCTAGCTTTTTGTGCTCTATCTTTTATCCATTGACACGAAGATAGGTTTCCTTAGCGGAAAGTGTCTAAATAGCATTATCGAGCCGCCTTTTGACTACCCGCCTTCACGCTCCCAAAAAAATCCAGACCTAAGACATTTTAAACGCGTTTTAATGTTATTTTGATGCAAAATCATTGGCCTTTCTAATGAAAAGAAAAATAATGGCCCCTCTAACCGTAATTCAATTGGTGAATTTGTTGATTTTAAAAGAAAGTACGAAAAAGAACGAAAAGACTTATTTGCCAGCCTAATATGTTCAAAAATGGGCTCGAAAGTTTGCACTTAATTTTTTCAATTAAGAAAATCAAGAGGGGGAACAATTTGTCTATCTTTTTACTGCCAAAAAACATGCCGTGTTGTTGAACGTTCAAGTTTATTAAGTGCTTTACTTGTTTTTCAATATTATTATAGCATCAATTCTTAAATTTTTAGATTTTTTAACATTTTAAACATTAAAATAAGGATAACGCACAGAAAGCTAATGTTTAATTGTTAAAAGCAGTGCGGTAGGGTTTAGAATAGAGTCAATCACTAACCTCTAACTCTGCCGGTCGCTCAATCAGCAAAAACACATATCCACCGCCGATTGTCAACGCTGTCATCAAAATGAGCATCATGAAATGGCGAAAACCGATCGACGAGTGCCGATACGCCATCCAATAGAGAGAATGGGTGAAACCTAAAAATATTTTATAGATTTCAGCGACAAAGCTTGGTACTTTTAACTCTTAATCACCTATCAACTTTGCCTAAACATATCGAAAATTTTAATGATAAATACGAGTTAAAAGTAATGACTACCTTATAGAATCAACTCAATCAAGCAATTGCCATCTTTTAAGCTTTAAATGTAAATCAAATAACGTTTCCATCTGTGATACAATTTTTTCCCAATATGCCTACACTATATCCGGGAGTGGGACAAATGCTAACTTTTTTTTGCGCACCTTTTTTTCCGCACTTAGCCCATTAGCGCACCTTTTTTCGCGTTTTAAAAAAGCTCTAAAAGCTAATATTAACCAATTTCTATTCCAAAAGTTGTTTTTCTAGGTAATTTGAGGGTGTCGAATTCAAATTTTGACATAACAAAGCGTGTGGAACCAATTTGAAAGACAAAACGGCACGCAAAACGTCAAATTACAGAAAATTGTTGATTTTTCTCTTTGTATAACTCCGTCCGTTCGCTTCCACAAGCTCTGATATGCCAAAATTTCGATTCGACACCCTCAAATTACCTAGAAAAACAACATTTGGAATAGAAATTGGTTAATATTAGCTTTTTAGAGCTTTTTTAAAACGCGAAAAAAGGTGCGCTAATGGGCAAGGTGCGGAAAAAAAGGTGCGCAAATGTCCGGGTGCGCAAAAAAAGGTCGCATTTGTCCCACTCCCCTATATCCTTTTTTTGTTAAAAATTTCAATAAAAACCCACGATTCACATTGGCGCCCTCGATCGGCACGATGTCCTTCCGCAATTTAAGCTTTTGAATAGGCTTTATCATTTTTGAGATATCTAAAGTATTCAGATTGATTCAATAATGGAAAAATCAAAGTAAAGACAGAAAAAAAATTGGTTAAAGCCTGCCAAAAACCAATGAATTTTGAATATTTTGAGAAATTGAAAGTCTGATTCATTTCCAAAAAGCATTCAACTCAAAATTTATCATTCAATTTTTTTTTCACGAATTGTTCCGGTTCTTTTCAAAAAAAACAAAATGAACAAAACGCTTTTTGGGGAAAAATCGTTTGAGCGGTCAGATTTTTGAGTGAGAAAAGGTGGCACAAATGATCATGATAGGAAAAAGTTAGTGATAATTTTGCAATATCAAAATATGTTTTAATCATCTTGTTTTAAGCGCTGGTTAATGCTTAAAACAAGATGATTGAAAAATGCTGAAAAATCGGCTTTTTTTTGCCACTTTTCAATCATTTTGTTTTAAGCGCTGGTTAATGCTTAAAATATGTGTTATATTTCTAAAAAAACACTCATCCTTTCTACTTTAATTTGATACCCAAGCGCCCAGAAACAAACGTATTGGTGCTGAGATATGAGTGTTTGTTTGAGTGTAAACTTAGACTACGCGACGCTCCAAAAGGGTGTGCTTCCATTAGAATATTTACGGTACGGCACAAAGAACACTAGTCAGCACTTCTTGAAAAACAAGCAAAGAAAAACTCAGAGTGGGAATCGAACTTGCCAGGGCTCGCTCTGGAAACGAACGTCCTACCACTCGGCCACGGCTGCACAAAGTTGGGACCGCAAGGAGGCCGTTAAGACCCAAATGACCACATTTTCAGAGTCCTAAAAAAACTTTAGTCGCTTATAACACCCGGCAGATTGTCATTTAGCAAAAACGGAATACATATTCGGAATCAGCATCAAATGCTGCGTCGGATGGTATAGGTCGCATAGCATTTGACCGGCTCAGCCAGTTCACCTTCCCTTGTCAGTCTTGACCCCAAATTTAAAACAAGATTTATTGACAACCAAAAGAGCAGTCTAATCGAAATAGTCTCCATTATTTGCGATGTACCCTAAAACTTTATTTGATTCTTACAAGAATCACTTTTCTAAAGTATCCTAAAGTACTTAAACCCTAGTAAACCAGTTCCATAAACAGCTTTTTAAAGCGTGAAAAATATCGTAATCTTGCTTTAGAGATCTTAGAGCGATTAGAGAGCGTAAGATTAGAGATCTTTCTAGCAGCTTTTTCTATTTTTTAGTATACTTTACTCTTTTGCTCGCAGAATGAGACCAAAATAGATTGGATTAACGGCAAAGGTTACGGTAGTTTTAAAAAGTTATCATCTTTTCGAAACCGCTTATAGAGAGAGCAAGACTAACAAGTTTTCAACAAATAATGACAGTTTTAGAAAGTTTCCACGTTTTAGAAAACGTTCTAGTCCATAAAAAGCACAAGTTATGATGGGCTCGGCTTGTTTTCCGTGTGGAAAATCGTTTGAGCGGTCAGATTTTGATGTGCGAGAAAAAGCGAAGAACAGACAAAAGAGATAGACAAAAATGATCATGATACTGCAATGATTGCATTGAAAAATGATCGATGTGATTCCATGGGGAAACCGGAAATAAAAGAAGAGTTACAAAAACAAGCGGCATTGAAATTTTGCAAAGACATGATCTCATGAGAATTTTTGCTTTTTGTAACAAGAAACTTTTAGAATTTGAACAGATTTGCAGAAAAAGATCAAGAAAAAGATCTTTTTTTTTGTTTAAAGCTTTTAAAATGAATCAGTGAAGCGATCAAGCAATAAAAAAGAAGCTGTTTAATGGAATAAACGTCAAAATCAGAACTTAAATAGTAATAAAATCATGTACAATCATGCAGGTATATGAATGGTATCAGGAAGCTGTAAGAACATTACTTCTTGTGAACACTGCCAAAGATTGTTTTAGCTGCATTTAAACTAGATTAAATACGGACTAATGATCCCTTCCAGGTGCTATCAAAAGCTCTTAACAGTATAGAATTGAGTATGCTAGAAGCCAAAAGTTTACGCAATCTTCACAGTTTCAGAAAAGCTTGTCGAAGAAATGAATGGAAAAGAATTTGAACTGGGGAATTGAACCCTTGATCTTCTGATTACCAGGCAGATGCTTACCACTGAGCTATAGGCGTCTTCTTTGCCCAGGAAGAAATAGGAGACAAGGAAGAAGAAAGGAAGGAAGAAGAAAGAAAGGAAGAAAGGTAAGTCAAGTCTGATTGTCAGAAAGAACATAAAGAACATGACATAAGAGCAAGAGAGCAAGGCAAGAGAGCTTAAGTAAGTAAGAAAGAAAGAAAGAAAGTCAGTAAGAAGGAGAGTAAGTAAGTAAGGAAGTAACTAAGAAGGTAAGTAAGTAAGTAAGTAAATAAGGTAAGTAAGTAAGTAAGTAAGTAAGAAAGTAAGAAAGTAAGTAAGAAAGTATGTAAGTGCCATAAGAAACACAAGAACCATATCGATTTCTAGCATCATCTGTTACCGAAAGTCTGATCTGGTACCCCGAATCAAAAATTAAACTGACCTCTGGCTCTCTGGTCAAATTTGTCAAATCAAAACGAGACAAACTGACAAAATGGTTGATGCAGAGCTTTACTTTGCTTTGCAGAACCATTTAAAGCAAGGCTCAAATTATACAAAATCCGCCCAGTTTCTAGATCAAATACTGTGGATTCTCTGTACCCATGATCAGAAAAAAGGGAGAACCGGGCGATTGAGCTCTCACCGATCGCTCTCTTACCCACTCTTTTCCCCAACAAACCCCTCCCTTTTTTTGAGCGATAGTGATTGATCAAACAACAACATTTATGAACAAGCAATGGATACTCTATCTCTTACTAAATCCATGCATTTCCGGCTCGATTTGTCATCTCTCATCCTCTTGTTGCCTAATCAAGCGTGAATAATAATAATTTACATTTACCGTACTCCTCTTAAATGAGTTGGGCTATTTTTGGGTTAAAAAATGGTTTTATCTTGGTTTATGAATGATTTTACTGCACTGAAAGATAGCTACTTATTCTTGGTACGCTTGAACTACTTTGTCATGCTTCTTGTTCGAAAACGTTTGCTAAAAGGTCAAATTTCCTTAGTCTCAATGCTTTCTAACTATATTTGACGATTTCTAAGTAAATAAATTACATTAAGACTTTGAGACTTTGTTAAATCGATCCGGATTAACAATCTTAATTTACTCTGTTAAACCTGATCAGTAGCTTTTCAGAAGAATAGAAAAGACTATCGTAAAAGACTATTATAATTCTGATTTAACTGCTTCGGTTTTGTTTCATTCAAAATTTTTAGAAGAAATCCGATAACATCATTCAACAAATTTTTATGTTTTTTTTGCTCAAGACAAAAAAATCAATCAATCAATCAATCAATCAATGCATATCAATCATTTCATATTCAATGCATAGAAATTCATTTCGATTCATAGAAATCTCTACTTTGTACATGTTTTCTACAAAACTGCTTCCACTTTTTCATTCTTGATCGAATGAATTGATGATAGCGCCTCTCACGTAGAATGTTCTGTGCACCAATTTCCCAGTGATCGATCGAGGATCCACATACTCGGGAAGCTCATATTTTCTGAAAAGAACAACTTTTAATAAATGAAATTGATTTGAATGAGAGTTTAAATAAAGTTTTGAAGCGTATTTTATAGTAAATTTTATGGAAAAAGTCGCATAAGTATGGGTAGGACAAAAACCGGCTTTACCATAACATTTTAGGGCAATGAAAAGGTGATGCGTATAGCCATAGGCTGGCCTAGAATAGCTAGATCATTAGTATAGATTGCTATATAAACTATAAACTCCATCAAAACCAGTATGGCCTTTAAAGACCAACTTCATTAATACTACATTCTCGGGATCCTAAATTTCGATTTAACGGTTCTAAACGTGCCTAAAATTTCTTGCGTAGCTGGCCTGAACGGCTAATAATTGCGTTTAGCTGGGCAGAAACCAAGGGCGTGCTTTAGAATTTCAAAATTATTGTAAAGAGAGTCGCTAAATCGAGAGCCGATTGTATTAAGTATGGCTTGTTCTGGTTTATCTTGGAAATTTGATATTAGTCTAGGAGTTAGTCCCAGTCTAGGACTTCTAGAACTAAAGCCAGAACTGTTGTCAGATCAGGCTAAAGCCAAGAGTTATCGTCTGGCTTTTGGCCATAATTTTATCCTATTTTCATCACATTTTCTACCTTTCCTCCTTTCTGACCACCACCCCAGCGGCATCGATTTTCAGCCTTGTCTCGAAGATCAACTCCAACATTCGGCCTTTAATTGTCATCTAAAATTCAGATTTCAATTAGAATTGGATTAAAATTTACATAAAACTATCTAATCGTTTAATTAGTAATTAAATTAGCTAATCCAATTGGCGAATCAAGTATTTAGCTAATACCTATTAGGTCAGTAACGTCTAAAGTTCGTTTTTACTTTTATTGTAATTTTCTAAAGATATCAAGAGGGTATCTTTAAGTGTTATATACTATTCGAAAGCTGAAATTCTCTTCTATAAGCTAGTAGAAAAAGATTTGTAATTGAACAAGTCTTTGAAGAAATCTGCTGCTTGAAATTTCAGTATTGAAACAATACGACAAGCAACCACCGCTTAGAAGTCATAGATACTAATTGAGAATACCTTTCGAAATATTTTTTTTTACATAAAAAATGATTTAAAAACAAACGCGTATTATTAATTACCTATATATAAAACAATTTAATACTACTTTAAACAATTGTTTGCTTGAAATCAATAAAATTTTGCTCACCGTAATGTCATCAGCGGTGAAATGTGTGGCATCGATGCCCACCTCGAATTGCTCGTCGTCGATATTGAACTGAAAATTGTTTTACTTTTCAGTTTATTGACAAAAATCATTCACATATTGTCTTATTTCTTCGTCTCTTATAGACTTTTATCAATTTATCAAAAAAATTCCCATTTCCAACTGACTTCAACCACTCCGTCATCCTCAACGTCATTGCTGCACGCGGGATAGTGATCCTCAACGCAAATTGATGCCATTCTTGAAGCTAAAATGAAAAATTTGAAGATTATAACTGATTACTTTAAGAATTTAAATGAAATCTCACAATTAGCTAAGAGGTTTTGGAAGAAATTTGAAATTAAATTGAAACTCGATCGATTCGATTTGATGAACTTTTGATTAAAAGAATTATTGGGTTGGTGAATTGAAAACTGTTGGCTATTGTCATTTTTGGCATAAAATTAAACCTTTCTACTGTCATTGTGGTGTCAGTATTATAGTTAATATATAAACTAAGGTTTTTAACTAAACACTTTATTCATCTATTGGGTTGGTGAATTGAAAACTGCTGGCTATTGTCATATGTCACAGTTTGAGCACTTTCTTCAAAAGAAACCCATTTTGGTGTTGATGGAAAAGTTGTAGAGAATCAAAAATCAAGCTTATATTCAAATTTTCAAAACGATTCAAAAACTGGTTTTCAAGAAATGCCAAATTTACGAATTTTCACAAAACTTGCATTTCAAGCGAAACTACTAAGTGTATCTTTTTGGAAATTTGGCTATAAGCCTAATTTTTGATTCTCTACAACTTTTCTATTGACACCAAAATAGGTTTCTTTTGAAGGGAGTGCTCAAACTGGGACATCTCCAGTCCTCCATTTTTGAGTCTCACACTTGTCTCACACACAAACCAAAATCCAAAAACCAAAAGAGGAATCCGCAAATTGCCTGTAAAATGGGCAGAAGTCGTCAATAATAATGGAAATTATTTGGAATGAATTCATGGTTTTATGTTGAATAAATTTTAGTTCAAAATTCCTCAATTCACTAACCCAATAAAAACGGATTAAATTCAAATCCCAGCAAAAAAAAAGTGAAAAAGTGGTCAGAAGAGATATTTGAAATTTTCTTGGAGATATCCTCAAATCTTTCTCTTTTCAAATAGAGTTGAGGCTTTTTTTGAAAAAAAAAGAGAAAACCGAGGGTAAATTGAGAAAAAAGAGGGGGAAAGGGTCACACGGAAAGACAAATAAATGAAGAGATTTTAGTGGAAAAGAACAGACGAACTGAAGGATTTTTGGGAAATCGAATTGAACGCTTCAATCTGAAAGTTGTATAGCTTAACGATCTAGCTACAATGCTTTAGTTTTACGCTAAAAGAACTCGCTTGAGATCTGGAAAGAATCAGAGATTTTTGAAAAGTGATCTCAGGGCCTCAAAAATTAATGAAAAGTTCGATTTGAACGTTTTTTTTAACTATCTATCATTACTAGTCTGGTTTATGGACTTTCTTTTACAAATCAAAAGACAAATTAAAAGTTAAACTAAAGCTAGAACTTGAATTTTGGCTTTCTCAACTGGCTAATAATTGGATTTTAGCTTATCAACTAATATTATGCATGAAAACTAAATTCTTAAAGATTTGGGTAAGTTAAATTAAAAGAATAGTTGCTCGAAGGTTGGCTTTGGAGTTAGAATTGCTACTCCTTGACTCTAAATGAATATCTTTTCAATGAACAATCAATTCAATCAACATCTCAAAGCTCTTAACCCAATATTATGGAAAGGTAAACCTTTAAAAAACACAACCAAAAGGATTACAGGAAAAAATTCTATCCTAAAAGAATCATAACTGGGATTTCTATAGGCGATCTTTCTACTTATATCCTTTTCCCTTGGCCACATGTGACCCATTGGGGATCGCATGAAAAGGAGAACTCTTAAAGCACTCATTTCCCCTTTTTCGCCCATTCAACAGCTGTTTTTCGAGAGAGTTGAACCCTAGGATCTCCCCGAAAAGAGACCAATCGGATCATCGGTAAGGAAAGACCAATCGGATCAAGGAAAAATCAACTCGGAACTTTTCTGCTTTTGAAGATCAATCAAATGTTCAAATGTTTTAGGGTTTCTATGTCATAAGGCTTTTAAAACTTCTTAAACTTTCTTCAGCTTTACTCAACCATTTGAGGCTTGAGCTTGAGCTCAATCATTTGAAGCTTGAGCTTGAGCCCAATCATTTGAAGCTTGAGCTTGAGCTCAACCACTTGAAAATCAAAACTTCACAGCATTCTTTACTCAACCATTTGAAAGTCAAATGGTTGAGTAAATAATGATACTTAAAATTATGGAGTATTTAATGAAAAGAGTGGATTCGAACTTCGAACTGGATTCGAAAGCTTGGATTTCTCGGAATTCTATCCAGTTTGGATACATAAATCTTTGAAATTATTACATTTTGCCTCTCATGTTTCGTTTTAGCTTTCGTTCGCACCTTTAAGTTTCTAATAAAATTATTATTACAGCTTTTGGAAAAGATTCGTTTACACTTCTGAACGATTTCAAATTGAAATTTTTGTGTTGGAAAACATTTTGTGCTTTTTTTTGATCAGAATAATCGAAATCATCCCTTTTCCTTTGTTTTTTGTTTCATTTGTTCAAAGTCAGACAGAAATTCGCTCATTTGTTTTCTTTCTTCATCTTCTCGAGTGTTTATTGGAGAAAGTACACAGGTAAATCTGTTATTGACTTGGATTGAGACAATGAATCTAATAAATTGCTTTTCAAAAGTTAGCGAAGAACGGGGAAGTCGGATAACGAAATTTCGATTTGATCTGGTGCTAGTTCTGTCAGATTTATCTGGATAAATCTGACAATCTTCAAAGTCAGTCATATCAAGATCGATAGGCAAATATTGATGGCGGATATTGACTTGATCAAAGCTAAAACAGTAGTGTTGTACTAGCTCCAGTTTAAGTACAGTACTTCAGAAAATTACCTGTTAAAGATCCGTTCAAAGCTTTGTATCAAATTAAGCAAAGCATGACTGGATAATGGTATTTGGGCGGCTTTTAAGGTGAAAGGTCAAAAAGGAGCATTTTCTGAAAAATCTATTTCTGGTAATAGCCATGCCCGGGTTTTCCGTTAGAAAATACCGCCAATTAAAGTTAAATATAAAAACACTTGGACTTGGATGTTAAAAAGTAGCCGCAGGTCGAGTCTTAACCTGGGTACCTGTGCCTGCTGGACAGCATTCTTTACTCAACCATTTGAAAGTCAAATGGCTGAGTAAAGAACGGGGAAGTCGGATAACGAAATTTCGATTTGATCTGGTGCTAGTTCTGTCAGATTTATCTGACACTATCCGCCTATCGATCTTGATAGGCGGATATTGATGGCGGATATTGACTTGATCAAAGCTAAAACACTAGTGTTGTACCAGCTCCAGTTTAAGTACAGTACTCCAGAAAATTACCTGTTAAAGATTCGTTCAAAGCTTTGACTGGATAATGGCATTTTATCATCGAATCGAACCTCAGCAGAGTATTTTTACTTACTAGTTTCCTGAAATTGACCAAGACTAGATGTCTCATGTATCTTTCGTGAAAAAAATGACAAAATGATGACAAAAAGGTGGCTCGTTTTCAACTAAACACACCAATCATTGAATGAAATAAATGTTCATTTAAAATTTTGATTTCATGATCATTTTGATCATGAAATCATGAACATTCGAATGATTTCCCATCATCAGTATCTCTTTGATCTTGTTTTATTCCTTGAATCTTCGCCAAATCACATAAAAACCATGCGACTCAAGATCTATTTTTAGCCGAGAAAAAGAAAATAGATAAAGTGAAAAGAGAAAGATTTGAGTAGGCCAGGATTTCTCAAATTTTCGCAGGAAAAGGAAAAATTACAGGATTTTTCATCTTGTACATCTTGTTCACTAGTTATTTTTGAAATATTTTGAAAATCCCATTTCCCTGATCAAAATCGCTCAATTTTTGAGCCGATTCAGCGAAAAAAAGCAACGGATTACCCGACTTTTTATCAAAAACAAAAAAGGTGCGGAATATTGGTTTGAAACTTTGAGAGATTAATCTGGTGTTGAATTTGAGTGCAATGAGATGTTACTGGTCATTAAAAATGATTTGTAATACTTTAACTATAAGCCAATCAGTAACTATAAGCTTGCAGGGGTCTGTAGTCAATGAAATTCGTTAGACTTGTCTCTTGGAATGTATTGGGTTGTCCAGTTATGAATGCGCGTTTTTACGATTTTGTAAGTTTCTCAAGATATCGAACAGATGTATATGAGTGTTATATATCATTCGAAAGCTGAAGATCTCCTCTACATTTTGGAATAAAAAAGTTTTTGAATTCATTCAACTTTTTGGGAAATTGACTGCACAAAGGGAGAGGTCGTTTTCCAAAAAAAAACCCATTTCAGCTTAGCTATTCCTCAAGTTTTATGGTGTAAAATAACCGCCCAGAAAAGAAAAGTAAAAATGCTCTGAAATTGTTACATTTAAAAAAAGTTGTATTGATATATCTATTGGCCAAGCATCAAACGGTTAACTCAATTTGAGCGGAGCCAAAACTTGATCCAAAAGCACCCTTCCATTTTTTGGCCACCTCTTCTTCTGTGCAGTCAATTTGCCCAAAAGCTGAACAAATTCAAAAACTTTTAATATCAAAATGTAGAGGAGATCTTGAGCTTTCGAATGATATATAACACTCAAATACATCTGTTCGGTATCTTGAGAAATTTACAAAATAGTAAGAAAACGCGCATTCATAACTGGACAACCCAATCCTTTGGGATCAAGAACCGAAAAATACCCTTTCTAGCGCATTAGGTTCTTTCTTTTTGTCTCATTAAAGCACGGAAAAGGGTGAATTGAATGCGGCAGATCGGTTGCATATCTACAGTTCAAATGCAATCTCATTGAGCACGAGCATGAGTTGGAGACGAACAATATTATTTTGTTCATTGTAGAGTGCTTTGTGTTGAAAATGAACCCTTTCTAGCGCACTAAATTCTTCATTTTTCTCGCAGAAATGGTTGATCTAGTACCTAGTTTTGTAATATTGATGCTAATACTGTTTTAAAGGTTTCACAGTAAGTTTGCTTCATAGTTACCTTTAAAACCTTTAAGTTGCTACCTTAACAAGCCGCTTATTAGCTCATATAGCTTTACTTATCTTCAAATAATATTATCTAGTTGTCAATAATAATATTATCTATTATCTTTTGTTCCGGATTTTCCATTAAAATCATTCAAATTTCCATTTCATTTCATTCAATTCAAATTCAATTTATCTAATCATTAACGAGATCAATCAAACGCTCAAAAAGCAAATAAAAAGCAAATAAAAAGCAAACACGGAACAAAATGCTAAGGAAAATTAAAAAAAGCAAAAATGAAATGTGAAATAAATTGAAAAGGACAGACCCGATAGAGTAAAATTCTAAAAAATAGAAAAGATTTGGCAAAAAGTGTTCTGAGATTTGACTGAGCTGGGGAATATGGTTTAAATGATAAAATCAATCTACCGCGTATGAAATAAGCTCTTTAAATAAAACAGAATATGTTTTCTTTTGAGTTTTTTGTTTTCGTTTGCTTTTTCTTCTGAAATTATTCGCGAAAAGAGCCACGAGAGACGCGAACACGACCGAATTCTCCGGCGTAAGCGTCGGCCTGAAAAGTGTTTCGAGTAAACGATCAAAATTCAAGTCTTTATTCTAAAAGGTGGGCAATTTAGGTAAGCTACCGTAATCTTTCTTTAGATTTCTTTTAATTCTTTCTAATTTACTTAATTTGGAGCTTATTTGATCTTAAATGAGAGCAAAATGAAGTAAATAAAGTAAATCGAATTCTTACAGTAAACTTTCCAATTTATCCACCGTTTATCTATTAAATTATTGTAAATTAGACTTTCTTAGTGCAAAATAGAAAACGGAATACGGTAGAAAATACCGTCAGATTCGAATATTTAGCTAATCTGTGCTTTCTATTTGAGAAACTTGATCGAACTGTAAAATTGGCTTTGGCTAGCAGTTTTCTTTTCAACTCCAATAGATATTCAGCTAATAAATTGCGGATTCTAACTGAGCTGATCTTAAGTGAATATCATATTTTATGAAAAATGATTTCTAGTATCGAATTTTATCACTTTAACCGGGGGCGGGACAAATGCGACCTTTTTTTGCGCACCTGGACATTTGCGCACTTTTTTTGCTGGAAAAGGCCTTAGGAAAGGCCGTAGAGCTTCAAAAAATGTTTTCATAGAAGGGAATCGTATGCGTAGATTCCGAATTTCGACAAATCAGACCTCGCTGACACGTCAAATTTGGGCTAAAAGGCAAAAACTACGCAACTTAACGCTTTTCCGCAGTTTTTGCCTTTTAGCCCAAATTTGACGTGTCAGCGAGGTCTGATTTGTCGAAATTCGGAATCTACGCATACGATTCCCTTCTATGGAAATATTTTTGAAGCTCTACGGCCTTTCCTAAGGCCTTTTCCAGCAAAAAAAAAGTGCGCAAATGTCCAGGTGCGCAAAAAAAAGGTCGCATTTGTCTCACCCCCTTTAACCCTCACCTGTGACTTGATAAACGATCCGATCGAACCGACGGTAAACGAGTTGACATTCTCGGCGATTCGATCTCTTTCCTCCTAAAGATCGATAATAAGTTGAATTAGAAAAAAACTGATAAGCCATTCTAGACTTGAAGATATTTCAGTAAAATATAGGTATAGGTTAACCTGCTCAAATTCCTCTTCTTTAATCGTTTTCGCGCGGGCCAGCCTACCAGGACGAGTCGGCGACACTGGAGCCTCACTTTGCTCGATCGAGCTCACGTCTTGGATCTATAAAAGTCAAATTTTATTTTAATTTTATATATAATTGAATTCAATGTTTATATTTTATCAATAATGACCTGAACTGCGTTTTTTCTTTGCAACTTGTACTCCAAAACGGCCAGCGTTCCGATGATTCCGTTCTCCATCGAAATGTAGACAATTCGAAGGCCCATCTGAAAGAAATATATTTAGAAATATATTTAGAAATTTGAAATTAAAATGCAAATTTTCATATGTAAATTTATTTATCAACTATTTTTAGCTAGGATTTTAATATTAAAGCATTGATAAGAGGAAAGCTTACTTTGTAGACGGGCATTGCCATGAAGTGCCACAATGGGTGCCATGGGGAGGTCTAAAAAGAGAAAAGGTTAATATTTTGAGAAATAAAATATATTAATTACATATCTTACATATTATCTAGATATTTCAAGTAGTGTTAGTTCATTTTTTGATTGGAATTGAACCTTTGACCTTTGGGAATAAGTGATTGTGGGACATTTGATGTTCTTGATAATATTCTTGGTATCATGATAATATTCTTGATAATATATGCACCAAGTCTTTCTCTGTTGATTGGTACAAAACCTACATAAATTGAACAGCCAAACACCTAGAAATTTGAGCTTAAAGCGGATTGCCAATGGCACAGGGGGCGGGCTTGTGGGACCTTTTATACGCGCCCCGCCCCTTTCCCATCTAATTTTAAGCTCAAATATCTTGGTGTTGAGCTGCCCAATTTAAATATTCTTGCTATCATTGGAGACGCCAAGTCTTTCTCTGTCGATTAGTACAAAAACTATTTCAATTGAACACTCCAACACCAAGGTTCTAAAGCTCAAAGTTAGATTGCCAATGGCAAAGTAAATCATCATTAGTAACCCCATTGTTAAGCCGTATCGTCGTGCTCATGTGTTCAATATCTTTTTAAGTTTAAAAATATTCAGAATAGACGCTTTGCGATACTTTAGGTATTAGATCTTAGGCCTTACAGTACCACTAATATTCAGATAACGATTCCGTAAATTTACCGTTGAATAAACAGGCATATCGTCACTCATCCCCATCGACGTCAACGTGATCCACGAGTAGTAGAAAGCGTCGAAGAAATCTTGAGACTTGGCTGAAAATCGGCTTTTGACAAGTGTTATTCAAAAACTTTATAGATAGATTATTCTATTATATTAAATTTCCAAGTTTTACCTCCTTTCGGCTCGTATCTCAGCGCCCACCAAGCGTCGTAACACCATGTGCAGAAAGCGACAAATAACCAGTTACCTGAAAACGATTGTTAGAGATTACAGTATTGAATCTAAATTTTAAATCTATTATTTGTTAAATCTGTTAAATTAAATCTGTTCTAATCTCTTGAAACTATTAAATTTGACACTCATCTTCAACTCACCAAGCCAGATGAGCACGGTAAGTTTGATCGGGAAAGCAAACTCCTCGTTTGGATCCGTTTCAACACCGTAATCTTTTCTGAAAGAGGAATTGCGTTTCTATTGCTTACTATTGATTTCTATTGATTTCTATTGATTTCTATTGATTTCTATTGATTTCTATTGATTTCTATTGCTTTGTAATCTTGTAGACAAGTTTGAGACGTGATTAGAGTTGCCTGGGTTAAAAAATAGCTTGTGCTAACAAGAAGCTTGACTTTTAGGTTAACAATAGCTTTGAGCTTTGACGCTTTGACGATAATTTATCTGTATTTAATCAAGTTAACGAGTTTTCAAGAGTTTCAAAAGAAATGAGTAGAATACAAAATGGCGCACTACTCGCACTCAGTTCAAAATCACATTTTGAACTTTGATCCCTAATCGAAATTCATTGTTTTCTAGTCAAAATGAGCTAGTTTTTGGAAAGAAAAAGTAAAAAAAGGAAATGAAGCTGGTTTTCTTTGATTTTGAAGCATTGAAACTAGTTACAAAAACCAGAAAATCGTGATTCCGCCGTAGAAAACGCGTGTTACAACTTTGTAGCGCTCTAGCAAACGTTTAAAAACTCTTCTGACCAGATCCAGAAAACACATTGCAGGAGAAATATTCAATTTGATAATAAAAAAAGAATTAGATCGATTGATTGTCTCTTCGCTAAGCTAGGGAATCTGAACTGAGCGCGGGTACTTTTAACACATTCACGACAAGGTTTTTTTTTGATTTTTGAAGCTGTTTCCCTTCCAGGCCGTTTAAAAATTGCAAATTGGATTCAATTTTAATTAATTTGGCAACTAATTTGCATTTAAAGGTTTATAACTTTCTTCAAAGTCAATATTTTTTAAAACAGTTTTCAGATAACTAATCCTCAAAGATTTCTCTTCATTTTCCCTAACTTAAGTAAATCAATTGCCTGTAAAAGTTTTTTTTAAACGAGCTGGAAAAGAAATAACTTCAAAAATCAACAAAAAATCTCATCGTGAATGTGTTAAAGCTCGTTCTGATCGATTAAGTGGTTGTGGCCAATGGTTTACTTCAATCGTTTACCAGGCTTATAGGTAACGTTATTACGGTAGGTATTGGATCCAAAATTAAAACCTCCATCTGACAACGATTCGTCCGTAGAGTCTCGTGAGAACGACGAGAATCCATTGCGAGAGATCTCTTAAAACGACAAGTGACAGTGGAATTGAGATGAAACCGTAAACGATCGAGAGGAATCGACCGAAACCGGTGAAACAGTGAATGGCACCTAGAATATAGATACCGTATTTTCTCTAATAGTAGTGCACTCTGAGCGTTGCCTAAATTGCTCGAAATCTCGAAAACCGCTTATCAGAACCTATTGATGTGGGGTCGGAAAATGTAGCTGACGATGAGATCTAGTGGGGGATTCGAGTGTTGAGCTTTTGCAAAAGCTCGGAAGCCGTAAAATAGCCACCAACTCGGCTCGCCGGGGTGCACTACTATTAGGGAAAATTCGGTATTCAACTATTGATATGGATTATTGAGAAGAGTTGAGAACGATTTTGCCTAAGCAAGTACTGTAACTTTAGTCTTTACTCACCGTATCCAACCGTCATATAGATATTCGCTGCAAAGAACGTCGATGGCCAAAATCTCCACATCACATTATTCTCAATGTCCTCATCTTTGTGCAAAGCTGATCCCACGTAGATACTCTCCGCTTTTTCCATTCTCATATAAACAATCTAAATTTGAGAATGCTGAAAATTCAATGTTAATCAAAATACCTTCAAAACATCTTCAAAAAGGGAAACGTTTTCGAAAGCCGGAATGTTCGTGATCAACTGGCTTGTAATGTTTTCCAGCTCAGCTTCAACATTGCTCAAGTCGACAATCAGTTTCTGAAAAGATTCAAAACTTTGTTACAAGATGTAAAATGCTTATTTCTACAAGATTTTACTAATTTACTTTTACTAATAATCCATCCGCTATATGCTAACTTAATAGACTTGATCTGTAACAAAAGAATATGTTTTTGATCTGTCTTCCAACTTAGGTGGTCCTATTTGCTCAGATCACAACCTGTTTCCACATTTCTCTATCCCTTGCTATTGTCATCCAGTGTTTCCTATCTTGGTTGTTCCTGGTTCGAAGTCTTCGAGTTGCTTGTGCTGGTTGTGATTGCACTCTAGCCATCCTTTCTCTGGCCGTCTCTGCCACTCTTGTGCTCCACCTCGTTGCTGGTCTTCCGATGGGCCTCTTCTGGTCTCGTGGTAGCCACTCTGTGATCCGTATCGTCCATCTGTCGTCTGTTCTTCCGGCTACATGGCCGGCCCATCTGGGTCTTTTTCTCCTGATCACTTCCACTAGATCTCTGAGTCCCAAGAGCTGGCGCATATCCGTACTTCTTAGGTCTTGGTCGAGCTGCGTCTTCCTATTGTGCCCGAGGAGGTTACAAAAAAATTATTCTTTTGCCTCTCGACAAAAGAATATTTCGGTTTTAAATACCAAATCTACTTCTTTCTCAACACCTTCTTGCAGCATATATTATCTAAAAAGAGCTAAAATTGCTTAAAATCTTAAGCATTGTACCTGGTTCTTGAAAGTTTGACTGAAAAACTCACTCTTTCTTCAGCGGCTTTCTCGACCCTCCAAATTCCGAACGCTCCGCCGAAAGTCCAAATGAGAAGAAGCGATGAGATGAAAAGATGACGAACACACAACCATTTATACAATTTCCAAGCCAATCCATCCCTCTTTGTCTTCTTTTGCTTTTGATTTGCCGAATGTGTGTCTTTAAAGACTCTGAAGTTCAAGAATTGATTTGGATCAGATCAGATCAGATCAAATATCAGATTTGGAGCTGGAGAGATTTAAACCTAAAGAAGAAATTAAAAACTAAACTTTTACTACATTCTGAAGTTACAAGTTATCTTCAAGCCTTTAGCATTTAGCCTTCAAACCCTGAAGCCTTCAAATCTTTAAGCCAGCCCGAAAAAACTTACTTTGACAGATCTAACGGCTCGATCTTGTCGAGTGAAACCATTAGAGTTGGTTTTTGTTGTAAAACTAAAATAAATCACAATGATAAGTCTATAATTCGTAAAAAATTGGAAAAAAAGGCTGAAAATTCATATAGTAAGGATTTCATTTCATTCGTTATGTCTGTCAATGAAAGGGAAGAAAGGGGAATTCAGGAAACTGATGATGCTGACACAAAGTCGAATGATCAAAAGAGGAAATTCGATGGAGGGAAATCGACAAATTTGTGTAATAGAGTAATCAGAGAAAAACGTTTTCTGGATGATTCCAAACCCAGGGGGTCTCGCGGGGGGTGGGGGGGGGGGGGGGGGGTGGTTGGTGCAAAAGAACCTTCCAATCCTTTGAATTTTGATTTCGAATCTTGGGGCTTGGGGAAATTTTCAAATGCAAAGGCTTCGAACAGAATTTTGATTTCGGGACTTGTTCCGCTTGTCAACTTTCGAAAACTACCGTAGTCTATCATAGATTTATATTCATACTTTATCGGCAGAAAAGCGTATCGCGCAATACACAAATCTCACAAAAACAAAGAGAGAATTTACTCGGCGATGTGGAGGGGGGAGAAAAGAAGAAGAAGAAGATAGGCTTCTTGCTTTAATAACCTCAAGCCAGAATGGGCCACCCAGTGGAAGGTGAACCCGCTAGGGGGATCTCTAGTCAGCTCTGAGAAGAGACCTCTAGTCTGGGCACGGGCTGGGAAGAGAACCGGGGGCGCCCCACCCCAGTTTGGAGTGAGACTTAACCTACCTGAGGGCCTTATCTAAAGTTACCTAACTTTTTGTTGATTTTGAGCTCAACGATATCAAAAACTGGATAGATTGAATAAAACGATAAATAATAAAGAATTGAAGGAATTGGCAAGAAAAAGTAGATTTCCGGAGAGGGGATTGAATCATCGACCTTTTGCTTTCCGGGCAATTGCTCTAACCACTGAGCTATCCGGTACCTTTACTTGCTAAGAGAAAGATGGAAAGAAAAAGAGCAAGAAGCTTACAATTTTTGAAAGTTAACACGTTTTAGAAAAAGCATATGGGAACAAGTACCATAATCAAGAACTTACTTTCAATGTACATGCTTAACAAAAGCTTTTGTAGGCTAAGACAATTAGACATACTATAAAAGGATACTGTAGCTTTTTCATAGTTTGAAGGTAATTAAAAAGTCGAAGATCAACTACTGTAGATAATAGTTAGCATACTCTAGTTAGCATATTGTAGTTGTAAAAGAAATAATTGAAAATAAAAACAACAAGAAGCTGTTAAAGGACAATAAACAACAAATACCAAACCCTGAAATCCTTAAAAAAGTACCGTAATCTATGAACTCTAAGAATTAAATCATAGAAGAAAATTTACAATTCAAAAATGTCAAACATTTGACACACATCATAAGATATAAAGGAGCGAAAACTGGACTTTAAAGTACTTGTATTGTTGTTACAAGAGCACATTCTAGAAAACTATTACGATTAACTGAACGACGGAAGTCAATCATGGGAAAAAATTTACGATCCAAACGCGTTACGATTAGTTTCAGTTTCAAACAGGATTGCGCGAAAGGCGGGGAGTATATCAAATCGAGAGTTGATCTCACATGAAATGATCGGGTCTCTCACTTCGACAAATCACAACAAAAAGGTCAGCCGAAAAAAAAAAGAGGCGGCCGCTTATGAATTTCTCAATTTTTGAGCCCCGAAAAAGGAGCGGCGTACCTTGCAATATAGTTTTTCTCTTTCACTCTATTTTTGGGAGACAATCAAAAGCGGATAGCTATGAAATGGATTCGGTAAACGGGGTCAGACTGGGGGAATCCCCGAAAAGACAAAACGATTGAGGGACGTCAGATGAGTGGGCTAAATTTAGCCAAAACAATGACCGAAAATAGGTGATCTAGGGTGAGTCATAGGAAAATGGAAACAGTTAGACTAGTGAATTTGAGGGACTGAGAATAAAATTTGGGAAAATTGACGATTTCCGTACTACGTGATTCGAATCTTAAACAAGGTCCATTCATTGTAATAGTCAGAGTTTAAAAAATATTTGATTTGGAGATTTTTATGTTTATTTTAATGTTTTTGAAGGGAACTTATTAAAGAAAGCTTCAGCTTAACCAACCTTCAAATCATTATCGAAACAAAGCTATTTATATTACAGTATTAATTACAATTTCTGTTGTTCAGAACGTACAAAAAGACTCCAGCATTGCTGGAGGGGTTGAACGAAGAACCCCAGACTGACACACAGCGCCTTAGACCACTCGACCACACTCATAAGGGGAAATCGGAAATCGAGAAAGCGCGTTTTTACAAAAAATGGCCCGTCTAACCCACAAAACTAATTAGATTTTTGGAAAGTGCATAAAATTTTGGATATAGTAATCAAATTTTCAGACCGATTGGCTCCGCAGTTTTTTGTAAAACAACGAAACAAACAGACGCACACACTCTCCGGCTTATAATAAGTAGAATTTATATTTCAGCTCATTTCTGCATCACCTATCGTGGATGCATTTTCTTTTTTTATTCAATTTTTCAAGCGATTTGGAGAATCTTTGGATTAAATACTAAACTTGGGTAATTAAACCGGAGAATGGGGTCTCTGTCGCCCTATCCAAACGCACCGTGTGCCAGATGCCGCTTTTTCCTACGAGACTCAATAAAGGTACACGGATGAGTTCTACCACTTGGATGAGTAAGTTGAGTAGAAATTTTACTAATTATGATCCAAAATGAGTCACGTAAAAGGGCAAAATGGTCCAGCAATTCACTCAATAATTTCGCTCAGCTCAATTTCAGGTCATTTCCTTTTCAGACAAACTTTTCGACATTGATAACTACGCATAATGAATCAGAAATGAATCAGAGTTTCCCGAAATCAAACCAGTGTTTGAATGCTTTTCAAAGTAAAAATGAAATTCAATGAAAGCAAAATTTTCTCAATGACAGTACTCAATTTATTGACAGAGTAAAAGTCCATTTTTGAATCAGAAGGAGAAAGTTTTGAGAGAGTAAAGAGAGATTTATGATGGTTTGAGCGGATTTATGGGGGAAGTTGCAGATTTTGGATGAAGACAGTGATCGGTAAATGATCAGGGAATCAAAAAAATGCTTAGAGGGGTTAACAAAATAAAGTTGAGGTGCGAAAGATTTAAAAGGTTCAAAAGTTTCAAAATTTTTGCTGAAAAGTTGGCTTCATTTCTCGAAAATGCATAAACAATTCGCTGTAAACTACCGGTAACCTAATATTCGTTCCTAGGTGTAAACGGATATGGACTAGAATTTGGGTTAAGTTAAAGAGAGTGGATCCCTTTTGATATCCATCTCTAACAGCCCGACAACCCAACTCAACTCCTCTAACGTATTAGAGGGGAGTCTCTGTGAAATGGCCGACCTGAACTGCAGCTGCATAGACATGTATCTTTATTTTATTTTATTACTTTATTAGAAGACATGTATCTTTATTTACAGTAGTGCAATAAGACGAATAGCTTACAAATGAGTGAAAGGGAAAGGGGGGACTCCAAGTGAGAGCCTCACTTGTCCGCCTAGGCAATCCCAAGGACCACCGCTTCTCGACGATGAAAGGGATAAGCACAGAGGAGTACACATTTACATAAGATTAGAAAAATCATTCAATAATAACGATAATAAATAAAATCTCAGTTTGGCTCGAAGCTGACACTAATAAATTTTTGGCATTCAAGCAATTCAAATAATATCAAAAATTCATAAGTCAGATCAAGTTCATAAGGAATTAACTATAAAAAGAAACAAGTAAAGTACTAGAAATCAAAATTCGGATAAGCTCAACTAAAGCAATCTAGGTTCTAGAATTTTGGGTTATTTAAAATTATTTGACTTGTATGACTTTACTGTACCTTACTGTACTTGAACCTTGAACTTATGTTAACCTTGCTTTGCTCTAATAAGGCTCTAGAACAAAGATTTTTTCAAATTTAATTAGAATACAATAACTGATTCATTTACGCGTTCATTTACACGTTCATTTAATCCTGGTTCATTTACACGAATAACTGTGAAAAGTGCTTTAAGATTCCCAAGCTAAACTTTGCCCGTTAGCATCAACTCGTAGAAACTATTAGGTTGGCAACTAAATAATGGCCCTCGCCCTTTTTTGATAAAATCTTTTAATCTTTGCGGTAGATCTACCCTCGCTTGTTGTTAATTGAATATTACTGAATTTCTGGTGCATTATTATACGTTTTTTACTTTCCTTGATTTGATACTTTTCAAATAATTTTGTTTAGAAATGGAAGATCTCAAATATCGAATGCGTGTCTGTCTCTGGTACGACTACAAACAAGACAAAATAGCTGCCGAATCCCACAGAGATTTATCGCGAGTTTTTGGTGATGAAGCTCTTTCCGAAACACAATGTAAGAGATGGTATCGACGGTTCAAGGAAGGGAATGAAAGTCTTGAAGATGAGCCTCGCCAAGGACGACCCGAACTTCTGCAGAACGATATTTTGGAAGCAGCTTTAAAGGAGGATCCAAGTCAAACATCACGCGAGCTAGGGGATCGATTGGGCTTTTCGCATACTGCAATCGAAAAGCGACTTCATGCATTGGGGAAAAGTAACCGCGTGGAAAGTGGATTCCGCATGAATTGAGCAAAGAAAATAAGGCTACTCGTGTTATCACAGCTAAGGAATACTACTAAAACTTGTGAAAAAGGAAGCTTCTTGGATTCCATTGTCACTTCTGATGAAAAATCGATCTTTTATGATAATCGAACGAAAACGACGTGGCTAGCACAAACAAGACCCAAAACCAACTCCGAAGCCGGATATTCACTCAAAGAAAACTCTCCTCTGTGTGTGGTGGAGTTCTCGTGGGTTGGTGCATTTCGAGGTTCTCAAAAGCCGGCAAACGGTTAATTCAGAACTCTATTCGTCTCAACTACATCGTGTAGATCAAGCAATTCGCTCTCAAGGACTCGAACCCTCTTCAATTCATTTTCTCCATGATAACGCAAAACCACACACTGCAAAACTTACAATGGAGAAAATCGAGGAGTTGGGCTGGAATGTTCTTCCTCATGCGCCATACAGCCCGGATATGGGGCCTAGTGATTACCATCTTTTTCGATCGATGCAACACTTTCTAGCCGAGAAAAAGTTCAATGACCTTGACGAAGTCCGAATTTCAGTGCGGAAGTTCTTTGACGATCAACCAGAAGAATTTTTCAAGAGAGGAATCCAGTTGCTCCGTCAAAAGTGGAAAGAAGTAATAAAGAATGACGGAGAATACCTTTTGGATTGATGTTGATATTTGTTCATCTTGTTAATAAATTTTTTGTTTTTACTGAAAAGGGCCATTATTTAGTTGCCAACCTGATATCAGAGTTTGAAACAGAACCTTTTTTTGTGCTCAACTAAACCTGTTCACAGATTAACCGATTACCAGTTTACCAACAACTAAGCGCATCGAAATTTGCGCGTAAAAAACGAGCGTCGAACGGGAAATCATCATGCCGATCACCCGCTAATCCTCCTCAATTTTTCCACGCTCTGCTATTTTTTCAGCAGTTTTTCCCATTTCTCCCTTTCTGTCTGTATCATTGAGAGATCACTGAGAAACGGACAATTTGATTTGGGAATTTTGGGGATTTGATCCGGAAATCTTTTCCGATCAGATCAATCACAGATACTGTTCGATATATCAATAGAATAACAGAAATAATATCAATCAGAGACACAGACAATCTCCCCTTATAATATCAATCAGAGACACTCTCCCCTTCGTCAAATCATTTATCATTTATCTCTAAATATTAATTTGTTAGCGGAATTTGTGCGAACATGACATAAATTTGAGAAAAGATCAAAAATCACAAGATGTCATTTCTCTGTGGATTACGGTAACCGATTCGATCCGAGATCGGCTCAAGTCTCAAGGTTTGACCCTCATTAGCCACTGAAATAAACATCTAATTATTGGAAAGATTTGTGGAATTGAGTTGAATGGAGAATTTGAACAAAAAAAGGAAATAAACAAATGAACAAAATGATCTTATCCCGTTTTCTTTGAATAAATGAAGAGAATGAATAGAACAAGCACTACGATACAGCTTTGTTTTTGATCTTTTCATACAAAAGACTGCTGACAGACTGCTGGCAGACCTTGAAACAGACTGCTGGCTTTGGATAGGTATGATTCGGAAAACAAAAGTTCGGAGTCACCTTATTTTACGGGCAAATTCAACTTTGAAGATCACAAAAAATTATCCAACTGATTGAGAAGACTTTCTAGATTTGTGGGATTACAAATGATGGATCTGAGGATGATCAAATCCATTGTTTTGGCAAGAATGGCTCGATTCCAACTGGACTGCTGAAACTTTTGAGTGCACGAACTGATCAAATTTGCGCTTAATTGCTTGAGCACTTGAATGAGGATGTGAGCAACGAATTCATCGACAGCGACGCCGAAATCATGGCCGAATTTTTCGAATGTTAAAATGTTGATGATTAAAATAGTTGAATTTGAAATTGTTAATCTATTGTTATTCAACTTTTTCACGTTTATTATTTGTTGAAATTGAGTTGAATGAGGAATTTGAGCAAATGAACAAAATGATCCCAGAAAACCCCATCGCCTTATCTTTGAATAAATGAAGAGAATGAAGAGAACAAGCGCTACGATACAGCTTTGTTTTTGATCTTTTCATACAAAAGCTTCTTGAAGCAGATTGCTGACTCCGAATAGATACCGTAAATACTGTAATAGTACCCCACCCCCATAATGACATCTGACTTTGACTTAAGCTGTGATTCTGATTGGGTTTGTCAAAGTTTACGATAGATTACGGGAGCTTTTAGAAATGCCTCATTTTGAAGGAGAATCATTGCTACTCAAATCAAATTCGGTAAGGCTATCCTGATGTATTTCTGTCCAAATTTCTCAAAGTTGTTCAGATATCGGATAACCAAACTTTTTGCTCGTTTCATCCCGAGATTCATCCTGATCATTTGGTCAAACGTTTACTCGTTTCGATCTCTCGAAAATCAAGAGTTCAATCTTTTCAATCGGCTTCTGAACATAAATTGAGATTCAAAGCTGGTTTAGGTCATTGAAATGGACATCTGATTCATTTATGATTGAACGATGAAAGTGAAAAGAGTAATTGAAAAGTTTTAAATAGAGTTTTCAAGAAAATCGAATTGCTTTGACAAAAAATGACCGATCAAAGTTGAAAATGGTTGAATCAGAAGTAAAACGGGGAATAAGGGACGGCAAGGACGAGCAAGAATCCAAATTTGACCGGAATACTGTGATATAAACTAAAAACTGCCTAATGAACACTCATTACTAATGTTTGATCATTTGGATCACTCAGAATCAGATACAATAGTTCCAAGGTGTCAAACAGGGATCCGAAAAGAGCTGTAAGAAATATACTTTGAGCGTTGTGATTTCTTGTAAGACCGTGTCTCACAAGCGATGTGCCAGATGAGATAGAATGCGATTGTGCGCAAGCATAAAGAACACTAGTCAGCATTTCTTGAAAAAAAAGCAAAAGAAAAGTCCAGTGGTGATCGAATCTGTGAGATCTCACTCTCAAACGGACGCTGTTCCACTCGGCCACGGCTGCACCCAATTCGGACCGCAAAGAGGCTGTTCAGACCCAAATGATCACATTTTCAGAGTCCTAATAAAACTTTAGACGCTTATAACTCTTGGCAGATTCTCATTTAGCAAAAACAGAATATAGATTCGGAATCAGTATCAAATTCTGCGTCAAATGGTATAAGTCGCATAGCATTTGGCTGGCTCAGCCAGTTAACCTTCGCTTGTCAATATGGCTCAATAGTAGACGCTTTGAAAATGCACAATTTATCAAAAAACTTTGCCTGATTAGGGCAAACCAGTACTCAAAATGGAGCAACTTGGCATTATTTATAACCATTCAACACTTGCAAAGTGAAATGAAGAGTGGAGAACTTTTTATTTGATGTTCAAATTGTGTTACAAGACAAACTCTCAAACTTGATCGATTTCACAAAAATGAAGAAAAGGAGCCCGAACGGAATGAACGCGAAGCTTAAAATGATAACGAAGAGTACGGTATCTTATCTATCGACTAACAGTAACGGACTACGGTACCGTATTTATCGATTTTGAATTTTAACTTGTTTTTGACTTTACTGCTAATTTGATTGCCTGCAAAGGAGTGGCAATTCGCTACAAGAAGTCCGGTTTATTCGCTAAACTTCGAACTCTTGTAAGCCAGTATCTCTTTATCGAGTTTTTGATGAATTACTGTGATACAAACTGGAATCATCTTCATACTGAATACTCATTTCTAATGTTTAATCATTTGGATCTTGGCAATTACCATGATTCAGCCTTACTGAATTGTGTTACAAGACAAACTTTCAAACTTGACTGATTTCACAAAAATGAAGAAAAGGAAGCCCGAACGGAATGAACGCGAAGCTTAAAATGATAACGAAGATTACGGTATCTTATCCATTATGTTTAATCATTCGGTTCTTGGCAATTCGGATCTTGGCAATTACCATGATTCAGCCTTCGGCAAGCAATACAATTCAAATTTTTCAACCTCGCTCCCATCAGCCCTGTCCATGGTACTTCGCTGTTGGCAACAAAAAAACAAACCGGCAGATAAATTTAAACCATTCAAACAGTATTTATTTGTTGTTTTCAAAGAAATGAATCAATTAGAATTGAATTTGAATATTTCCCTAAAATTTGAATATTTCCAACTCCGAGCTCTTCCTTTAACGATTCGTGAGAAAATCCTGCAAAAGCTTTCCCCATTGGAATTAATCGAATTGTCGAATGTGAACAGCTATTTCTATTCTCTTGTCCGTTTCACAAAGAAGAAATATCTAAAATTTTCGTTCTTAAAATTAGAGGAAATTGAGATCGAATCGGTGAATCAAGGGCAACGATTTGGGAGAGAATATCGATTGGGAAATGGGAAATCCGAGGAAATTGAATCACCGTTGACAAGTGTTTGCAATGTTGAGAGTGGAGAAGAGCACACATTGGATCGGATTAGAGAAGCCGAGATGAAGGCCTTGTTGACGAATTCGGATATTGTTTTGGTGAGTTTTATACATAACATTGTTCCAAGCCAAAAGCTATAGCCTTGGATTTGTCTGAGAACTGATTTGGAAAATTACTTTGAAAAATCAGCTCTAGCAAAGCTCTGAAAAGTAAAGGAATCTTTCAAGAAGTGGTCTTCGTTGATTTTTTGATAAGAACAAGTGTTAGGTTTCATTCTTAGCTGTCCTGTTAGTAAGTAGACTCTTTCAAATCCTGGTTATAAATTTAGAATAGTCTATTTTACATCTAGAAGCAGTCAGTTCTCACTCGTTTTTTGACCAGCCATTTTTGAGCTTTCATAAAAAATTATCTATCGATACTATGGTCATGAAATCTTGAACAGATACAGAAAAATGATGTCAATTCTCATTTAGAAAAGAAATTAATCGTTTTCGTCTACAAATAACAGAAATATCAGCCTAGAACGGACTATTAAGACGGGTTATTTTTGATGACGCTGTATTTACCAGTAGATTACTAGGTTTCGAGCTCATTTTGTACAAGTTTAATGCTAAAAAGAAAGCACACTTATCAATACGCCCAATGTTAACAACTTTAAGTCACTTTTTCTTTAAAATTATTGCCTTTTGCGCTCTTATTTGTCTAGAAACGTGAAAAGTGCCTATGATGGAAGATAAATTGAGTTTATCACAAATTCTCGTTAAGCTTTCTTAGATAAAAGCAACTCTGATGTGATTCTAGCATTTTTAATGTCCTGTAGATTCGAAAACCGTTAAATAGTGAAGACTTTCTCATCGTTAAACAAGAATAACTGGGGGCTGAACCCTTTTGGTGAGATTTAGAATAGAATTTTAAATATGCTGATCAATCTATCTATTCAATGGCTTTAGTAGGGCAATGTATTAAAAACTCTTAAAGTTACTACTTAAACAAATCAAGTAATTGAGTAATGTTTAGTGGCTTTGCAGTTTGATAGTAAGCTTACTATCAGTAAACTTTACTCAATTACTTGATTTGTTTAAGTAGTAACTGTAACTGTAACTGTAAAAGTTCAAAAAGAGCAAACAGGTCCAAAACTTTGCTAACATTAAAAAGTTAAACTGTTAACTGTTAAATTAACATTTTAGTTTTAAAATCTGAAAGATTAAGTTTTTTTGGAAATTTTACTTAACAAAAGAACAACTTGGGAGTGACTCCTTTTGGTGAAATTTGGTGATCGAGTTCTGATAAGCCGACTTTTGGAATATCAAATTAGTAAACTGTGCAAATAATCTAGAAACTCGAGTTTATTCCAACTCTTATGCAGCGCTTTCTTGACGATTTTTTTCATAAACCAATTTTAAGAGCGCTAAACGACTAATGTGCTCAATAGTTTCCATAAATATTGAACATCCTATGCACTAAACCAGACAAAAACCTCATGAACTTGCTTGAACTGATTTGAACTTGTCTTTGAAACAATCTGGACACTTTTGAGTTGACACTTGACACTCAAAAACCAAGCCAAATTTAATATCGAATTTTCAGTTGAACAACTGTGTCCGCGTGGAGATGATTGACTGGCAAATGAAAGTGAAAAGGATCACCGATCCATTCATTCGAAATCTTGATGAGCTTTTCGCGATCATTTGTCAGTTTCGCTTTAGATCTTAATAATAAGTGAGCTTAATTAAAAGAAAATTCAGAAATAGAATACAAAAATTTTCGTTGAGATGGCCTCAAAGTGAGCGAGCTCTTCTTCTTCCATCAACCCGCGTGTTTCCAAGGGAAAAGCGCCTCGAAATTCGTCGATCGGTTTTTGACACACAAAATGGTAAAGAAATTTTCGAGATTAGAAATGCAATGTTCTCAGATTCAATCACTAAAATGGCTAAAAATGGAATGCGAACAGAAATGGCTACAGAAATTCGCAACGCTGAAAATCCCGAAAATGTTTCTTCTAATCAATTCGGCGTCAAAAAATGAATCGAAAAAATTTCTTTATGATTTAGAGGAATTTTCGGAGAAAATCATTAAGGTTTGTTGAAATTTTGAGCTAGATTTAGAGCTAGATTTAGAGCTAGATTTAGAGCTAGATTTAGAGCTAGATTTAGAGCTAGATTCTATTTTTGTTTAAGCAATGGGAATCGGGAGAAAGAGAGCTCAACTATGTGCATATTTATGTTAATCCCTGGGTCTACGAGAGGAAAAATTACGAGATGAAAAATTTCGGTTAGTTCAAAAGAAATTGCGAGTTTCTAGTTTCTACTACATTAGCACTATGCATTTAAGCTTACTAAATTCATATTCTAATTCTAAACTTTTTTATTCTCAGTTACCGATACTTTGGCAACGAAGCTAACGGATGAAAGGGATGGTTCTTTTAATGTTCCCAACATCGATCAACGCTTCAGATTGATTAAAAGAAGAATTGATGTAATTTTTGCAAGTTCTATCAGCTCAATACTTTAAACTTTATAATAAAGTTAAATTTTAATGGATCTCGTACTCAAATTTCAGAGCAAAGGCCTTCTAATCGTTTCCGGGGAAAACGGGATCATCTTCGTCGAATGTGACTACAATTTCCGAAGGTTTTTTTAAAATTATTGAAAATTTTAGCGTGTTTTCAGAAATCGTGGCCTTGGCAATACTTACTCACAAATTTTGAACCTCATCGATCCAATTGACGATCTTCTGGAGGGCATTTGGAGTCATGAATTAACAGAATGGGGCAGACAAAGAAGAACTGGAAAAACGAAAACGAAACAAGATAAACTCGACGAATATCATTTGATTTTAGAAAATTCTAATCATTTTCTAAAGATTTTGAAATTGGATGAGGATTTTGAGAGAGAGAAAGCGATTTTGCGAAGGTATTTGGATGAATGGATTGCGTTCAGTGAAATGACGCCGAGAAGGGAACTGGCCATTGATCAAGTCAGTTTAACAGTTTGCATTTCAAACTTGTCGACGTTTATTGTCCCAACTTCCTTGCGCATTTCACATCTTTTTTAAATTACAGGATGCATGAAAAGTTCTGTCTCCTCCTAAAAGACCACTTGGCTCTTTCCCTGAATCGTGGTCTTTTAAAAGTCTCGTGGTCTTTGACCGTATTTTCTCTAATAGTAGTGCACCCCGGCGAGCCAAGTTGATGACTATTTTACGGTTTCCAAGCTTTTGTAGAAGCTCAACACTGAAATCCCCCACTATTCAAAAGTTGACATAAGATTTCAAATGACTTTCCCAGCTTCACATTGTGATTTTAGCTCTGGAATAATCTAAAGCAGAAGATCAACGTCATCGATTCTTTCTACGAATACGATTCCTATCCGGTAAATGAAAAAAATAGACAACTACCCCATAATGACGAGCGTACAGTCGCGTAGTCTAACTTTGAACGTTCTATTCTCCGCGCTGCTTTAAGCTACAGCTTTGGCTTTAAGCTACAGCTACAGCTTTAAGCTATAGCTACAGCTTTGGTTTTAAGCTACAGCTACAGCTTTGGCTTTAAGCTACAGCTACAGCTTTGGCTTTAAGCTACAGCTACAGCTACAGCTTTAAGCTACGGCTTTGGTTTTAAGCTACAGCTACAGTTTTAAGCTACATCTTTAAGCCACGGCTTTAAGCTACGGCTTTAAGCTACAGCTACAGCTTTTAGCTTTGATTTCAAATGGTAGCCCTTAAAATCTACTATTTTTTGATATCAAAAGCTTAGTCGGAAAAAGTCTAGAAGCTGAGAAAAAAGGATTTTCTAAAAGGAAGTTAGACTACGCGACTGTACGAGGCGTTCTATTAGAGTATTTACGAGATTATGTACCTAGCAAAGCTAAATGAAAATAAAATTTCAATCTTTATTCAGGATGAACTCAACTTTGACAACACAAAGTACAAGAAAGCGCTCGAATTTGCGGAAGAGTACAAAGAGACGGGAAAAAGGATGGGAACGATTTTTCGTTTCTAATTTTAAGCTAATGCAATTAGCAAATAGCTACAATAATTTATTTTTCTTTATTTTAAAAACTTTTTAGCTAATAAGAGTTTTTCAGTTCGTCAAATTTTTACAATTCGTTTTCTAAATCAGTTTTTTTTTGTTTTTGCTTCTTTAAAAGGAAATTTTAATAATCTATCTTAAAGAAGAATAATTTTCCTTTAAAAACGATCGCTTACAGTTAGATTGCTTTTAAAATTATCGATTTTGACAGCCTTAAACATTTTTAATCGAGCTTTGTCGAGTTTTCCGAAATTTCCTCTATCTTGACGATGTTTTATTATAAATATTATAGAATTATAATTTATTTTATAATAGAAATATAATTATATGACGTCTATTAATGTGGACAAAACTTTTCAGCCAATCTTTATATCTTTATACAGAGAACTTTATGTTTTATTGGGTTGTCCAGTTATGAATGCGCGTTTTTACTATTTTGTAAATTTCTCAAGATATCGAACAGATGTATTTGAGTGTTATATATCATTCGAAAGCTGAAGATCTCCTCTACATTTTGGAATCAAAAAGTTTTTGAATTCATTCAACATTTTCGGGAATTGACTGCACAAAGGGAGAGGTCGTTTTCGAAAAAAACCAGCCTAGATATTCCTCAAGTTTTATGGTGTAAAATAACCGCCCAGCAAAGAAAAGATTCCCTGAAATTGTTATATTTAAAAAAAAGTTGTATTGATGTATCTATTGGCCAAACATCAAACGGTTAACTCAATTTGAGCGGAGCCAAAACTTGATCCAAAAGCACCCTTCCATTTTTTGGCCACCTCTTCTTCTGTGAGTCAATTTGCCCAAAAGCTGAACAAATTCAAAAACTTTTTGATTCCAAAATGTAGAGGAGATCTTCAGCTTTCGAATGATATATAACACTCAAATACATCTGTTCGATATCTTGAGAAATTTACAAAATTATAAAAAACGCTCATTCATAACTGGACAACCCAATACTTGTTAATAGCCTTCAAAAGTTTTCAATTTTTCTACATCTTCTCTATATTTTTTCAGCGATTTTCAGATTTTAAAATTAATAAATATTTATTTTTTGAAACGATATGTACATAAGGTTTTTGTTTTGATCGATTTACGAGCAAGCACAGCATTTGTGAATGGCATTCCAGTAGTTGACGGTGGCCGACGTCGAGCAACCGGATGGACCTTAAAGGGATTGGATTGGAGAAAATTGAAATTCGACTGATTGTTTAATCTTTGAAAAGTGCTTGACCTAGCCAACTACTAAACACTAAAATCTTAGCTGATTCTGAGAAATTCTGAGATGAATCCCTTTTCAACTCGGGTACTTTCCCCTTTTGGTTCCGGTCGGCTTTTTTCCCCCTTTTTTGGGTCCCTTTCCCCCCCCCCCAGTTTGGTTTTTTTTTTCTCTTTCTTTTCTTTTGGGGAGGGGGGTGAACTTTCAGTATTTGGTACAGATGAACACCTGAGAATTTCCGGTGTGAATGCCAAAAATCGCTTATCTCGGCCAATTTCACTCGAATTCCTTTGATTTTGATATGAATTGACGCAAAATTTAGTTTTCTATCGATTGAAATTAAAGCCAAAAGAATTGGAGTGAAATTGGCCAAGATATGTCATTTTCTGTTAGGCAAGAGAAGACGCCTATCGACATTCACACCGGGTTACTGTAGTCTCTAACTAGCCCTTACTACAACAAGTAAGAGTAACAATGCTTGCAATGAAATATTCAATCTATATTTCTATCCTGAAGTTACGGTAGTTCGACCCTTCTCACCTCCGTTGTGCAATCGTGACATCTGTTCACAGGTTCCGAATCCTTTTCCAGCGCAATTCTTCTCGTATCTCTTGAAATAGTTATTCACACAGGTTGTCGAGCAAGAGTAGTCATCAGAGCATCTAGAATTTAGTACTTGAGCAGTTATTAATTGCTTAATTGCTTACTTGATCACTTGTACAAATTTCTATCATTTTTAAATCATGTTCTTAAACTGTACAAAAAGTAAAGTAAATGGCAAAGAATTTGGAAACAAGGGGAATTGAACCCTCGACCTTCTGCTGGGCAGATCACTGAGCTATCAACGCTTTCTTCTCCAAGAAGAAATCGGAAAAACAAGGAAGAAGGAAAGAAAGAAGTTAAAATCCTATCTCAAGCCAAATTTAGAATGTTTTTCTAGAATTTTCTAGAATTTTCTAGAATAAGTACTGAAATTTTTTCCTATTTTCTTCTTTCAAAGAACCTTTTGAACGGATTAGACCCTTTTGAACTCTCTGATAAGACTAGAATTCTTTTCTAGTCTTATCAGAGTCTTCTCTGTCTTTGTTTGAGCGTAAATTCAGTAAATTCACCTCTTCCACGCGGTTTCCGTGCTCTCACCGCTCTTCTTTCCCGGCTGACCGCAATCCTCGTAGTAGGGGAGTTTAATCTAAAAAATAGTTTAACTAAAGATCTATCTATTAAAAAAAAACTACAGTATCACCTAGCAATAAGTCAGAAACAAATGAAATTATGACTTAATCAGTAAAATTAATCAGTCTATAAAGCAATGTCGAGGAGATTCTTGGTTTAAAAATGATATTGTGTTCTTGATCCTCTTGATCCTTGATTTCTTAGAGTACTTACCGTAAATACTGTAATAGTACCGCACCCCCATAATGACGGTGGGAAGTGTTGCGTAGTCTAGCTTTGAACGCGTTTTTCTCGACACTGGTTTATGCTACAATTGGCGCTTAGGTATCAAAACATAGCTGAAATTCAGGGCTATTTTTGATACCTAAGCGCCAATTGTAGCATAAACCAGTGTCGAGAAAAACTCGTTCAAAGCTAGACTACGCACCGCTCCGCACCGTCATTATGGGGGTGCGATACTATTTCAGTATTTACGGTAGTTTCTTAGTGTAGTCCTTCAGCTATTATTTTACCTGATAATATCCGCACGAGAGTGATCCAACATCTTGATGACATCCGATTGCTTTGCAGCCAGATTCGTGCAAGCAAATGCAGTGAATGCAAGTGTCAGCAGCTGTGGTGACCGCGACTAAAATGGTTTTTAAATAAATGCAAAGTATAAAAGCTTATATTTAGCACATTTACCACAATAAGGCTCACTGATGGGCCGTTCTAATGACAATTATTTCTGTTTTTAACGATTTTGCTATATCAATTAATATCAATTTTTAACTTTGGAAAGAAAAAAAACGAAAATCTTGTAACTTGGCTGCTTAAACTGACTTAAAAGCTGCTCAAAAGGTGAAATTTTCAAGTTTATACTTGTAATTGTACTTAAAGTTTTAAGACTGAAGTATTGGAAACCTAGAAGCTAAAGTAAGAGCCTAAAAAAGAACTCAAACTACCGTACCCAAGGCGGCGACGAGGAGAAGCTTGTACATTGTTGCTTTGAGAAGGAAACCTCTGAAATTTTCGCTTCTAATCACTTCTTTTATACTCCTTTCTTTGATTATCTTTCGAAAATGTCTAAACCTTTGGCCTTTTTCAAATCGCTTTGTCTCGAAAGAATTCAATTACCTCACAGTCTCGCTTCGCTAATCACTGATAACCAACTCTCGCAATTGAGCCGATTCAAGAACACCCAAACATCTAATGCCTATTTTGGACAATTTTAGACTAAAATCTCGCTGTTTTTTTACTATTTTTTTTCACTATTGTTGAGAAAAATGAAAACAGATCATAAGAATGCAATCAAGAACGCTTTACTTAAAAAATGCAAAGACCAGATCAGTCCAAATCGAATTGTAGCCAAATCTAGTACTAAAATCGAATACAAATGTATAGAAGTGATCCGTAACTGACCCTTGCTTTAGCTCTTTTCAAATTAAACCCTAACCCTGCTACTAAAATGTCACAGAAATGTGGAATTCCAGACCGAATTCTTGACAGAGATTTTGACCTAGGTCAGCTTCTTCCGATCAAACCTATTCCTGCTGAAAGGTGAGCTGAAAGGTGAGCTGAAAGATGAGCTGAAAGGTGAACTTCAGAAAATTAACCTTAATCTGTCTTTCAAAATCAAACAACCTATTGGGAAAAGATTCCCACAAACTGTTTTCTTGCACTAACTCGTTTTGTCTTTTTGTCAACTGGTAAACTAGAGCGTCAACTGAAGCCAAGCGTAGTTGTCAAGCAATTTTCAATTCTTTCTGTTGTTCTTCCTGTCATTCTGATTTCTATTTAGCTAACAATAGCTAACAATCATATCAGAAATAGCAATTCTATAGCATTACAGAAGTCAAAGGTACGTAGAGCCCATCAAAACACATTGCTCTCGTATTTTTCATTTCACAAAATTTCGTGATATTTCCCAAAAAGAACTGCTGAAGCCTGAGTTGACCTTTCGACTCGGGAAAGATGGTTGTCACGTGGATTCGAAAATAAATGAATGAGTTTCGCGTGATAACAAAGAGAATAGAGCACAAGAAACGGATCCGGTTGGAGGGAAATACAATCTCCCGATTTAGAATTGAGCACAAAATGAAACAAAATTGGAAAAGTTTTAAAATCAAAACCACTACACTTTATCAATTAAAAACAAAGCCCGATAAGAAAGAAAATATTGACGATCAGAAAAGCAATCGGAAAAACGAATCTCGACGCCCAATCGATGAATTTAGCGGTGTAGTTGTAGAAGAAACGACGAATTTTTGAGGGTTTCTCCTCGTTGTATGCGGCCTAGAAATGATAATTGGGTAATGAAACCGAGCAAGAAATTGCAGATGCAATAATGGTACCCGATTCTCGTCCAGCGCCACTCCGATCACCAAAACCACAAAAGTCATGACGACAAATGAGGTGAAAATGAAGAGGAAGAAGTCGGCGAAGAAAATGTGGGAAACCTGGAATTGGATCGGTGTTTATGGGGCTCCATGCATGGTACCGTAGCTCAAAACCAGCTCTAGCATGCAGCTGCAGTGTTCTAGCTGCTGGTCGAACTTTTCAAGCTATCAGAAGGGTGCTTAACTGGTTTAGAGATACTATAGGTCAGGTTAGAGTGCTGTAACTAGTGCAGGGTGCTCTTGCGGTGGGCATCTCCTAAATATAAAAGGAAGTGTCCGTCTGTCCGTCTGTACGCGAGAGTTCTCGGCTCCCCGTCTCCCGTTTTACATGATTTTTAGTTTTAATTTAGTTTCAGGCTTGGAATTCTATGTATTTGCTCATCTTATATTTCATTTTCTTAAAAAGCAAAAGCAACGACACAGCCGGGAGTCGAACCCTGTAGACAGGCTGTAGACAAGCGAGTTCCCGACTGCGCCACGACGAGAACAACATCCGATCAACATCCGACGTGTTTTTCGGCTAGTAACTTATAAAAACCATTGTTACATCTGACTTTGATGGGCTCCAAACCAAATTTTCATACAGAAGCCACATGTGTTCTTGGGGTTGAAAAAGTCACATGTACGTTATAGTGTACTTGTGCCTTTGATGAGCAAATTCATGTTGTTATCGGTCCACCTTACACAGGTATTGTAACATTTAATGTAATTTATAGATTCTGAATCTAAAATCTAAAATGTAATTTATAGATTCTGAATCTAAAAGCCAAAATCTAAACTTTTTAAGAATATTCAGCTTTGGATGGTTTTTTGTTAACTAAAAGGCAAATTTGATAGCCGAAAAACAAGGTGACTCAGAATTTTTGTGTCACCATACCGTAAATACTGTAATAGTACCGCACCCGCATAATGACGGTGGGAAGTGTTGCGTAGTCTAGCTTTGAACGAGTTTTTCTCGACACTGGTTTATGCTACAATGTTCGCTTAGGTATCAAAAAATAGCTGAAATTCAGGGCTATTTTTTGATACCAAAGACGCATTTTTTGAAAGTACGGGTGCTTTGCAACAAATAAAATACTAAAAAATTTTTGCGACTACGCGACTGTACGAGGGCGGTAGGGTACTATTACAGTATTTACGGTATTTTCTTGGGGTTGAAAAAGTCACATGTACGTTATAGCGTACTTGTGCCTTTGATGAGCAAATTCATATGCAAATTCATGTTGTTATCGGTCCACCCTACACAGGTATTGTAACATTTGATGTAATTTATAGATTCTGAATGATTACCTTTGGAAATCGAATCACAAAGAACGTATTATGGAGTAAGCACATCGCGAAAAGAATCGACAAACCGAGAATGACACGAGCGGTCGTGTTTCTGAAAGTTGTTAGTTGGGTTGATTTTAGCTATCAAGCTATCAGCTAATACTTGTAAATCTGCAATACTTCTCTACAGAACTGGCTGACTAACAGTTACCCACTTGCCCAAGAAGAATCCCATCCACGAGAGCACAACTAGCACGTACATCGGGAAAAAGTAATATTTGATCTTGTGACCAGAAACGTCTTCGAAATGGAGATGCAGACGAAGCTAGACAAAAGTTTTCATTGACAGTAAAGTGAATTTACTGTATCAAACGTCAATCCCAAGTAGTCTTCCTTCAATTTCTCATAGGTAATATCGTACAATCTTTGATCGGGAAGTGAAGCTGATGGGTCGACTTGGTGGAAATCTTTGAAATCCAAATCCATCTGAATAAATGATATTCCTCCTGAGATCCTAGGATATGGAATCTATTCTGAATGACGACTCGAGTTCTAAAGCATCACCCAGCTACCGTAGCTCGGCTTTAGCCTCTATATCATAAGTCTTTATAGAGCCTTGCATTTTCTATCTCTAATCATAAGCTAGTTGACGCACATCAACCAGTAACTAAAGTACCAACAACTTGGATTGCTGTAACTCACCCAGCTACCGTAGCTATAGCCAAATTTTCATGATATAGGTCTTTGTAGATCTTTTTCTCATATCTCTAAATCTCTAAAACAGACATGGGAAAATCCAAAACCCGAACCTAATTCCACTTTCGTTTTCTCAGCCGTGTTTCGATTGTTTTGAAAGTTAGTTACAAATAGAAATTGGCATTCTCTGCTTGTAGACAAAATTTCAGAGCAATCCGTCAAGAGACGGCTGAGAAAATGAAAGTGGAATAGGTTCGGGTCGGGATTTTCCCATGTCTAGTCTCTAATGATACAGTTGCTAAGGTGGCCTATGTCTAGTGTACAGTCGACATGGGCATCGGGTCGGGTCAGCAGGTCAAAAGTGACCCGCTGATCCGACCCGCGACCCGGCTTTGTTGGACTAATGCCAACTATCTTTTCGAAACTGTGACGGACCTGAGCACTATAAACTACAAAAATGAAAAAAAAAACTGTCATACTACAAACGATAGACTTTCAACCTCAACGATAGACCTTCTAACTGGCTTCAAATTTGTCGGATTGACATGATCTATAGCTCAAAAAAATAGAGAATCTCAAGTGCTTTTGAATGGACTAAAGTACATCCAAAAACATGATTCCTAAAGGAGTTTAAAGTGGTTTGTAGTCCTGACTCGAAACGGACCGTACTCGCACGTAGTTGAAACGATCGACCCAGGACACAAACCACTATAACTATAACCAAGAAGTACAGTAATTTCAACAAATAGTTTTGAAGTGAAGAAATAAAACAAAAATGGTATTTGTGAATCTGTTACACGCATATTACCTAACTAGCATTTGTTTTTAAAATTTGCATATAAGATGTGCAAATATGCATTTGAAATCTGCTAAAAGGTTTCAAAATGGCTTTTAAATTGTACCAAGTACCAAGCCGGCTCCTTTGAATCAAAGAACTCTTGACACGCTTCTTCAACTTCTTGTCTTTAAGATCAAGGTCACGATCAAGGAAGGTAACGTGTGATGGTACTTGTGAATCTGTTGCATAGTTATGCATCAGATACCCGTGTGATACATAACTGCGGCGTGGCATCCCATGCTATGCCATACGCGGCCGGGAAGTGACCTATGTCACACCGTGTTTTTCTTTTGATTGCCCCACCGCAGGTGCTCTGGGAAACCACGTGGTGCGCCATCCCGCCATCGCCATCGTGATGCGCCACATTCTTACATCGGGCCAACGTAAGCTACTAAGGGTTAGAGGTGTTTCCGAACGTTTTTAGAAATTTCATTTCAAACAGTTTATATGCAAATTTTCAAAACAATTCACGTGCAGATTCACAAGCACCTCGAAAACTGTAAGAAGTCGATTTTCACCTGATCAGCGTCATGCTCATCACTACCAAAATCGATTGTGCAATCCGTAGTGCCATTACTGAAACAAATTGAATTGAGAAAAAATTGAAACAAACAAAGAAACAAAGAAACAAACAATTTTCTACCAATCCATTACTGAACTCACGAAATGTTTTGCACACACGGCGCAGTGAGCGCGATCTTTTGGAGGAGATGGATCCGACCGTCTTTCAAAATGTAAAGTTGAGCGTTTTCGAGTCCGGTTTGCTCGTTTTTGCCTAGAATTTGGGTTTTGTTTTTTTGATTAACAAGTTGACTTGGTAATCAAACGGAAATCAAAATGGAAAACAAAACGGAAATCAAAACACTGAACTTACCAATGAGATCGAAAAATCGAATATTTGGTGTCCAAATCTTTTCGGTCAGCTTTGGAGAAAAGGATGAGTCGGTAAAACAAGGAACCTGTGCTGTTTTAAATGTAAATTTCATTCATATTAGCTTTTTTAGATAGGAATTTCTAAGTTTACGCACAAATCAACAAATTTTGATAACTCACATGCGTAAAGTTGAGCTGAGGATCGTGCCAAAAAAGACCGAAAAAGGCCTCGAAGTTGAGGATAGTCTGAAATGATTTCAAGTTGTATTTTCTAAGCGAAAATTGCAAAACTCTACAAGTGGCACTTTAAAAAGATGTTATTTAATAAAAAACGACTTTGAATGAATCGTAGTAAATGAATCGAGCGATCTCGAAGTAGACTCGAACTTCTGTCGGCCCATCATTCGGCGGTAAACGTGGGTTCACTTTTGAGAGCGCTCGGTCGACGTATCTGAAGGGAAATGAGCAATGGACTTTTTGCGGCCATGGTCGAGTGGATAAGAGTCTTGTTTCCTAGTCGGGTGGTCAGGCTCGATCCCAGCCACACAAAACTCCTACATCAGCTTTTTCTTTTTCTCTTCAACATCGTTAAGGCTATTAGCACAGTTCTGTATTTTTCTATCACATTATTCATGTTAAATAAATGTATATGTCGTAGCCAAAAAGGTTTGAAACGTTATCGGCTGGCTCACTGGCTGAGGGGTTTCAGATCTTTTCGGCTAGCTGATATGGTTTGAAATTTGAAAGACTTGTCATTGGAAGAAATTACTCTTTTTTTGGGATCCTTTTTGGAGAATCCAATGCACTTGCAGACAAGATTTTCTCCATTTTTAAATTTGCCCCCTTTTCGTGCTCCCTGCGCTCTTTTCTGTTATTCAAATTACGGGCAACGCATTGGCTTATCGTCTTTTATTGTTATTTTTTCAAATGTTTGTAATTAAATTTCTAAATGGGTTTTTAGGCAATGAATGATGAGTGAGCTGGAGTTAAGTCTGCGTTGTCTTGTTGGCAATAAATCTTACAACGAATACGCTGAAATCTATCGTAGTGAGCAAGTTTTTTCATTTTTAACAACTAATTAAAGGAAAAATAAAAAAATTTTAAGTTTCAGGGCATTTTCACGCTAGGAATCAAGAATCTCTCAATGCACCAGTTCAGAATGTTGCTAATGTCGAACTTTTGGAGAATTTAGTCAAGCAAGAAAACGATGATCTAATTGGCAAGTTATTTTTTCTATTCGGTCGTTTTTTATTTTTTAGCTAACAATAAAGTTAACTTTAGATTAAGAAGGAATCAATTTGACGGCAATTTTTGGCTGTTGAAGAAGTGCTATTGAAGAAGTGCTATTGAAGAAGTACCATTGAAGAAGTGCTATTGAAGAAGTGCTATCGAAGAAGTGCCATTGAAGAAGTGCCAATAAATGAAACAGCGTTTCAATCAGCTATTGGTCCCGGCTTTTAAGCTCACAAGGTAGACTTTAGTTCATCCTACAAACTCTTCAATAGGAAATTTTCTTCACTTTTAGGACACAAGCATTGCAACTGCACAAATGGATGTGGGAATGGAATGTGCAGCTGTTTCAAATCAAACCTTATCTGCAATAGTCGTTGTCACCACAACAATAATTGCAACAACAAGTGAAATCACCATATTTTAAGCTTATTAGTCGATTGTGATACGCGAATATTTTGTTGCTTTTGATTTAAGAAGATTTTTTAATAAATCGAGATTAAATATCATAATATTAAACCATTAAGCTGAAAAAGGGTGATTTCTTCCAATGGCAGGTGTTTTAAATTTTGGTTTTTAACCCTATCGGCTAGACGAAAAGATTTAAAACCTCTTCGGCTAGCTGATATGATTTGAAATCTTTTCGTCTAGCCGAGAAAATTCAAACCTCTTCGTCTAGCCGATAAGATTTCAAACCTTTTCGACTAGCCGATAAGATTTCAAATCTTTTCGGCTGAAAAAACCTTCTCGGCTACGACATATCCTTAAATATAAATGTCAAAAATCTATACTTTAAAAGAAAACTTTTAAGAAATCTATCGATATCAAACTCCCAGTTTTGTCCAATCAGCTCAATTTTTCTTATCATTCGAATCACAAAACTCAGACAAAATTGGAAAAATGGAAACGAGCAGTTGATTGCGGTGAGCTTCTAGAATTGGTGCCCTTTAGGAAATGGATTAATTGAAAAGAAGGATACGCTTAAATTTCACCAAAATCACCTCAAAATCTCGTCCCGAACCTGTGTCGTATTGCAAACAGCTTCTGAAATTCACTAATTTTAGAAAAATTTGTTAAACTAACCAATTGCATTTGCAAAAAATAGAAAAAACAGTAGAAAATTGAGTTTTAGCAACATTTTTTGATCTTTTTAAAGACAAAAACTCGATTGCTGGCAAAAAGGTGTTTTTTTTTGAGAACAACTGTTCCAATTTGGTGAGAAAATGAGAAAAATGAGAAACACTTTAGCGAAAAACCAATAGCTCTTCCGTTCATTTGATTGGGTGATAAAGAAAAGTTTGCAAAAGTAAATACTAATGTAAACAAAGTTTCGGGAAGAAAACAACGGTAAGTTTAAAGATTTAAAGTTGTTTTGAAGGACTCACTTGAACAGAGCTTGAAGAAAGACCAAGGAATGCACTAAAGTTAAACTAAAGTATATTATTCCAAATTAGGACCAATTCTCACTGAATTTGTGAAACGCATTGTTTTCTATTTAAACTTTATATAAAAGTTAATTTTAAAGAAAGTTTAATTGTCTAACAGTGTGAAAAAAATGATATCATGGGCGCATGGACTGGACCCAGGACTGTAGGGCAGGGACTTTCGGGCCACATTTTTTGTCTTGGCGAATTTCGATTGCGGATTCGGAGTCCCAATTCGGTTTCAACAAAATGATATAATGATATAACAAAATGATAATATAACAAAAACGTGGAAAGGAACTTTAAAGGAACTATAAAGGAATTATAAAGGAATTATAAAGGAACTATAAAGGAACTATAAAGGAACTAAATAGGAACTAAATAGGAACTATAAAGGAACTATAAATGAACTATAAAGGAACTATAAAGGAACGATAAAGGAACTAATGTAATAACAAAATGATAATCATAGCTACTGGATTGACGTTCATCATCTAAAATGATTTGTTCAAAAAATTGGATAAGAAAGGAAAAGAAAATACTAGAAATATTTGTGAAAATTCAGGCATTCCATTCAAGTTTTAGTATGTGGCAAACAAGCAAAATATTATAAGAATTTGGGATATTTTTGTGAAAAATAAAAAGCAAAAACTTTGGAGAAGTTGGGGATTCGAACCCACCACTGGGGAGTCGGTTAGTGCCGTGAACCACCGCGCCATCGACTGCGCCAGGACTACCGATGAGCATGGGCGCATGGACTCGACCCAGGACTGTGGGGCAGGGACTTTCGGGTGAGATTGTTTGTCTTGGGGGTTTTTGATTGCGGATTCGCAGTCCCCATTCGATTTCCTGTCGGGTGGGCTGCGTCCTGTCGTTTCCGATCGTCTGGTGAGCCGATGCCCTCTCTGGCCGGTCGCTGACTACTTCTTTCCCTTTAAGCTTTCCAAAAGTGAACCCCTATCTATCGAAAGGGTATGCCAGATGGAGAGCGATTGTGTGCACAAAGAACACCACGATCCTTTTCCATAGGGGTTTTTGTTTCTTTTGTGGATGTTACAAAAAGAAGATATTGAGCTGTAAATTTGTACCCGTGGGTTTTCGGGGTCCGGGAATCGATGGAAGCTATTCATTTTATTGAGTCAACCAATTTGAACTCAAATTTAGTTGGTTTTATCTTTTAAAGAAACTCGGGAACTTATTAGCCTATCTCGGAGACTGGACTTGAACTTGAGCAACGAATTTCGGTAGTTCAAGAGCAATTCAGTCAAAAAACGCTCTATGATATGGTCGACACAAATGAAGAATAGAGTTTTCATTCAAAACCGAACTTTGCTATTGACAAGGTGAAAGTTCTTGAGGAAATTTAATATTAAATGGTGTCATTGAGAGTTTTTTTTCAATGAAATACATGCGTTTTTTTGTGTTGTCGCTGTTTGGTGAAGAAACTATAGGATTCAGTTATCAAAATGACACGAAAATTAGGCTGATTTGATGCAAACTGGCCGTCTAAATTATGATACCTTAGCTAATAATCTATTGATCAACTTTTCTCATCTCGACCTTTGATTTCCACGATCTGTATAGATATTTTCGTACCATTGGCTTATCGAATGGAGTGACTGTGTCCCGTTTTTGTTCAACTTTTTTAAGCTTTTCTCCACGCGAGCGTTTGTTTATAAAAGTAGTGTTTTTAAGAGAAATCAAACGCGTGTATAAGAGATTGAAGCGAATTTGAAGACTGCCGGCTTTTGATTTATTTTGCTCAACTAACAAATTGCAGGCATGATTGCTCTCATTTTCCTCGTGATCATATCGATTGTGGCCGGTGAATCGTGTTACTCGAACGAAAATCAAAGATGGTACCGTGATGGAGAGACTTTCGTGAGGATTTTTTGAGACTAAGATATTTTAAAGCTTTAACCAACCCCCAGGAAAATATTCATTGGAAATTTTAGCGTACAAGTGATTTCAAATATTACTGCACTCGTGGGAATTTGCAGATCAAAGCTTGCATTCTTCCCGATGCGAATGATGTGAGTTAAAGGATTTTCATTTTCTTAAAGACCTTCTTAAAGAAGTTGCGTTTTTCTAGACTTTTCATTTTCTTTCTTAAATAAAAAAAAGTTATAAAGAGGTTTTGCTACTTTTGAAAGCTCATTGCCAATTGATTAGCTCTGTAAAGCTTCGTAAAGTCATGTTTTTCTAGAATTTCATGCCAGAAACTCAATAAGTTTTACATTTCTCTAAGAAGCTTCAACAAATACATTATTTTAATCAATCAAACATTGAGAATTTTCCTATTTTCTTTCAGCTTGCGATCGGTAAACGAGGATCGGCTCGTGGAGTCTCCTATCGTTGTGTGGTGATCTAATTCTGTAAATCTTATTGTTAGGATTGTTCAATTGTAGATTGAATCTTAGGATTTTGAAGAAAATTTGCTAAATACAAAGCTCGAATTTAGTATAGAAACATTTCATTATAGGACTACTTTAATGGGGAAATTCGACTCGAACGAGAACGTGATCAGCAATCCTATGATCCGTACAGGTAGCCAAGATTTTAAACAACTTTTACTTAACTTTAAAAAACTTTATGGTATACAGGGTGACAAGAAATAAAACGTCTTTGAAATTCAACACATAACTCTCTTTATAAGTGAGTAAACAAAAAAGAAACTACATTTGAAGATAATATTATTGAACTCTCAGTAGCATAAAAAGAATTATCTTAAAGCTAGCTTTATCCAATATTTTTGTCAGTCATTAGAAGCTTGCCACTCAACCCCAGAGAGTGGCAAGCTTGCAACTCAACCATTCGAAGCTTGCCACTCAACCTCCAGAGAGCCGGAACTATTTTTTCAGAAAAATGCTTGGCTTTCAGTTGCCAAAACTCGAACCTACTTCAAATTTTTGCTTTGTATGTGCTTAGGGTATTGCTAGCTAAAAAATGATAACCTTAACGACCCAGCTCAGATTTAGCTTTTCTGCTAGCGATGTTGGAGAATCACTATGTTCCTAGCTAAAAAATAGGCCAAAAATGAGCTCTAGAAAAGCTGGGTTTTGTGTAATGTTTTGTAAGCTAAAGTGTTTCTAGTTGAAAAACACGAGAATTAACTCTTTTGTGTAAAAAAGAACTAATGGCTCGCCTATAAGCTCAAAAATTGGCATCTGAAACCAAGGATTTTTCTGAAAAGTGTCCCGGCCCCAGAGAGGTTGAGTGGCAAGCTTCCAATGACAAAATATCGGATAAAGCTAGCTTTAATATAATTATTTTTTATGCTACTGAGAGTTCAATAATATTATATTCAAAAGTAGTTTTTTTAAAGTTCCTTTTTTTTTACTCACTTATAAAGAGAGTTATTTGTTGAATTTCAAAGACGGGTTATTTCTTGTCACCCTGTAATAATACAAAATACAAAAATTTCAGTATACCTTAGATATCCTATTCGTTTCACCGTACTTATTTGTTTCCAGAAACACCAACGATCGCCGAGTGACCAGCCGCTACGATCCACATAGGTACTTAACACAAAGACGACCACGCGACTCAAGTCACGGCTGTTTTTCGTGAATGGCTAGACCAAATAAGCTCTAAATTTGCAAGAACATGTAATTTTAGGCCCTCTTTCCGAATTTGGCGTTAGTTTTATTAGAAAGTTGTGTGGTTTTTGATAAAAAGCGAAAAAACCAGGTGTTGCCTCGGATTTCTGGGATTTGGTTATTCATTTTGATCCCTGGTCCAAATCAGCCGTTTCGCAAAAGATGCGCGGTTGTTAATGTGTTAATCAAAGTGAAGAAAGCTCGAAAATAGAAAGCTGAGGAGATGAATAATTAGCTCAATATCCCTACTACCGTTACCGTTATATACTTATTAGATTGGCAACTTGAAAGTTGGGAACACTTATTCATTGCACTTCTTGGAAATAACTATTGCATCAATTAATCTACAGTTTTTACCGATAAAAAGGCCCATTTATTCTCTGAAACAGGCTTTTGACAGATTTAGAAAAGCTTGGTTTTTGTGGGTTTCTAGGGGGCAAGAAGTTGAGCCTTTTCAACCCAAAAATGATGAACACTCGATGAAGCGATTTGAGCACTTTCTTCCACGGAAACCTATTTTAATGTTAATAAAAAGAGAGAGAGAGAGCATAACAAGTTATATAAATAGCCTAATTTTCAGCTAGATCTAACCAATCGTTTTTGTTATAGTTCCATTTGAAGAATTTTCAGAGAAACTTGAATTTCTGCTTAAATTCGCTTCAAAAGTTACCGAAATTTGCTTAAGCATTTCTTGAATTAGATAATATACAGGATAGGGTGTCCGGAAAAAAAAGTGGTCATCGATTTGAGTCTGAAAAAATTTTCTCATTGATTTTTGGCGGTGATTGGAATTTCTAAAACGAAAGAACCTCTCCTTGAATTATTAGATTGGCAACTTGAAAGCCTGGTTCATGGCCTGGTTCATTGCGCTTTTTAGAAATAACTATTGCATCAATTAATCTACAGTTTTTACCGATAAAAAGGCCCATTTATTCTCTGAAACAGGCTTTTGACAGATTTAGAAAAGCTTTGGTTTTTTAGGTTTCTAGGGGGCAAGAAGTTGAGGAACCAAAAATGATGAGCACTCGATGAAGCGATTTTAGCACTTTCTTCCACAGAAACCTATTTTGATGCCAATAGAAAAAAGATAGAGCATGAAAAGTTAGGCGTATAGCCGAATTCTCAGCTCGTCTCATCTAATTGCTTTGGTTATATGTCTGTTTGAAGAGTTCTCAGAAAAAACACGAACATCTGCGCAAATCCGTTTCGGAACGTACCTAAATTGGCTTCAAAAGAGCGCATTAAGTCGCATTAAGTCGCATTAAACTCTAAACAACTTTTATTTGAGGAAAATTCAAATTGTATTGGTGCTTTATGATTATTATTAATTATACGAAAAAGTGTACCAACTTTCAAGTTGCCAATCTAATACGTTTCAAATCAATTCTAATTTCTAATCATCTCCTCTCATTCTAAATTCCAATCATCTCCTCAAACTCTAATTTCTAATCATCTCCTCTCATTCTAAGTTCTAATCATCTCCTCAAATTCTAATTTCTAATCATCTCCTCTAATTCTAATTTCTAATCATCTCCACTCTAATTCTCCCAACTATTCTCCCCCTTTAATCACCCCACACCTCATCTCCCTCCTATTCTAAACTCCTCAAATTCTAATTTCTAATTCAAACTTGTATCCCTTCTTGTCGGTGCACTGATGATTTAGCATGAAGAGCACAGATATTCATAGACCGAATAAAAAATGTGATAAAAGCTAAATGAATTGCTGTTTTTTGGTAGATTTAGATGATTAGATTACAGGCAATGAGTATAGTATATGGGAAATACAAATCGTTCTAACTCAATGAATACAAATTTCTAGAGCACCCAACGATCGCCGAGACGATCGTCACCGCCAATACAAGTCAGTTTTTTTCTTATTTGCAAGATGGAACCTAAAAGATTTTAGACATTAGAATCAAATTATGTTATTCTAAAGACCAGTTTAAAGAATTTTTACCCTAATCCTTTCCACTTGCAGTCCCTATGAGAGCCCGAGTCAAGAGCGAAGCGGGGGACCAATCGAGATCGAATACGATCGGTTTTTGCTTTTCAAATCTGGATTAAAAGATAATTAAAAGATTCATTCAAGTTTTCCTAGATTAAACTTAGAAAACTCTATCTAGAGTTGCAAAATTCAAAAATTTCAGCTCTGGATCGAAGAGCGGTGGATACGGGAGTAGCTATGGAAACCACTGCACCGACAAGAAGGGATACAGAAGAAATGCTGGTAAATTTATCAAAAATACGAAAACCGAGATACAAACTATATAAATGTTTTTTTTTTGATCTGTCTTCGCACTCAGGTGTTCCTATTTGTGCAGATCACAACCTGCTTCCAACTCTAACCCTTGTTATTGTCATCCAGTGTTTCCTATCTTGGTTGTTCCTGGTTCGAAACCTTCGACTTTCTTGTGCTGGTGGTGGTTGCACTCTAGCCATCCTTTCTCTGTCCTTCTCAGCCACTCTTGTGCTCCACCTCGTTGCTGGTCTTCCGATGGTCTTGATGGGCCTCTTCTGGTCTCGTGGTAGCCACTCTGTGATCCGTATCGTCCATCGGTCGTCTGTTCTTCTGGCTACGTGGCCGACCCATCTGAGTCTTTTTCTCTCAATCACTTCCACTGGATCTCTGAGTCCCGAGGGCTGGCGCATATCCGTACTTATATAAATCTAGTTTTATCATTGTAAAAACATCAAATTCAAGTTGTTATTTAGGAGAGAAATGGTTTGAGAACAGCAACCTGCAGATGATTTGCCGCGATGGACAAACGAAACTTTACTCTTGTGTCGCAAAGAGCTCTAGTGGAGTGGGTCATCTGACGCTTGTACTTAATATTAAAAAAATCTATATTTTTTTATTTATTTAAATCAATTTAAGTCAAGTTTTATTTGTGGACAAATTTATGGAAATGTTGATCGTTTTTAAAATTAGAATTTAATTACAGTCGAATTTCGACATAACGAATCGCTTGGGAAAGAAAAATTCGATATAATGAACCTAAAAAGTGTCTAAAATTTTCTGCATAACTGTCCTGGACGGCCACTGATTGCTTTTGGCTCGTGCAGCTACTCAGAAATTTTGGGCACGTTTTAGAATTTCAAATTCGTTATTTCGAAGTGCGTTTGATCGAAGTTTGACTGTTGTTTAAGAATTTTGCGAAAAATCCAATTTAACTTGATCTTTTCAGCTTTCAGCTTTCAATAAACCATAAAAACCCTTATAAGTAGAGAATTGAATATGCCAGAAGCCAAAAGTTTACGAAATTTTCTAGGACGTCGAGGTTTTCCCGAATCAAAACGTCGTTCGCGGCATCACGCGTCACATGTGAGTTTTTCCTCGAGAACACAAATGCTTAGCAACTTTTAAAAAGAAATTTAAAACAATAGTAGTATAGTTGTTGTTAAAATTTTACATTTTATAGACATTTCACTCAAAGAACTCAAAGAATATTCCAATTTTCAGCTGTGAAATCCTGCCAACCGGCGTCTACCGCTACCGAACCACCCACTACTCGAACGAGAACTGATTTTCCGAGAAATTTTCAAGTATTCAATAAAATTGTACTCCAAATCAAACGCAAAATCTTTCAATCTTCTTTCAATTCAAAATCAAAATCAAAATTCAATGAGTTTAAGTTAATGTTCTTAAAAAAAACTACCCTACTAACTTTTTTTGTGAGTTATTCTAAGCTATTTTTCTAAACGATTAGCTTTTCTAAGCTATTCTATCGAAGAGATCACTCACCGACAATCGACCACCAAGAACACAATGTAAAGCATTTTCCCAATTGCATAAGAAAGCGAAAATAATAAGAACCAATAAGAACCCAATTCTCAATAAGAATTTGTTTTTCATATTGAATTATTGGGAAAGTTTGAACAAACCACTAGCTCTTCAATCGACAACACAAATGCTGTTGCAATCGAAGCTGATCGTGTGAACAGAAATCTCTTTTTCTTTCAATTCCCGTTTATCTCTTTGACTTGGATTTCCGAAAAGAACCAAAAATTGAGCCAGGCTGACCTAGACCCAGCTCAATTTTTTGGTTCTTTCTGAAATCATAGTCAACGAGACAAACGGGAATTAAAAGGGAAAGAGATTTGTTGTTCACACGATCAGCTTCGATTGCAACTCGATTTTTGCGGCAATTGGGTTGCTCAATTTAGCTCTAGATAGCATTTTTTTATCAAAATTTTACAAAAGTAAACGAAAATATTAGCTCTGAACAAAGAGATGAGTCATTGAAGCAGATGAATCAAAGTATCTATTCGAAATGCCCGGAAACCCAACAAGATCCCAACAAGCTGATAAGCATTTGTGTTGAATATTCTTTGAGTTCTTTGGGTGAAATGTCTATAAAATGTAAAATTCTAACAACAACTATACTACTATTGTTTTAAATTTCTTTTTAAAAGCTGATAAGCATTTGTGTTGTCGAAGAAAAACTGTGACGCGTGATGCCACGGACGACGTTTTGATTCGAGAAAACCTCGACGTCCAAGAAAATTTCGTAAACTTTCGGCTTCTGGCATCAATTCTGTACAACCGGATAATTTTACGGAAACCACTTTGCAAAATCATATCTATTTAATTGTAAAGCCCTACCAAAATGGTTTCAATTGCTACAGGAAAACTACCGTTTTAGCAAAGGAAAATAAATGGAGATCAAAAACTGAGCTAAATTTAAGTATTTCTTGTTAGTCAAAACTTTCTTTTTTCACTCAGTTTTTAATGTAAAAAAAGAAACTTCTGGAACTTTGATCGATCATTTTGCTTGGTTAAAGTTCGGAAAATTACCCAATCACCTTGATAAACCATTTTTTTTTCCAAATTTCCTTCAAAATGAAAACTTTTCCATCGAAATTTCAACTATTCCTCTCTTTTTTTTGTAGATTTTATGAGTGCTGTTTATTTTTGGGCACTTCTCGTTTATTCTCTCCATTTTTCACTGTTTATAAAATTTGAAAAAGAAAACGAAAACGAAAAATAGTATAAAACAATTAAAATATCTATCAAGAGTTGATTCTTTTCACCAAAAAAGAAAATGCTGAAAATTCTCGCGTTTTTCGTTTTTCTTTTGGTTGCACATGGGTGTCGTCATAAAGGGAATGTGTACTCGAATGGGGAAACTTGGGTAGGGAAAATTGTACATTTAAAATTAATATCAGTTACCTTCATATTCTAGTTATTCAATATAAAAAGTATAAAATATGTTTGTGTCAAAATTTTCCCACCAAATTACCCCGTTTTGTAGATTGCTATTGGAAAACTCTCAATATGAAAAATAACAGTGAAAATTTTTTAGGATGAAAATAATGCTTTCCGAATGCGTTGCGATATCGATTCGAACGGTGGATGGAAAACGGCCGTTGTTGGGTGTCTTGTCAATGGAAATCTTGTAAGTTTGGGATTTTTTTGATAGAAAATTGAACGACTAATAAAAACATTATAAAGTTGATTAGTTTAATTTTATGTTTTACAGGGTTGACCATTCAACAAGCAACTTTCAGGTGAAAGTCGGCGAGAAGAAAACCATCGGAGACATAGTTCATCATTGTGACGTGAGCATCAAACACTAATTAGCTGATAAATCCAAAATATTATCGAATACCGTATTTTCTCTAATAGTAGTACACCCCGGCGAGCCGAGTTGGTGACTATTTTAAGGTTTCCAAGCTTTTGCAGAAGCTCAACACTCAAATCTCCCACTAGATCTCATCGTCAGCTCCATTTTCCGATCCCACATCGATAGGTTCTGATAAGCGGTTCTCGAGATTTTGAGGAATTTAGACGATACACTGGGTGCACTACTATTAGAGAAAATACGGTAATATAAATCAAAACATTCAGAGGCAATCAAACGGACAAATCAGCATCCGACACACGAAGAGCGCGACGGCCGCCTGTGTGGATGCTGATGGGAAGAGACACTCTGTTGGTGGGTGAATTTTCAATGAAATGAATTGAATTTGATTTGATGTAAACGAAAATTGATGTCTCTATAAATAGCTTGAATAGTTTCAACTTTTAGAAACTTTTCGATGATTAAACGATGATTTTCAAAACCATTTTCAAGGCTGATCAGATCTGGCTTGTGAACTTGTCCTACTTGACCTGGCTCATGGGACTTAGAATGGCAAAAGTCAAGCCTGAATCTGGCTTCTGATCAAACTTCCAATCAAAATGTACTGATAATGAATAGACTCTTTAAAATTAATTACTAAATTAAAAGGTTCTGATGTTCAAGTAGAGCGAAAGCTCTGAAGACCCAGGGATTTCTTTCTTTCTTCCTTTCTTTCTTCCCTTCTTCCCCCTTGTCTTTTCTTTCTTTCTCTTTGCAATTTAAAGTACCGGATAGATCAGTGGTTAAAGTAATTGCCTAGAAAAGATCGGGGGTTCAATCCCCTCTCCTACTTTTCTTGTCAATTCTTTCACTTCTTTATTACAGGCTCCAGGCAAGTGGAACATCGTACTTTGATCGAAGATTCTAGCCATAAACAAAAACAAGAACAAGCCAAGCATTAACTTGTAGACTTTAGTGAGTAAAAACAGTGGGTATTTGTGGATCTTCAAGTCAGTTTTATCTTCAGCTTTCAGGTGATAAATGGGTGCAACGCACACACTTCGAGATGCTCTGCGAGCCTGAAGGAAACACGAAATTTGTCGGATGTGTGGCTGAGGTGATGGTGTAAAAGAATGGACTAAATTATTTGGATTTCTTCGTTGAATTGAATGAGCACCAATTTCAGGGTCAACACCTCGGTCCGAACTCATCCAGAACGATCCACGGAGTTCAGCATCAGTAAGAGTTTTCTGTACACTATTTTAACTTACTTAATCGAAGATTTTTAAAAGCAAGCTTTCTCAATACAAACTTATTCCAATTTTAGCTGCGACTCAAAGGTTGACGGCACTTTCCGCTACTACACTGGACCGAAACAGTGAAAAATCACTAATATTCGGATTGAAATAACTAATAAATTGTATTAGAAAGTCAAAGAACAAAAAAAATGAGTGATCCTTCTCTTTCTTTCTTTCTTTCTTTCTTTTTCCTTTGTATTTCCTCTTCTTCCCTGGCAAAATGATACCGGATGGATCAGTGGCTAGAGCATCTTCCCGGAAAGCAAAAAGATCGAGGATTCAATCCCCTCTCCGGAAACCTTACTTTGCCATTACTTACTTTACTTTATTATCGGTTTTTTGAAGTTCCCCGGTTCAAATGATCGACGTTTCAAAGGCAAGACCTAGCTAAAACAGCACGTATGGGAAAATGGTCAAAAATACGGTCAAATTCAAATTCACTCACATCCGGTGGAGGTTTAACACTAAAAATCCTTCTGCTTCTTGATTACATAATGATTGAAATGTTTTTTAAAGAGAAAAAGCTCAAGATTTTTATGTAAAATGAGTGTTTCTAGCTGAAGAACAGAAAAAATTGTGTCATCAAAGGAAAAAAATGGTTTATCGACAATTTATGGGCCAGATGATGAGTAAAGGTTTAAGCCTCATAACTTTTTCAGAGTTAAGCTCTTTGTCTACTCTTTCTATTTGATTAGAGAAAGTTTAAGGCTGTCTAATGAAATCGAATCGAGGTGCAATCGATCTATTGTAATGAAAACTGAGCAAGAGCTCAGCTAATTCTACCATTGACTCCTTTTCCCCGTTCTTTATTTAATCAATAAATTTTCCTTTGATTTGATGTCATTTGGCAGCTTTCTCAATCCCAAAAAGCACAATTGAAGACAAAAAAAAGCAAACGCAGGCAAAAATTTAGAGGATTTCTTCCAAATCCGGTTGCAATTCTCTTTTTTTTTATTTTTTGCTCAAATCAGTCGCCGCAACACTGTTTTCATTTCATTTTGAAGTTGTTTTCAATTGATTTCTTTGATTTCTATTGATTTCTTTTTTTTTTTTTTTTTTTTTTTTTTTTTTTTTTTTTTTTTTTTTTTTTTTTTTTTTTTTTTTTTTTTTTTTTTTTTTTTTTTTTTTTTTTTTTTTTTATTGATTTCTATTGATTTCTATTAATTTCTAATAACTTTCTTTTCTTTTTTCTATAGATTTCTTTGATTTCTATTAAATATGGAGATAACTGTTGAACAAAAAAAAACAAGAACGAAAAAGAAATCCGATGCTATTCAGGTAATGAGTTTTCGATTATTGGGACAAAGCAAATTGGCATTTCTATGTTAATTATAGGCATTTTCTTTGTGATTTTATTTTTCCAGGCTCTTCGAGCTGTTTCAATCATCGGAGTGGTGGCTTATCACAATTTTCATTCACTTTCTCCACACGGATGGATTGGAGTCGATATGTGAGTCTTGAAAAGGTTTAAACAAACATTTTTATACAGTGCGTATTGTGCTGGTTTGTTTCTGGGTTGTTCCAAAGCTTTCAAAGCTATTTTGACTTTCAATTTCAATGTCCCAATGATTAAAATATATTCCTAAATGGTGCAAAAGCTACCGTACTTTTAAGATATAAATAAGCAGACAGAGTACAAATAAGTCGTTCTAAAGAAGCTAATAAATCTTAATATTGTATCCTTTTCACTGGAAAAGACAACGAATTCCTATAGCTTTTTTAAAGTAACTTTTAGAAAATTTGAAAAACAGTACGGAATCAGTGATTATTTCAGTTTCTTTGTGATCTCTGGCTACTTAATGACAATGATTCTTTGCCGATCCGGGATCACGAAAAGCTCGACAATCAATTTCTTTCAACGTCGAATCAAACGAATCGTTCCTCTTTACTTGTTAGTTTCTGAAGTGAAATATAATATTGCATTCTACAAAAGGATGCTTTTCTCAAAAACCAAAAGACTTCACAGTTTTTTTTCGTTTAGTTATTCTAAATCTACAGACATTTTTTCACTAAATTCATGTTTTTGTAAAAATTTAAAACTTTTAAACGCGGATTACTGCTCGAAAAAATATAATTTGTCGAAAATTCCATTTTTTTAGATGTCAGCCCAGTTTGAGCACTTGCTTCAAAAGAAACCCATTTTAGTGTCAATGGAAAAGTTGTAGAGAATCAAAAATTAATTACAAAGTACTTTACAAAGTACAAAGTACTTTACAAAGTACAAAGTGATTATAAAGTACGGCATAGTGTTGCATAGAGTGTTTTCCTCACGAGCAAATGCGCATTTTAAAACGCTCACTTAGGAAAAATTACCGTACTTTATTGCAAATTATTGCAAAAATTATTATTGCAAAAAATTGGCGGAAGAAAAATCACGAGCGACCGCTTATATACGACTCTTTCCTAAAGATATTCAGCCGTTTAACTAATTTGGTGGCAAATCCCCTTCACAAGAAAGATATTCAATTTACTCGACGTGTAAAGAGGATTACTCGTAGTTACTTGACCAAAAAAACGTCGATTAATCGAGTAAAAATTACTCATGCAAATTTTACTCGAATAATTACTTACTCGCGAGGAAAACACTCTAGTGTTGCACTCTACAAAAGGATGATTTCCTCAAAAACCAAAAGACTTCACAATTTTTTCGTTTAGTTATTCTAAATCTACAGACATTTTTTCACTAAATTCATAAGTTTTTGTAAAAATTTAAAACTTTTAAACGTGGATTACTGCTCGAAAAAATGTAATTTGTCAAAAATGCCATTTTTTCTAGCCAAGATAACATCGCATTTGCAATAATGAAGCTCAAAAAGCACTATTCTTATAGAAAATAGCGTAAAAATTGAGAAAAAGACGGAAAAAGTTGATTTTTAGAGATCCTAGACTCGAATTTAATTGTTTTTCAGCCGCATAGCATAGCATTTTTTGTACTGCTCGCCTAGGGTTGTCAAAGTCATTAAAAAATGTTACCGTTCTTCTGTTCTATGCAAAATTATGTAGATTTTATGATTAGTCCTTGTTTTTCGGCTTAGCTTAATGGATTCTCTTAGAAAGTGAAAAAGATCCATTAAGCGCAACACTGCAGGGTGATCAAAAAGTTGCCTTCAATTTACAAAGAAAAAAACTCCATTTTTCAGCTAAAACCCAGATCGAAATTCGAATTACTATATAGTATTTTGAAGATGAAATTCTGCAGAGCATTTCCACACCTAAACCATCCTGATCAGAGCCATCTGGCTCTCTAAAGAAGCATTGTTGTGCCACTGGAGACAAACTGCCATCACACTCACCTATTTGAACCTGTTTCCGATTGAAAAATCCTTCAAAAAGCTTTTTTTTATTTTAAAAGAAAAGAATAATGGTTTTTGGTGAAAATAAAAACGTAAAATAGTCTTTAAAAACATGCAAAAACTCTGCCTCTTTCGATTTTCCTAGCGGAGTTCCTCACTAAGGACACTCTTGAACTCGACACCTAGTTTCACCTCGAGACATCGCTCATTTGCGCTACTTTCGAATATGTGGTTCGTTTTTGTGTAAATGAGGGTGGAAATCGGTCAAAAATGGCCTCAAAGTCAATTAATTTTGAGGGCTTTTCTCGGATTTCTGGATTTTCGGATTTTCGCTCCTTAATATGCTTTTTTTCGTCCCATTTCGATGTGAGCTTGAAGCGTGGGTAGTGGGCAAACTTTTTCAAATCCGCTTGCAGTCAAACATTTTGCTTTTTTACGATGCAAAGCTTCTTGAAAAGGTTGGAAATTTTTGATCGGAGTCATTTAATTACAGAAATGTTCATGCGAATTTCAACTTCAAAGTACTATAAAATACGGGAAATTTTGTTTTAGCTTTCATTTAGAAAATCAATCATTTACAAGTGTTCGGAAACTTTTTGATCATCCTGTAAAAAGTTTACGAGCATCAAGTTTATTGGATTATTTTAGATTAACAATTCTTGGCACTCTATTATTCGGACGGATTTTCTATCGTCAACATCATGTTTTCGAGATTGGCAAAGAAGCTTTTTGGCCTTTATTTTTCATCTATAATTTTTACTATTATTTCTTTGATGAATCGAAAGAAGCGTTCTTTGATGTGGTGCGTTGAGTTTATAACTTTTTATAATTCTTAAACTTAAAGCGCAGTGATTGCGCTTTTGAGATAACAATCTATGCGAGAAAAGTCAAATCACTTCAAAATTTCGTCATTTTGAGATAAATGGAATATTTTGTATTCCTGTTTCCATTGCTATTGCCGTCACATCATAGGGGGTTCTTCCAAGTCCAATTGCAATAAAGCACCCCACACATGAAACCGCACCAAGGAAGAAGTAAACCATCTACAAGTATCCAAAGGAAGAAGTAAACCACCTACAAGTATCCAAAAGAAGAAGTAAACCATCTACAAGTATCCAAAGGAAGAAGTAAACCACCTACAAGTATCCAAAGGAAGAAGTAAACCACTTACAAGTATCCAAAGGAAGAAGTAAACCACCTACAAGTATCCAATCAATAGTGGAGTCAGCTGATAACTTTAAGTAACTGAGAAGTTTTAGAAAGACTACACATTTCAAATAAAACCCACCCAATAAAGGTTTTCCTGTCATAAAGTGTCACATGCAAGTGTTTATCAGACATTCAAAGACAATCACAAAAATTAAAACGAAAATTACAAAAGGGCGCAATACCTAAAAACATAAATGATGGTTTTTTTTGTCCTTTTACTGCCCAATTCGGTCTCCATTTGGCAATAGCAATAGAATTATCTTGAAAATTCAGAAATTTTAGCTTTAAAATGCGATTTCCAGGCAGCCACCGCTCGTCCTTTCAAACAAACATGGTCTCTATGTGTTGAATTGCAATATTACACCCTCGTTCCACTTATATTCTTCGTTTTCCTCAAATTTGAGAGAAAAATCCGAATTTGTTGCACACTTTTCGCAATCGTTGGATCATTCTGTTTACACATGGTACCAAAAAGCTTTGTGTTAGTGTTCTGGCGCTCTCGATTCTCCATTTTTTTTTATAGTAAACTTTTGTGGTGAGAAAATTGAAGACTTCTGAGCGCCAGAAAAGCCTTTTTACATTGTAAATTATCAAATAAAGTAGCATATAAAGTCCTTTTTCTTTTTCTTTTTCAGTTTACTCCTTTTTCGTTCAACTTTCGATCATTGCCAACGAGATTCTGGGAATTTATGATTGGAACTCTAACTTATGAGATTATTCAGATTTTCGAGGAACAAAAGGTAATAAAAAAAGATGATAAACGGTAATAAAAAGTGGATTTAAAAGGGGATTAAAAAGATAAAGGTTCCAAAAAAAGGAATTCTAGATTTCCCCAACTGATGGCAATTCGGATTTAAAACAAATAAAAGTTGTTCAAATTTCAAGTAGGATTCAAAGTTTTTAGCTGATCAAAGTTTTGAATTTCCAGATTTTTCCTATTTTTCGCTTTTAACAATTCTTTCTTATGCTGGCTGTTGGTTTCTTTTATATTTTTCGACGGGAAATCTAATGGTAAAGTTTTTGTTAAGAAACTATCTTTAAACTTAATGCTGAATAGCCATTTTACTTGTGTTGGCATTGAGTTTAACTGTTTAAAACCATATCCAATATTTCAAATTTCAGCTAGACCGAGCCCTATCGTGTCTCCTAGCAGCGCTTGTCATTGGATTCTCGAAATTTGGTCTGTTTATAGAACTTGAACTTTTCAATTTCATTCTATTTTCAGAAAAATCCTCTTTCCTCAGCTTCACTCCATTGAGATATATCGGAAATATCTCCTATTCCCTATACCTTGTCCATTTTCCTGTCTCGAGAATCGCGATGTACTCGATGCAAGAGTATTGGCAATCGCAAGTCACTGTAAAACGTGAGTTTTACAAAGTTTCTGTTTAGCTGTCAGTGCTAACGAAAGCCGGCTTTACATTACTGTTGCGGCAATCACATACCACCTTTACACATTGCCGCCGACGATATTTTGGTACAGTCGCGTAGTTCTCACTGTTTTACTGAAAATTTGGTGAATATTCAAAGATAAACTCAACTAAACTATTGGGTTAGTGAATTGAAAACTGCGGGACTTTGAACTAAAATTTATTGAACATAAAACCATCAATTCATTCGAAATAATTTCCATTATTATTGACGACTTCTGCCCATTTTACAGGCAATTTGCGGATTCCTCTTTCGTGGTAGGATTCTGTTTTGTGTGTGAGACAAGTGTGAGACTCGAAAATGGAGGACTGGAGATGTCAGCTGTCAGCCCAGTTTGAGCACTTTCTTCAAAAGAAACCCATTTTGGTGTCAATAGAAAAGTTGTAGAGAATCAAAAATTAGGCTTATAGCCAAATTTCCAAAAAGATACACTTAGTAGTTTCGCTTAAAATGCAAGTTTTGTGCAAATCTGTAAATTCCGCATTTCTTGAAAATCAGTTTTTGAATCGTTCTGAAAATTTGGATATAAGCTTGATTTTTGATTCTCTACAACTTTTCCATTGACACCAAAATGGGTTTCTTTTGAAGAAAGTGCTCAAACTGTCACATATGACAATAGCCAGCAGTTTTCAATTCACCAACCCAATATGAGACAAGTGTGAGACTCAAAAATGGAGGACTGAAGACGTCCCAGTTTGAGCACTTTCTTCAAAAGAAACCCGTTTCATGTCATGGTCAGTCAAAAAGTCATGTCAATAAGCCACTACTTTATTTACAATTTTGCACAAAAGCTAAACCATAGATCTTCCTGATATTTTAGTATGATAATTATTAAAGAGATTAGTATTATTGTACAAAATTTGAACTCAATCTGATCGCTTGGCTTTGAGACAAAGCATTTAGAAATTTTGATAGAAAGAATCATTTTTCCAATATCACTTAAAACTCAGGCATCTGATTTAAATGAAAAATTCGATAATAGACAAAAATTGCAACATTTATTAATAAGAAATAAAACTTTTTGTTGACGGAGATGAAAAGCAAGTTATTACTCTTCTAAAGATCCCTCTCAAAGTCCAGCCATCAGATTGAGTTAAATCTTTGTACAATAATGTTAATCTCTTTGATAATTATCATACTAAAATATTAGAAAGATTTATGGTTTGGCTTTTGCAAGATTGTAAAGAAAGGAAAGGCTCATTAATTATTGACTGACCTAATAGCTCATTCAATAGCCTGGAATCTCCTTTTAAAAAACTAGTACAAAGCTATTGAGAACTTTTTGATAAATTAATAACAAATTCCTTATAAACTTGAGTTTACATAGAAAAAAATCGTCATTAATAAGGCCCACCGGTGAGCTGTAGCATCGTGACCGTGTTAAGTAATCCAAGATTGTAATTTGGCTTCATTTATAAGTGCAATTGATCGGGAAAAGCCGGTTTATTCACTGGAGAAAAGGTATGGATGATTTGATTCGGTTTTAGTTGATCTGGATCGGAAAATGCAAGTTTAGTTAGCATCTCTGGAATCCAATTCGCATACCGGACGATCGGGTGCTTGAAAAAGAGCTGATTCGGCATTTTCTTTGGACTCTTTGGATTCTTTGAATCCGTGAATTTGATGTTTTCGCGCCAAAAGGATTCTCCAAAATCCTTTAAATGAAGATCAAAGAATTGGAAGAACACTGACTTGGAAAGATTTGACTTACCGCAAATACTGTAATTGGACCCCATGGGGTACTATTTTTTCCCTTCCCCTCTAGGGGGTGGGGTACTATTAGAGGGGGTACTATTAGAGGGGGTACTATTAGAGGGGTACTATTAGAGGGGTACTATTAGAGGGGCATTAGAGGGGCTATTAGAGGGGTACTATTAGAGGGGGTACTATTAGAGGGGTACTATTAGAGGGGGTACTATTAGAAGGGGTACTATTAGAGGGGGTACTATTAGAGGGGGTACTATTAGAGGGGGGTCCAATTACAGTATTTACGGTAAGTCAAATCTTTCCCACCTTAAACCAGAGTATTACCACAATCAAGCATCTCTTTCAAGTCAATCTTAGGCTAAAGACCTTTCACTAGGAACCCTGCCATCCTCCCATGTGGTCTAGTGGTTAGGATTCGTGGCTTTCACCCACGCGGCCCGGGTTCGATTCCCGGCATGGGGAGAAATGTTTTACTTTTTTCTTCAAAGCTCTTTTTCGGTAAAATTTGTATACAATAGTCTTGAATCTTTCGATTAATCACAAAATAGGATATTTCAGAGGTTCTCATCTCGATCTTTCTCTCGATTCTCATCAGCTGTCTGCTCTATCATTCCGTGGAAAAATGGTGGATCAAAGCTCATTTCAAAACGAGTGTTATATCAATTGGTAGAATTTTCTCTTCAATGATTAAGCCAAATTTTAGTTGTGCTCTATGTTTTAACCATTCTCTTAATCACTGAGCCTTATGTGACAAAGAAACTCATCTGCGGAGATTATTCGATCGAAAATAGTGATGGTAAGTTCAATAATTAATTTAAATAATGAAATTATAGTAATAATAGAATTTCTTTTTTATAAAGATATTCAGTTTAAAATTCAATTTTATAGCTTGTCCCGCGTTCAATCAATTCACGCAAATTCGCCCGAAATGGTATAATGAAACCGAGATTTTGAGAAGAAACTTTTGAAATTCTCTTCGCTTTCTCGTTTTTCCATTTATAAAGGAATAAAGTGATTGAAATTCATAAAACAAACGGATTTATTGCTCGATAAACCAGCCATTAATTCTTGTTTAAAGTTTCCTTCATAGAGTTAAAATAAACAACAACTTTCCCTCAAAAGCCCGATTTATACCTTTAGAATTTCCTTTTTGCATATAAAATAATAAAGGTTAAAGTACAAAAGTGACTAAAATTCATAAAGTAAACAGATTTATTGCTTGATAATGCTCGATTCTCATTGAAGCCATGCAATCTTTTGAAAGAGCTGCGTTTGCAATAGAAATGCCCGCTACAAACTACAAGACCAGACTACAAACCCTTACAAAAACGCGTAGGATAGAGATTTTTTTTAAACTTTCTTTACTAAAACAACGAGCCAACTTTAGGCTTTCGAATGACACCAAAATCAAGAAAATTCATCATCTCTACAGGGTGCGTCATAATTATTGCAACAAGATACTCAAGGCATTGAACACCAAGAAGTTTCACTGGAAGAAGATTTTTAAACAGAAATAACTTTATTTAACAGTAACAAATAAGGAAACAAGAGATCATTCGATATGACCGCCTTTTGCCTTGATAACAGCCCTTAATCGGTTCGGATCTGCCTCCACTGCGGCCCGAATGTCATCTTGAGGAATCGCCTTCCATCCTTTGGTCAAAGACTTCTTCAAAGAATCCAAACTTGTGTGTTTTCGAGAGCAGACATTAGCCTCTAAGATTGCCCAAATGGAAAAGTCCATCACATTGAGATCCGGTGAGTTTGGAGGCCATTCATCCTTGGTGATCACTGAGGGAAAGTTGGCGACACACCAGTCCTGAACCGTCTTCTTCGTGTGAGCGGGAGCTCCATCTTGCATGAAGGTCCAATTTTGATTTTTATTGGCTTTACACGCCCATGACACGCCCGTTTTCCTGTTTGGAAAACGGTCTTTGAACTCTTGTTGCAATAATTATGACGCACCCTGTACTCCGAGAACGAGCTACACTACTGGACAATGAAATATCATATTTGAAAAAACACTTTCGCACTTTCGCGCATCTGTAACTCCCTTGTCTTTACCGTATTTCTAAATATTAATATTACCATTATGTAGCCCTTGAAAAGAGCTTTCAGAAAATGTATAACACTAATAGTTTAAACTCAAAGACAAGGGAGTTACAGACGCGCGAAAGTGACGATCGTTTTTCAAATATGATATTTCATTGTCCAGTACTGCATTTATAGCCGTTTGTAGCCATGGATGAGACTATAAACCTCGAACAAACGTTAAATCCCAGCACAGAAAACATGATTTAACCTGATTTTGGTGTCATTCGAAAGCCTAAAGTTGGCTCGTTTTTTTAGTAAAGAAAGTTTTAAAAAAAATCTCTATCCTACGCGTTTTTATAAGGATTTGTAGCGCGGATGTCTAATTTGCAAGCTATGCAAAGAAATTCTCAAAACTTTAAGGACAAATTTTTTTTGGTCACTGGCACGGGAGCCACAGAAAATTGAAATTTAGAGGGTGGCGTATGGTTTTGCACCGCACTGTAGTAACATCATTTTGCTCGCCTGATCAATGTGAGCCTTGGAAAGTGCGTAAAGAATGATCGTTTTGATTCCAATAACTGCTCAAAAAGAAGAAATTTCAAAAAAAGAATTTAAATCTTGCTGAAAATCTTGATGAAAAACTTTGTTATCATAAAATTTTTCTGAAAATTTATTTCTGAATTCTGTACTCCTTTAAAACATCGCACCAAAATTGTAGATCTTCATCAGTGACTTGGATATTGTTTTGAATCAACTAAAAATGTAAAATATATAAGGGTTTTTGAAATTTTTCATCATTTTGCTCGCCTGATCAATGTGAGCCTTGGAAAGTGCGTGAAGAATGATCGTTTTGATTCCAATAAGTGCGAGATCACAGTGTTGACAGCGCTTAAATAAATAGCTGAAAACTGTGAAAATATTGTTGAATAAATTAAAACTGTAGCTTAATTGGATTTTTTGATTTGTAACTTGAATTCTTCATTGTTTATTTGTTTCCTTTGGTCGATCTTTCTTTATTGAATTAACACTATACAGGGTGACCAGAAAATACGTGGAATTCATAAAGTTTTCACGATTTTTATGTTTTTTTACCTTTATTGTGTTCAATACAATCTTTTTCAAGTCGTAACTTTGTTTTTTTATAGATTCGGCGACATGAATAGAAAGGAGGAAAGAGAGAAAGCTCGTAATCCCGTGATAGAGTTGCACAAAGCCGGAAAGAAGCCACAAGACATCATCGCAGATACAAAGAAGGATTCGTGAAACGCTTGGCCAGGAAATGCACCCGCTTTGAATCCCCTTGACTTCTCCGTGTGATCTCTGCATGAAGAAAAACTTCGAAATTATCGATAAAGCACAGTGGCGGGTTTGAAAGTCGCATTCGCTGGGCTTGGAATGATATTACTGTCAAAGAGTGTGCGACTATCATTCGCAACTTACCCAAGTGACTCAAGAAGTTTATTGAGGCCCACGGAGGCAACTTTAGGCATTTGATGTAATTTCTTATTCTTTTTCAAGTTTATTGTTGTTTAAAGTTACTGTTTTATTGAATTTTCTCGGGTAAAAGTTATTAGTTCTGATTTCTTTTGTCTTCTCATAAAATTTGAAAAAATTCCACGTATTTTCTAGTCATCCTGTAGATTGCCGTCAATTTTTTTTTGGTTATTTTGTTTGTTATCAATTAATAACTTATTGTAAAGTTAAAATAGAGTAAATTCGAGCGGTTAAACATCAATGAATAAAATGAAAATGAAAACAAAAGGAAGGGATCGAACCCGAGCAAAAATCTGATAGCCTTTTTCAGAAACAAGACCCTTATCCACTACACCACACGGTCACGTTCCAAAAAAAGAAGCGTTATGTATGATTTTTGACCTCTAGATTGACTTCAAACTTGTTTGCCAGATCCCATACATTTTGATCCAATACAAAACTTTGTGCGCTTATAACTTTTGACAGAGTGCTGCGTTGCAAAAACGGATAGCAGTATTGGAATCAGGGTAAAATTCTGTGTCATATACAGGGTGCGCCAAAAGTCCCCGTACTTGTATTTTCTGCATTTTTGGTAATTTTAGATAAAAGATACGATTTTAAAAGTAAGAAATTCGAATTCCTCGCGAAAAACTGATTTAGAAAACGTTTCTGGTTAATTTATAAGTGCAACACTATTTAGGACAAGTGATTGAGAAGAGGATCCGCTCAGGGGCGCTTTGGTCGCACAGTTACAGGGCACAATTACAGGGCAAAGTTACAGGGCACAGTTACAATGATTTCTTTTGATGGAAATTTTTACGGGAAAACCAAGTTCTAACCTGACTTCCGACTCGGTCGTTGACCAAAACTTTATACACCGAATATAAAAACGAATCACATTTTATGTCTAGTTTTCGAAAAAAATCTTGGCTCATGAAAATCTTTTGATCCATAAAAGTTACAGACCTGAAGCCTGAAAAAAATGTGCGACCAAAGCGACCCTGAGCGGACCCTCTGCTCAATCACTTGTCTTAAATAGTGTTGCACTTATAAATTAACCAGAAACGTTTTCTAAATCAGTTTTTCGCGAGGAATTCGAATTTCTTACTTTTAAAATTTTATCTTTTATCTAAAATTACCAAAAATGTAGAAAATACAAGTACGGGAACTCTTGGCGCCCCCTGCAGTATATGGCTTATGTCATTTGGCCATCTCACCCCTGTGATTTTCCCTTCTCAATCTTACCACAGCCACTCGATCCAAAGCTTTCTCTTTGCGAGCGCATCGCTCAAAGTCGAACTCTTCTACGATTTCGCGTAATATTTTCGAACAAGCAGCTCTCAGCTCAGAATCTAGAACTTCTGGATTACTTTAGTCTTTTTGAAATCACGTGAAATTGAAGATTTTGTTGGTGCAGATGCGTTGAATAAGGGTAAACCGAGGGTGAAAAGCTGCTGAATTTGTAAAAAAATGGGTTTTAATGCAAAATTCACCTGTGTGCCATCAATTGTAGACATTGCAGAGCTTGAAGAAGCTAGAAAAATTGCAAACTTGGTCAAACGGTTCTCCTTTTTTAATAGCTTTTCTGTGTTTTGCTTGAAACGACTCCCTTCACAAAATGTCAGTGTCATTAAGATTAAAATCTCCGAAATTTCGCTCGAGACTCGTCAATCAGTTGTCAATAAAGTGAAAAAAATGAGTAAATGAGTAAATTTGCTATTTTGTGAGAAAGTTTATTGAAACGTTTTTTCATTGTTTTTTCTCTAGCATTTGTTTTTCGGGATTTTGATATTGATATTGAGATTAGGCTTTTCTCGGAATCTTTTTATCTTCTCAGCCACCATCCAAGCACAAGAATTCTCACGATAATCAGCCTCGGATTTGAGCTAAAAATCTTGCAATCAGTTTTGCATCGTCTAAATTTTTTGAATGAATAATCGCGCTTTGAAAATTTGATGATAACTTCGTCTAGAAATCATATTATTATTAAGTTTTCTATTTGTTTTAAAGAACACACTTCACCCTTTCGAAATGAGATCAAATCGATTTGATTGGGTCAAACAATCCTGAGAAAATCAAGAGAAAAGTCACTTTGTTCTCTAGCAAAGTCAAAGTCACTTTGTTTTCAAAACCCCCAAGTGAAAGCTTTTAGATTGAAAGGCATAACAAAGTAAATCCCATCGAATCAATTGGGGAATTGATTGGATGGGGTTTACTTTGTTATGCCTTTCAATCCAAAAAGCCTTTACTTTTACAATCCCGAAAATCTACAACAAATCTACAACAAATCTACAGCTCAATGTCTTCTTTTTGTAACATCCACGTAGCAAAACAAAATCCCTAAAGTAAACGTCCCGGGCCCAACAAGCTCGGCACAGCGCTCCTCGAGGCAAGCTGGCCCCCCAGTCCACCAATTGGGATCCGCAAATTTTAGCGCAAATTCACACTGTTAAAACAAAAGAAAAAGAAAGAAAAAAAAAACAAATCAAGAAAAGTTAGCCAGCTGTTTTAAAGTAAACGCTAGTTTCGACGTTAATTTCAATTAAACCTAGTAAGCTACCGAGCAGAAATTGATACAATTCTTATAACCCTTTCAAATTCAAAAGGCTTTTCAATTAAAACTTTATGTGATATAGCAGAATTTCAACTCAAAATTCTCACCACAAGCTCATAAAGGACCAAGCTGAGGGAAGCGAGATCGGATTTTCCCTTCGAACATTTGTCAATTTGAGAATTGTAAGCACACCCGAAAGCCGCAAAAGCCACTTCGAAATTGCTAAAATTTAAGAAACTTTAATACTCGAGAAACTAAGACTAAGACTAGTATTAGTAAGACTCGAGAAAATTACCGTAAATACTGTAATTGGACCCCACCCCTCTAATAGTACCTATGTCGTAGCCGATTATGAATGAAATTTTTTGGCAAATCTTTCTAGTAGAGCAACTCTTTATTGTATGAGGACAATATTATATCATCTTGTAGCGAATTAAATTCTGCGTCGATTGGTACCAAATTTGTGAGTTTAGGTTAAAAATTGCCGGCGCTACAACGTTTCATTCAAAACCGGCGGGACCCCCGTAGCCGATTATGAATTTCAGCCGATTATGAATGAGTGGGTCTAGGAGCGTCCAACCATCAAGTATTTAGTATCATTAAACGCAGAATCATTGATAATTATGTTAAATTTTTCAAATTAGCAAGTTTTGATAAAAAGAAAAAAAATTAGAGCAAAAAAACTGTTTGTTCAAGAGAAAAGTTTGAAGCCCCATAATTTTTTTCTTTTTTTTCAAATCTTGCTAATTTTAAAAATTTAACATAATTATCAATGATTCTGCGTTTAATGATACTAAATAATTGATGGTTGGACGCTCCTAGACCCACTCACTCATAATCGGCTACGACACCTACCCTGTAGTAATACCCCACCCTAGAGGGGGAGGGAAAAAAAATAGTACCCCACCTAACGCGTAATTACAAACAGAGACGGCAATCGTGGAGCCGCTTGGAGCCGCTCGCATCGACGGGATTTCAAGGACATCGAGGAATTGATGATCAAGAAAATGATGGATTCATTGATTCGGATGTTTCTATTGATTTCGCTTGTTAGGTGTTTTTGTTTCGTTTTGTTGTTAAATTTTCAAATGGTTAAAACCAATAAAAACTAAAGAAAAAGTTTGCTTTTGAACAAATGATTTGAATGGATCCTGATTTGGCAACTTAAATAGTGGTGCAAAATAGTATCCCACTCCCTAATAGTGCCCCACCCTCTAATAGTGCCCCACCCTAGAGTGGAGGGAAAAAATAGTACCCCATGGGGTCCAATTACAGTATTTACGGTAGGTAATCGAGAAGTACGATATTTTCCCTTTCAAGCTTTCAACTTTAATTTTCTAATCAAAACTCACTCGCATTTGTCCTTGTGGCCGTTTAAAAGATCCGCTTGGCAAATGGGATCGATCTGATCCTTTCCCGCGTCCAAACAGTTGACGAGATCTTTGGCTAAAAGTTGAACTTTCAAATAAAAGTCAAAATGAAAGTGCTATTGTTGGAAACACAACTAAACTCTGAAGTTAATTTGTCCAATTCTCAAGAGTTGACGCAAGCTCAACTGGCATTAGCTTTTAGATGTTAAAAGTACCTATCGTATCACCCTTTCAAGTAAAATACAATAAGTTTTCAATGTGTATCCATAAAAAAAATCATCAAACCCACTCATTTTCCTTTTATTTTCATCGCACAACAAAGCCTCGCCAACGCAGAAATCCCGTCGAAGCCCCATTGAGATGTTTTGCCCGTCGCGAACAATTGACCCGAAGTCACTAAAGATACAGAATGCCCCAGAATCAACTTGGTTTTTAAAATCTTTTCATCGAAAAAGACAAAAATTAACATTAACAAATTTATTCGCTAGATTCCTTTCAAGAATTTGGTTTTATTTATATCTCCATATTTTCGATTAGGGATCAACGTGCAAAATGTGAAATCATCTTTTTGGTTCGTAATTCGTTCTCCGGCTTTGTGATACGAGCCCATTTTTGTATGTAATATCTTTTTAGTTTTTGAACTGAGTGCGGGTAACTGTGCGCCGCCCTGTAGAACGTTAGAGAAGTTTCAATTCAATTGACGTAGTAAATTTTTTATGGAATGTTTTAAGGCTTATCGTGGTCTCAGAAATGGGTTTTGCCTCAGGCGCCACCAAACAAGATGAAGTTGATTTTTTGATGATTCTGTGAATAGGGCCAGGGAGCTCAAAATTCACGTATACATGAAAAACAAACTTTTGAATTCCTCTATGCTTTAGATCTAGTGGCTCTTTGCCGTAAGTAATTGGCTTATTGATTTCAGTATGTATTGTATGATTAAGTGTCACTGTGCATTTCTCTATGATTCCTTTCACTTTATCGTTTGAATAAAGTATTATTACTCTATTTCACCACAAATCTTTCTACTTTTTGTTTATAGAAATTTATGACAAAAAGAGAATCGAGAGAGAGAATGTTTTGTTTTGTTTACAGGTTTTCAAGAGCTCTCCTAATTCATGGTAAACTTCATAAGAAAAAATTGGGGTAAAACTTGTAAAAAGTGTACAATTGGGGAATAACTATAATTTCTATCACTTTATTTTCTCTGAATTACCATTTTTCTAATAACAACACATTTACAATATCAATAGTAACAGATTTCATTTTCAGGCAGTTTTTTGTCCTTTCAGTAACCAGAAGAAGGTTATGGCCGTTGAAAGGACTGTCAGCTAATATTTTAGTTACTATTGTTATTATTGAATGATTTGTCTATTCTTATGCAAATGTGTTCTCCCCTGTGCTTATCCCTTTCATCGCCGAGAAGGGGCGGTCCTTGGGATTGCCTAGGAGGACAAGTGAGACTCTCATTTGGAGTCCTTCCCCTTACACTCATTTTTAATCTATTCATCTTATCGTACTACTGTGAATAAAGATACATATCTTCCGGGTCTATGCAACTGCAGTTCAGGTCGGTCATTTCACAGGGACTCCCCTCTAATACGTTGGAGGAGTTGAGTTGGGTTGTCGGGGTGTTAGAGATGGCGAGATATCAAAAGGATCCACGCTCTTTAAATTAGCCCAAACTCTAGTCCATATCCGTTTATACCTAGGAACGAATACTACTTTTTTGTTTCTTAAATTTATTTTGTTCTTTTAATGGTCTAGTCCAAATTTCAGTTTGTTTTGTTGGATTAGCTGCTTCAAAAACCTTGAAAATATGGTTAATTTTTAAACGAGAAAACCCTCTTGTTACTGCTTTCCCAGGACCGACTTCTTGAGGGTCTTTTCTTTTCAATATCCTAATATCAAGACAAATTTATAGAAACAAAAAGTAGAAAGATTTGTGCTGAAATAGAGAGATTGAAAAGTGAAATAGAGGAATTGAAAAAGAATTTTTCATGGATACGTGGATTTTGAGCTCTCCGGCCGATGCATGACTCCCTATTCACAAAATTATCAAAAAAAATCAACTTCATTTTGTTGTGTGGCGCCTAAGGCAAAACCAATCCTGACACCACCCATGAGCCTTGAAAAATCAACGAGAAATTCTTCCAGACTCAAACCGATGACCACTTTTTTTTGGACACCCTGTATAACTTTAGAGAAGTTTCAATTTCAATTCAATTCAATTGGCGTATTAAATGTTTTATGGAAAATACGAAAAAGTGTACCAAATTTCAAGTTGCCAATCTAGTAACTGTGGGATTAAATTTGAATAATAAATCTCGAAAAAGAAGGCTTGGTTGCTTAAATGTTTTGGTTATAAGCACCGAAATTCATTAAAGAATTGCAACTAGACGATTGTTTAATTTTGTAAAAACGTATCTTAGCAAAACTGACTCAATGGTTCAATTAAATAATTTGAATCAGTTTTCTTAAAAGTCTCACCTGCAGATCCGATCCAACAACTCCTCCTCGCTGCTGTCGCTTTCATCAATGAATCTTGCCAGCTAAATTAGAGGTAACCCTTTGAAGCTTTACAAATCTATAATAATAAATAATTGATTCAAATAAAATTCCTACCGGAAAATTTAGACGAGGACGAGAAAACGAGGCTGCCCTGACACCGACGAGAGCTAAAAATTGGTTTTTTTTTATAATCACTAGCTTTTATTGTTAGCTTTATAAAGTTTTCTATAAAATTTTCAATTTCAAATTTTACCAATTCCAGCGAAGAGCACAAAAACGACCAACGGATTGGCGTTCATTTTTGGTGAATGATCCTCCATTCCTCCATTCCTCAAAATCCAAATTTATTTTGACGCTGATTTAGCGTTGATTTGGCTCATTTCACAGATTTTAGACAAATATGAGAATTGAAAAACAATGTTTTGGTGAAGTTTGGTGAAATAAAAAATGAAGCTTTGAAAAATGTGTGAAGAATTTTCTTAGTTCTGACTTTAGCTGCTGTAATCTTACAATTGTTAGCTCTAGTTCTTTCTAATCTTTTTTTCGTACGATAATATCCACTCACCTATTTCTAACATTTTCAGATCCTTAAATGTCCTGAGAAAGGCTGTCCTGTTTGAATGCACTCGTGCTCATTTACCTCATTTGCTCATTTAAGAATTTTGTTAGTTCGGACTTTTTCAGTTTATAAAGGAAATTCTTAGGCGAAAAACACATTTCAAAAGATCTTTCTTCAATTGCTTTAAAGTTTGCCTCTGGCAATGGGGAAACTTGTGGGCGATACTCCGGGGGGACATTTGGGGAAGGTACTTCAAAAGTATAATTTACAGTCGCCTCTCTCTATAACAGAATGGAAGGAAGCAAAAATGTTTTTTTCCATTATATAGAGTGCCGTTTTATATAGCTTAGCGTCGGCCGGGACCAAAATTCCATTCCATTATATAGAGTTTACCGCTATACAGGGTGCGTCATAATTTTTGCAACAAGATACTCAAGACATTGCACACCAAGAAGTTTCACTGGAAGAAGATTTTTAAACAGAAATAGCTTTATTTAACAGTAACAAATAAGGAAACAAGAGATCATTCGATATGACCGCCTTTTGCCTTGATAACAGCCCTTAATCGGTTCGGATATGCCTCCACTGCGGCCCGAATGTCATGTTGAGGAATCGCCTTCCATCCTTTGGTCTTCTTCAAAGAATCCAAACTTGTGTGTTTTCGAGAGCCCTAAGCCCTAGCCTCTAAGATTGCCCAAATGGAAAAGTCCATCACATTGAGATCCGGTGAGTTTGGAGGCCATTCATCCTTGGTGATCACTGAGGGAAAGTTGGCCACACACCAGTCCTGAACCGTCTTCTTCGTGTGAGCGGGAGCTCCATCTTGCATGAAGGTCTAATTTTGATTGTTATTGGCTTTACACGCCCATGACACGCCCGTTTTCCTGTTTGGAAAACGGTCTTTGATTGCACTCTTGTTGCAGTAATTATGACGCACCCTGTATAGAGTTCCGTTATAGAGAGAGTCGGCTGTATGTAGGAATTGAGTCTGTTTACTGTCGTTGTCAAGAATCTGTTCCAATGACCGAAATCGCTCTTTTTAGCTGATACTAATGCATTCCCTAAACCGTATCAACTTTCAAAGGCTACTGTAATCTTACAATTGTTAGCTCTAGTTCTTTCTAATCTGTTTTTCGTACGATAATATCCACTCACTTATTTCTAACGTCCTCAATTGTCCTGAGAAAGGCTGTCCTGTTTGAATGCACTGTTGCTCATTTCCTGGACTATCCGACGATGGAACATGTGCTGGATTCGATCTTTTCTGTTGAACTTATAAAGTTAACAATTTAAATGCCATCCGTCAAACTAAATGAACCGTTGCCTTGATATTGTCTCATTAATTTTCGGAATAAAAGTAATTTGGTGTTTTGCAATTGACTCTTTATTCAACTTGAAAACGAAATTATAGCATTTCCGGTGGAAACCAAAAACCAAAAAGTAGAATTCAGCTGATTTGCGCAAAAACATCAACATTTGATAAATCCTGTATCCACAAGACTTGTTCTTTTCGCCAAATTGCTGTTTGAGCTGAAAACTCGAGTTTACGACAATATCTCTGTGGATTGATTAGTGCTATTTTGAAATAAGTTAATTCTCTTACGATGAGCTCGTGGGGAGAACAAAACGAGATATTGACGTACCGGATTGGCTCCACCACAGTGATACTTTTGTTGGAGCACTTCGAGAAATACCTTAGTCTGAGTAATAATATATAAGCAAATTGAAACGAATAATGTGTAACGAATAGATGTACATCTTTCCTTTTCACAACAAGGATTTAAGGAGTTTCTTCTTTGAATTCCTGGATTCGAGTCCGGTTCTCTTCTCATTCATTCACCAGTTGAGTTTATCTTGGTTTGAAGAAGGGGTTCGAATTGGGATCGATTCTAAACAAAATTATCGGCGGATCGGTGCAGTAATACAAAATTTTGAGGAAGCTCTCTGTAGAAATGATTAAAGTAAATCGATTTATCAACGATTCTATGATTTTATCGGGTTTTTAAGGATCAAATCATCTTTTTAGTTCAGTTTCGGCTCGTTCTCGTTTGCTTTTTGGCCGAGATGTCGAATTTGTGGGAACAATTTGCGCATAGCGGGGGCCGAAGGCCTAAAGCAATCGGCTTCTTCTCGTTGAAGATTTCCAAAAAAAAACACCTATCTATCGGGAGGGTATGCCAGATGGAGAGCGATTACACAAAGAGCACCTTTTCAGGCTTTCAGTCACGGTCGTAGAAACTATTGGCGGAATTTATTTTAACCCTTTGTTTCAAAAAAGTCGCAAGAGAATCGAATTGGCTTTGAATTTTGCTTATGATAGCTTTTCACAATGAAAAGATCCAGATTTTCGAGAAGGTTGCCAGTGAGCGAATCCAATTTCTTAGAAAAACCTTAGTAAATGTTCATGAGCATTTGCGAAAATGAAACTTTTTAGGAGATTTTTATTCACCGAGAAAGAGATTTTTTTGAAACGTTCAATTTACCATTTTATTTGTAACGATTTTGAATCATAAAAAGATCCGTCAACAAGAAAAACAGATTAGAATTTTATTTCCAATAAACCACAAAGCTTCGCGATCTTTGGAGTTAATAGTCGTACGGATATCTCAGGACAATTGAGGATTGAGGACAATTGAGGATTGAGGACAATTGAGGACGTTAGAAATAAGTGAGTGGATATTATCGTACGACAAACGGATTAGAAAGAACTAGAGCTAACAATTTTAAGATTGCAATAGCTTTTGAAAGTTGATACGGTTTAGGAAATGCATTAGTTACTTTTATTGAATCCTTTTATTCCAATTTCAGACCGGTTTCAGTCATTTCAGTCATCGCGAGCCGAAAATATTGGTAACCGAGCATTTCGAACTAAAATTCTGAATTACATCTGAATTTTAAAGAGTTTTAAAGAGTTTTAAAGAGTTTTAAAGCTAAAAAACTTCAAAGCAAGTGAAGAAAGATCTTTTGAAATGTGTTTTTCGCATCAAAATTTCCTTTATAAACTAAAAAAGTCAGAAGCAACAAAATTTTTTGAAACGTTGAATTTACCATTTTATTTGTAGCGATTTTGAATCATAAATTCATCAACAAGAAAAACAGATACGATTTTATTTCCCAGAAGCCACAAAGCTTCGCGATCTTTGGTGTTAATAGTCGTACGGATATCCACCGCCATACGGATTGCAGTAAATGTAAAAGAAATCCCTCTGAAATTTGTCCTTTTAAACTTTTTGCTCTGCAGAATTCAGCAGTTCTGCAAATTTTCAAACAAACGTCGTGAAATTGCCACTGAAAGCCAGCGCTCGTCACCGCACAACGGAAGAAATTGTTCCCACTTGATTCGATCTGGAATTGAAAAGCTTACAAGTTACAAGTTTACAAGTTAAGCATTTGATTTCATTTTACAACGTTGCACTTGATCTTTTGCCTCATCCGATCTTGTAAAAACTCAGCTTAAACTGTTTTTTCTTTCCTTCCTTTTTAAGCTACCGTAGCTTCGCGTTCTTGAAGAAGACGAACAGACTAAACGGACTAAACGAGCCAAATTTCAAGGTACAATTTCGGAAACTCTTCAAAATTTGGCTTATTTTTGATGATCACTCACCGTAGTGCCGGTCTCAGAGTCGATGCTGATGTAATCATATCCACCGCCAGGCCCGCCTGGCTCCGGGGGATCTGATGCATAAATGCCAAAGTGAATCTAAAATCTAAACTAATGAGAAATTCAAAAGTTTTTCGTTATCACCGTTTGTGTGCCGTTTCCGGCGCAAATATAAGTGGCAGTCTGACAGCCGGATTCATCGGTTCTGAAAGAGATCAATTCTGATCAGTTCTGAAAGAGGCTAGTCTAAAATTTCCCCACTTTATTCTATTGATCATATTGATATTGATCACTATTGAAAATATTGATCAATGCCTTTTCAATTTCTTTATTTCAAGCTAAATTCCATACTGTGCGTGAAACTGAAAGCTTTACAGTGATACCCCTGAAATCTTTAAAACAATCTGCGCTTGGCAGTGTTGTGGATGATCTCGATTTTCACTGACATGTACGTGAAGTTGAGTTGATCGGGCGCATGAACTCGATTGTTCGTGAAAGAGTACAAATTCTCGTCACAACCCGATCCACAAGCTGAAAGCTGAATATATAGAAAGTGGTGAGAAAATGAAGTCAAACCAGCTGTTGTCGTTGTGGTGGTTGTTGTGGTACTTGTCTAAACGATCAAATGTTTCACCATGTTTGTTTACAAAATTAATATCAAAGCAAGAAAAGGGCTAGGCCCAGAACCAGGCCTGGCCTTTCCTTGATACTTTTGTGGGTCAGTTCTGTAGTAAGGCCAGGTCAAGTTCTGGCTTCTGATCTGATTGTGCCCCGCCCCCTTTGCCATTGGCAATCTAACTTTGAGCTCAAATTTCTTGGTGTTGGGCCATTCAATTTCAATAGTTTTTGTACCAATCGACAGAGAAAGACTTGGCGCATCTAATGATACCAAGAATACCATCTAATGATATTGAAATTCGACAGCCCAACACGGAGATATTTGAGCTCAAAGTTACACTCCCAATGGGAAAAGGAACGGAGGATCAAATGTCCGATAACCACACCAAATGTACCCCATTGCCACCAAATTATGGTGGCTTAGCTTAAGTCTTATCCTAAGCTTGCATATCTTTCTTCCCAAAATCCAGAATCTTGCAATCCGCAAGGCAAACGCAATCGATTGGTACAACAACTGTTTAAATTGGACAGCCCAACACGAAGATATTCGAGTTTAAAGTTAGATTCCCAATGGGAAAAGGGATGGGGCGCATATCAAATGTCCGATAACCTCTGATCTAGCCCTATCCTTAGTCAACGAAAAAAAATGGCCTTGAAAAAATCCTGTAGACAATTTACCGTGAAACAACTGGGTAGTGGATTGAGAATCGGCGGAGTGAAGACATTGAGGCCACACTCTTTGACTTTCGTTGAAAGAACTGTTACCTAAAATAGTTTTGAGAGCATTTGGTAATAATAATAATAATAATAATAACTAACAGTCATCAAAATTCACCAGTGGTTGATTCGGGCAACACTTTGCCGCAGTGTTACAGGGAGTTTTTGGACAAGCAACTCGACGAGATGCGGGCCCGCTAAACAAATCTTCGGTTAAATGTTCCAGAAACTGTTCTGAAGCTTTTGTTCTTGAAACAAGAGCAGTCACTTGAAAAACCCACGTGCACGGACATCCGTAATGAGTTGATAGACAGCTTCTTCCTTGAACCATCGTTCCGCACATACCACAAGTCGCGTTGCACGGAATGCCAGAGCTCGTCCAAGCTGACCAGGCGCCTAGATTGCTTAAATGGTTATCGCTTAAATGGTTTAGATCATGTTTGATAGCCTCAAATAGCCTGTTTGATAGCCTTTGATTTTTCAAAGTTTATTTTGTTTTCTTACGTAGAGCATTTGCCTAGTTACCCTTTTCTTTAACTTAAACCCCTTAAACCCCTCAATTGCCCCATCAGACGATCTCAGATTGCAGCTGACACTGGATATCTGTCTGTAGTTCATAGTGATTATATTTGCTGCATAACATAACATACAGAACTATACAATGAAATATGACATCAGAAAATCGGACCTATTTTTACGGCTCCGTAGCTCCTCAATCTTTTTAGGTAGACCATAAGTGTCTAAAAGCCATCGTAGAGATCTTGATTAGAGCTTTCAGAAAATATATAACACTTCTGGTCTACCGAAAAAGATTGAGAAGTTACGGCGCCACAAAAATGGGTCTGATTTTCTAATGTCGTATTTCATTGTCCAGTAATGTCGATAATTCAAATCGCATTGGACACAAGCAATGGTGCAGTACTATCTGTTAGAGGGTTGTTTACCACTTTTGCAAAAACAACGAAGCTCAGGGCAAGCCAGGTCTGATACAAAACCAATTTGACATCACCAAACTCTATACTATTGGGTTTTCCGAAATGTCTTGTCCTCAATTTTCCTCAAGAAATCACTAATTCACCAATCGATTCACGGTTTTCTTCAATAAAAATACCTTTATTTCCTAGTTTACAGTCTTTTTAAGCAAATTTAAGTCTATTTTGAGGCATGAATATGTAAAAATTCTAGTTTTGTTTTTGAGAATTGTTCAGCCGAGCATATAATAAAAACGACTGAAGAGATAAAGCTGAAAATTTGGCTATCTGCCTAACTTTTTACGCTCCATCTTTTATATTGACACAAAAATGGGTTTCTTTTGGAAGAAAATAGCTAAATTGATTCGTCAAAATTTTCACGATTTTGACTATTCCTTGAAAAATCCTAAAAAAAAAAGGTTTTTCCCAATCTTTCAAAAGGAATTTTACGGATAAAGAGCAAATCTTTTCAATATCGCAAACTGCAAGTTAATCGGCTGATTTATCGCTTTTAAAATAGGCGAAAATTGAGGACAAGACTTTCCGGGCAGCCCAAAATAAAACCCAAAATAAAACCCAAAATAAAACCCAAAATAAAACCCAAAATAAAACCCAATATAAAACCCAATATAAAACCCAATATAAAACTATTCACCCACCACCAGTTGGGCAAGGACACTGATGGAGTTTGGCTAAATTTTTTCCAATTTCCAGATGACTCAATGAAAGCTCACTGTTCAGATTACACTTTGGCGCCACGTAATCATCGGCTCTTGCCACATTTGCACACAAATTGTTGACCTTAAAAAATAGATTCGACAATTAGAAAGTATTTCTCAAACTAGCCTTCTTAAAGCCAGCGGCACAAGCGGCGCCCTTCAAACAGGCGACCGGCGAACAGTTGACAATTCGGGAATATACGCCTCTGAATCGGAATTCTTTAAAGACATTACTTAAATAACTTTCAAAGTCTTAATTTGAAAAAAGATATTCAGTCGAGTACCCACTTGCACGGACACCCTTTCGCCCACGACGTGCAACTTCGCTTCTGAACTTTCTTCCCGAAAAGCCCGCAAGTACCAGAACAAGATGTGTGATCCGACCATTGGGACCATTGACCTGAGATGGATTTTTATAGAATTATAAAGATTCAAACCATTCACTGGGCAAACCTTGCACACCGGGAGTGTTGCCTCAACAAAGGAGATCACTGAAATCTACTATACAGGGTGCCCAAGAATTACCGCAACAACTTTTTGGAAGAGTATCTGGGAAATGTCTAATTTATTTCAAAAGTGGCAATTGTTATACAGAGAATTGTAGGCCTAATTCTCGGCAACATTTATCTACCAAAGACATCCCGATTGGACTTATACAACTCATTTAACAAGCGCTTGAATGAGCGCTAGTCGACATCTCTCCGGCGAATCTGTCATTTGGCCACCGTTAAATTCCGTTATTTTTTTAAAAATCTGTTGTGCCGTTATCGCTATCCGTTATTCCGTTATCCGTTATCTTTTGGTCTGATTCTGTGAAGGTTCACAAAGGATATCGAAAGTTCTAACCTATTGGGTTGTCCAGTTATGAATGCGCGTTTTTTACTATTTTGAGAATTTCTCAAGATACCGAAATCAAGAAAAAGATATATATGAGTATTACTCGAAGGCTGAAGATCTCCTCTACATTTTGATATAAAAAGCTTTTGAATTTGTTCAGCTTTTGGGCTAATTGACCGAAGAGGCGGCCAAAAAATGGAAGGGTGCCTTTGGATCAAGTTTTGGCTCCGCTCAAATTGAGTTAACCGTTTGATGTTTGGCCAATAGATATATCAATACAACTTTTTTTTAAATATAACAGTTTCAGGGCATCTTTTCTTTTCTTTTCTGGGCGGCTATTTTACACCATAAAACTTGAGGAATAGCTAAGCTGAAATGGGTTTTTTCGAAAGCGACCTCCCCCTTTGTGCAGTCAATTTCCCAAAAAGTTGAATGAATTCAAAAACTTTTTTATTCCAAAATGTAGAGGAGATCTTCAGCTTTCGAATGAGATATAACACTCATATACATCTGTTCGATATCTTGAGAAATTTACAAAATAGTAAAAACGCGCATTCATAACTGGACAACCCAATAGTTCTGATCTTATTCACGTTAAATTTTGTTTTTTTTATAAAGTTTTTAGTTGATTCCATTTTGTTTTTTCTCTCTTGACAGTCTAAATAATATTTTTTTTTAATCCAGATGTTTTCACCGGAAATAACGAAGAAGATGAACACTTTTTGTTCATTTCATTTTTGGAATTTTTGAGTGTCATCTGTTCTGACAAATTATTATTGGGGATTCTAAAATAAATAGAAAATATTTTAAAGGTTTAGCAAAAAGAAGAAAAAACACAACAGAGTACACCTTAATGAAGAAGCCTAGTGGCTAGTGGCTAAATTGACTCACCCACGACCAACAGAAAGGCGATTTTGTTCTTGTCCAGCATCTATCTCCAAATATTCACCTATGCTCAGCCCTTTATCTTCTCCTTTTTTGAGCTCAAAGGTCACTCAATATTCAGCAAATTTTTGAATTCAAATATGACAAAAGTGAAAGTTGAAAGCGCTTTGTTTTTCTGTTTTCCCGGCCAAAGTCCAACAATGTCACAAGTACAAAATTTGACAAACAGTTTAAACGCTCAAAAGATCGGGGTTCATTTATGGGTTTTGTGTTCGATATTTCTATTCAAAACCTGCTCCACAAAGCCCCCGTGCAAATGAGGTACACGCAAAGTTTTGCAAAAACTTTTTTTCGCGCTGAAACTTGCAGTGTCGACAACATAAAATCAATTCAGTAGAAGCTAATCGTGTGGAAACAAAACGATCATCAGCCTTCAGTGTTCACAAGATCGTTGTGTTGAGAAATTCTTGCACATGAGAGTTTTGGCCTTTCCATGATGGGAAATCCGTTTCAAAATTTCTCTAGACACTTTTTGGAAGGTGTCGGGGCTAATACGAACCTCAAACTTCGGTAATTAAACCGAATTTCGTAGTCACTTTCTCAGTATCTATCTGCTCCGTGTGCCAGAAGGCAAGCGATTGTGCGCTCCTCCAAAGTACACCTGCTCATCACCATTTCAGCCGGGGATTTCGAAACTTTAAAATGGATTTGTCCAGAGATTGATGTTGAATTGAAAATTCAAAGAATAATGACTAAAGTTTTTCTTGTAATTCACGTTTTTTTTTTCAGAAAATCCTCGTCTTTTCCCCTTTTTTGAGCTCAAATTTGACCTTCCCAAACATTTTTTCCTTTCCCTTTCCTAATCTATCGATTTACAACGATAGCTTGATCAACGATTCTTTTGAAATGAGCGAGGCGACAGTTTTAAACAATTTAAGGTCAAAAATTTGTTTTTTTGCTTTGTTTTAACTGTAAATTTTCAAGTTTCAGCGATGAAACCCTGGAATGGAAAGCGAATTTTTTCGAAAAGAAATCGAAACGCTTGTCGCTGATCTCTTTGTTTTCGCTTTCTTATGCAATTGGGACAACATTTTATATTGTGTTCTTGGTGATCTATTGTCGGTGAGTCATTTGTGTTAGAGGATAATGTACAAGGGAATTGTCCAAATTTTGGCAAAGGGATCGAAAGGATTGGATGGGCATAGTGATAGAAAAGGGATTTCGAAGATGGGGAATCCGATGCTGTATTTAATTTTTGCCTAAATCCCTTGGTTTTCAAGAAACACACGTTGCAAATTTGGGTACCTACGCTACTGGCCGAACCTCCGATTTATAGCAGTTCTTTCCCATCGATCCTAGCATCACCAAGCATCCAAGCATGGTAAGGGCACGCACTCTCAATCTCATTTTTGCATGGTGGTAGAAAAGGGATTTCGAAGATGGGGATTCAGATGATGTATGTAGTTTTTTGCCTAAATCCCTTGATTTTCAAGACAAACGCGTTTCAAATTTGGGTAAATCAATGAAACGATCTGCACCGAATGGATCGTAAATAATCGTGAGAGTGAGAGAACAATTAAAAGATTATTGGATGCAGCGAGAAGTCAGTATTGTTGGTAATAACATAGGAATGGATTCGTTTCAAAAACTGTTTGAAGATGCAGAAGAAATAGACGCCGAGTGGTTGCACTTCTCGGTAGTTTTCAGCGGAATATTGTGCATTTTGATTTATTTCTCATTTGGTGTGGCGTTTTGTATTTTTTTGTTTTGTGTTTTGTGTTTTGTGGCACGAAGACAACTCACCAGCTCACGTCGTGATGCTTTGCGTTTCGTGGTCAGGCTTCAAAGATCATTGCAATCAATCAATGATCTTTGAAGCCTGACCACGAAACGCAAAGCATCACGATGTGAGCTGGTGAGGTGTCTTCGAGCCGTTTCATTGATTTCCGTTTGTACTTTTATTGACTAAACAAGGCACTTTTACTTAAACTTACAGTAAGCCGTTTTGTGAAGCTCTTTCATCTGTTTTTTAGCAAATCCGAAGCCAACACCGATGCCTTGATCAAAGTCGTTCGCTCAGCCATTCGACAAAATGCATTTTCGAATCCCGCAAATTCTCGTTCACATTGTGAAAACGGATGGACATTTTTAGCCATTACTGAACGAGGATTTTGTTACAAAGTAGAATATCCGAATAACTCAAAAACTTCAAAAATTTAGATGTTCCAACAAAGTGGAGTCAAACAGGCGGAAGCAAAACTCGCCTGTGATGCTCAGAGATCGTCACTTGTCTCAATTGAATCCTACTTTGAGAATAATTTCGTTTACAGTAAGTTTTGGTGGCTAAAAAGGCAAGTCAAACTTCGATAACAAAAAAACTCAAGGGATTTCGAAAAAGCTTTTTGTTTGCTGATGAGATTTTCCCTCATAATGCAAAGAAATGCTCTAAAAACATTAAAAATGTAGAAAAATGTAGAAAAACTCTTCGGTACTATCAATGTTTTCATTTACACAAATAAGATTCATTTTATTCAAAATAAGCAACATGTAAAACAAACTCGCTATCAAAATCGACAGGAAACTAACGAAAAAACGCCAGTTGTTGGCACTTTGTCGAAGCACTTTCCCCATTGATTGCTCGAATTGATTGCCATTTTCCACTTTCCACTTTTCCCATTGATTGCCCAAGACCGTAGCGCTTTTTGAAATTAGCCAGCCAACCGTTAGAGAGCCAGCCAAGCTTTTAAATCGGCGTGTCCAAGATGTTTGGCAAATTCAAGGGTCTTTTCTTTGCTGGTCGGTCCGTCTAATGGCACATTTTCACTTCTTACTTCACGAATCCATAAATGAAGTGCTTCTTCTATTTGATCATTGCCTCCTCCACGCAAACGATTTCTCCCATTTTTCCCTCCGTCATCTATTCCTTTCAATATTCGTTGCTTGTTACGTAAAATTGAAGTAATCGTGCTGTAGGAAAGATGGAATTCGTCGGCCAATTGAGAAACGGCTACAGATCAGCTACAGACTGAATAGCTGCGCTTTGAGGCACATTTTAGAATTGGTGAAGCTTGGTGAAGTGTGGAAAGCCGTAATGTTTGTTATTGAGGCTTAAACTAATTTTACGGGGTACAAAAAAGTCTCTTTGCTATCGAGGTTAAGAATTGTTTCATAAAGCCCAAAATCTTTTCGCTATCGACTGTATATTGTTTGAATTCCAGTCCTTGGTGAGGAGAACTCGGCGATCAACAAGATTTGGATTGGATTGGAGTATGATGTATGGATGATTTGACGGTTAAGGGTCTTTAGGTGTACTTTGTAATTGAAAGCTATAGCAATTTTTGCTTGAAATTAAATTTGTTTCAGTTGAGTGTAAAAAGAAGACTTTGGCTTGACGGCACTCCATCACCGTATCGATATTTCTATTGGGAAAACGAGACATACGTTGAACCGGAGATCAACACCGCCACTTCTGTAAGTGATTCAAATAAACCTCTTGCAAAAACCACAAATTCAAAAACAACTAAATACTATAGTCAAACAATTTTGCTTTACTTATTTTTGGAATTGAAAAAATCTGGGCTAGATTTTCGTATCCGTAATTCTGAATCCTACCACGCTCTATGAATTGTGATTAGTCAGAATCAATTGTGATTTGGACTTGCTGTTTTCAAGAGCTTAAAAAATCAGTGATTTTCTACAGGTGTTCATGAAATTTTGCCAAATTCATCAGAAAGCTGTGTAGAATTTGATTTTCAACAAGAATTAACCATTGCACATGTTTTTCGCGCAAATTTTACAAGTTAACAAAGCGGCAAATACTTTTTCCGCACCCTGTATAACGATTCAAAAACGTGGCCCACATTTCTTTGCGTAGCTGGGCTGTGGGTTGCTGGGCTGTGGGTTGCTGGGCTGTGGGTTGCTGGGCTGTGGGTAGCTGGGCTGTGGGTAGCTGGGCTGTGGGTAGCTGGGCTGTGGGTAGCTGGGCTGTGGGTAGCTGGGCTGTGGGTAGCTGGGCTGTGGGTAGCTGGGCTGTGGGTAGCTGGGCTGTGGGTAGCTGGGCTGTGGGTAGCTGGGCTGTGGGTAGCTGGGCTGTGTGTACCTGCCAATTTCGATTTTTCGTTGCTGCCGATTGCAACTAATTGGGTAGCTACGCAGAAATTAGGGGCACCTTCTAGAATTTCAAAATCGTTATATAGAGGGTCGTTATAGCGAAATTCGACTATATTTAGATCGGATTAGATCGGATTATGGAAACCGGGGCATGCTTTTGAGCTTTGCCGAATCGGTGTCTGAAAAAATTACCAAAGGCCTGGATATGGCTGGAGTCGGCCCTGACTGACTTTGGCTCTAGTTTAAGCTGGCCAATCTGGGTTTTGAGTCTGGTTAGAAGTCACATTGTCACCTCAAATTGTCAAGTCACAAGTCAAGTCACTTCGACCAACATTCCTTTTCCCAGATGTGCATTCGTTGCAGCGGTATTGCGAGATGGTATGTGAGCACAAATCAATCGGATCCCCAAATAAATGGATTCGTTTGCAAGAAGAAAGCCCAATAATATTTGCTTACTAATCTCGTTTTCATTGCGTTTTCAAATCTGCATTTTCAAATGGAAAGAAATTTTCGAAATTTCCAATATCTTTGTGTTTTAGCAATAAAGCTTCAATTGAAAGTGCGAAATTGTACAAAAAAAACTACAATTTGTCTCAAAAATTCCTCATTTCAATGCTCACAAACCATCAATTAGCCTAGAAATCTCTTTCTTGATTTGAAATTGTGAACTCATACTAAGAAATTAATGTTTCTCCTTCAAGATTGTTTCCCCTTGTCCGTCTAATTTCCGCAAATCAAATCTAAGATCGTTTCATTTCTGCAATAAGGACACCGATTTGAAACCCATTTTCTTTTTCTGAAGTTAACATTTTATTTGATGAACAATCCGCTTGTAATTGATCTCAGCAACGTGCCGACGATCCTCTTTTGGTATCGAGTTGCTGTTGGTGAGGTTTACTTTGACAATTTCAATTCCAGTTTTTAATTAGATTCAATTTGAACTCGCCAAGTAATAGACTGAAAGATTAGCTTCTTGAAAATACTTTCTAGTCTTTTGAATTAACTTTACAATGCCAATTTAAGGTTTTTGCAAATTAAGCACTAAAGTCTTATCACAAAATTTCACAGAATTGTATGACAAAAGCCAAAGTCTTAAAACGCACAAAGCACCCATGAATTTGAAAATTTTCTTGCAGTTAACCAGACCACAGTTTTGTCCAAAAGCATTCCTTGCTTGGAACTTGATAAAATTCTTGTCATCGAAGAAAAACTTCATTGATTAGGCTTTCGAATTAGAATTATTAGGTTGTGAATTGAAAACTGCGGGACTTTGAACTAAAATTTATTCAACATAAAACCATCAATTCGTTCCAAATAATTCCCATTATTATTGACGACTTCTGCCCATTTTACAGGCAATTTGCGGATTCCTCTTTCGTGGTAGGATCTTGGTTTGTGTGTGAGACAAGTGTGAGACTCAAAAATGGAGGACTGGAGATGTCAGCTTTCAGCCCAGTTTGAGCACTTTCTTCAAAAGAAACCCATTTTGGTGTCAATGGGAAAGTTGTAGAGAATCAAAAATTAGGCTTATAGGCAAATTTCCAAAAAGATACACTTAGTAGTTTCGCTTAAAATGCAAGTTTTGTGGAAATTCGTAAATTTGAACGTAAATTTGGCATTTCTTGAAAACCAGTTTTTGAATGGTTCTGAAAATTTGGATATAAGCTTAATTTTTGATTCTCTACAACTTTTCCATTGACACCAAAATGGGTTTCTTTTGAAGAAAGTGCTCAAACTGTCACATATGACAATACCCGACAGTTTTCAATTCACCAGCCCAATAAAAAACGCCAGTTGTTGGCACTTTGTCGATCGACGGAAGCACTTTCTCCATTGATTGCTCGAAAAACAAGACCGTATCGCTTTTTGAAATTAGCCAGCCAATCGTTAGAAGCTTTTAAATTAGCGTGTTCAAAATGTTTGGCAAATTCAAGAGCCTTTTCTTTGATGGTCGTTTCGTCTAATGGCACATTTTCACTTCTTGCAATAGCCCGCAGTTTTCAATTCACCAACCCAATAGAAAGTCTGATTAAAACTTTGATGAAATTGTATGAGCTTTTTTTTTGTTAATCATTCAAAAGTTTTTTTCAAGTACCGGCTCTATTTTTCAACCTCATCGGCCTCTATCTGATCTATGTCGCAACACCGAAAGTACTCGGCACTTTTCGCTGGCACATGTTTACTTTACAGGTTTAGCATAAAGAGCTTTCTAATATATTTATAGGTAACACATTTTTATATTCACTGAAATGTATTTGCTACGTAAACTTAGAAACTCTGCACGACTTTACGGGGTGGCCGAGAAATATACTTCAGAGGACTTCAGAGGACCTAGATTGGTCAAAATTGAGTCAATCGTTCTGATTTTTCTGAAGATAAATCTTAAGTATATCTACTGGGAGTGCGCCCATTATCTAACCGATTCAAGCTTTCAACTTTTTTATATAGCTTTCCAAAGATAAATGAGTAGCGTGTCAAGCGAAACTTGGCTCTCAACTTTGAGAGGCCATATAAAAAAGTTGAAAACTTGAATCGATTAGATAATGGGCGCAGTTCCAGGAGACATAATTAAGATTTATTTCCAAAAAAATCAGAACGATTGCCTCAATTTTGGCGAAGCTAGGTCCTCTGAAGTGTGGGTCATCCTGTAGTTTCAGCTCTCCATGACATTCACCGAGATCGTGGTCGCTTTTCTCTTCTTTCCAATTCTCGGCGCTCCAGCAGTAGCTGGCTATCCTATTGGATTGTTTGAAGAATTCGGTATTCCAGTCATTGTCCAAATTGTGAGTTTATCGCTTTTCTGCAAAAAACTCAATTTTTTTCGCTGATCACGTTCGCGATTTTGGGCCAAGGGTTCTTTATGGCAGTGATCCTGCTTTTCATTCGCCAACAAAACATTCTACCGGCCACACATTTCGCGAAGATTCCTGAAACGTAAAAATCTTGCATCACACACTAGTTTAGCATATTTAGTCACTATCCCTATGCTATTTTTGCTCATTATTTATTGCCAGCATTAGCTCCCGTTGCCCTGGGACTTTCAATGTTGGGAAACGATGCTGAGCAAGCGCTGCAAACGTTCAGCGAGGTAATTTTTAATATCTACTGCTTTTTCAAGAGTACTGTAGTCCTGCAGAATAGAGCTGTTCATTTTCAGTCTGATTGTTAATAGGTGTACAACGAGTCAATGGGTGTCAATAGGTGTACAACGGAAAAATGAGATTTAACCACTTCAACAGCAAGTTTCTCAGGGGGTTTTCAGACGAAAAGATAAAGCTTAATTCTACCTTTATGTCACAAAAAATCCTAAAAAAAGCAAACCATTGAAGTGGTCAAATCTCGTTGTCTCGTTGTACACCTATTGACAATCGAACCGACAAATGAACAGCTCTACTGGAGAATACTGTAGCCCTAGGGTAGAAAATAGACATATGCACTCGGTCCAGTCCGGTCCGGACCGAGATCGGATTGAAAAGTTGGAGTTTCGGTCCGGAACGGATCGAGAAATTGAAATTTCGGTCCAGACCGGATCGAGATCGGGCCGAAAAGTTAGAGTTTCGGTCCGAAATCCGAGATCCGAATTAATCCGAATTAATCCGAGATCTGATACGGACTGATACGGACCGAGTGCACATGCTAGTAGAAAACAGATTACTGTAAAGGCCTGCACCTTTCCTTAAACTACTTTAACCGCATGGCTTCAAACGGCTACGGTTTAGTTGGTGGGCAAGTACGATAGCTTTTCCAAAGCGCACATTTTAGAAAACGGCTCTGGCTCTGTTCAATTACAAAATGACTTAAAAATTATCGGATAACTTAATAAAAATCGGATGATTTAACTTCCCTTTTGTTTATTTCAATGTTTTTTTCTTTGTTATTAGTCAAATTTGTCGATTAGCTTTTTCTATTTGTCATTTTATCTTGGGACTTGATTGTCCGAACTCAAACTTATTAACTGATTAACTTAAGCTTTTGTTTTACAACCTGTAATAATACGAATGAAAAATATACCTAAAACTAAAGTATTTTTGAATTTTACGATCGAGAAAAATCATTTTAATTGTGAGTCTAAAGAATCCGAAGGAGAAAAAGTTGAAATGCACAAAAAGGGGAACTTAAATCATCCGTTTTTTATGCATCTTTTCATTTGACAGAGCCAAACGGCTTAATCAAGGGAAAACTCAATGAATTCATCATTGTTAATTGCCAGAAATATCCCTACATCATCCCGCTTCTCAATCAACCGCACTCTTTCGCTTTCGACAGCTCGTCGGCCACAAAACTGCTAACACTCATTTTCGGAGCTTGCCTTTTCTGTCTACTTTATTTACTTTGTTAGTTTTGACATATAATATAATAAAACCGGATTTTAGTATTACTCGCGACAATTTTTACCTCATTGAAAGCCCAGGAGAAATTCATGAGCGAGAAAACGATGACCATGCAAAAGAGCTGGCTTCGACGGGTGTATTTACAGGTTTGTGGTCTCAAAGGCATAGTTTTCAGTATAGATTTGAAAAACTTTTGAATCCCTACTTCAGATCATCATCCTATTCATTCATTTGGCCATTCCGGCTGGATGGTTTGGTGTCGTGTTGAGTCTGGAAGTTGTGCAACTTGTAGGTATGAAAGAACGATTCATTTGATAGATTTGGATCAGGGCTGAGCGGATCTCAAAAAAGCGTTTCAAATTTTCAAATTCTCGATGAAGTTTTACCTACGTAGAAATGATTAACACATTCAATTCAATAACAATGCCATTTTTCGGTGTTTTAATCTCTGAGAAACGAACGATTTGAGCGCCGGATCCAGACGAAAGATTGTACTTGGGGCTTTTGAAGGTTAAGGAATCGATGACCCGGAAATGACCGGGACCTGGCCTCTCGGTTTAACTGTTGGCCCTGTCCTTGTCATGCTAATCTGCGTAAAGCCCAGTTCTGGCCCTAGGCTTTTATTTGATCTCCTGTTTACCGTACCTTGTTCCCTAATATCTAATACACGAGCAGTTTTCAGCTGCTAACACAACTGAAAACTGCTGCGGTTTGAGGTCTCACGTAAATTTAGAATGCTTGTTTTTGTCCCAATCGATAATCATATTGTCTTCGTAAGCAGGATTCTTTTCCGGCTAACGCCGCCTTTCCTGCTGGACAGTTGGGGCCGCCGGGGATCCATTTATTTCATTTATCCAATTTGTTTCAATTTGTTATCCATTTGTCCAATTCCTATAATTAGTTCATCCCAAATATGGGAATCTTTAGAGCGAACCGCGCGGAGGTCCAGGAACACTCTCCGCCCATGACCCAAATCAAAGATCTGTGGCCAGAGGCCATGGAGCCGTAAAAAGGTTTTTGGGTTTCCATAGTTTATTCGAGAACTTTATTGGAGACAATATTGAGCATAATTTTATTTGGACAGACGGACCTCTCTTTCCTTTTATATATAGTAGAAAACTATCGAAATTTACTTTCCAAAAGTTCAAATTCATTTTGAAAAGAAATTGCAGAACTAATTTTCTCTTTCACGACCTCTCTTTCCCCCGACACGTTTGAAAGACGCGCGCTCTAACCACTTGGCCATCTGCGCGCGGAGGGGAAGTTGGGCAACGTTGGGCGCGGCTAGTTTTGCAGTCTTTGACTTTTTAAAAAATTGGTTAGATGGCTTTTCTTGATTTTTGAGGGCGAAATCAGCATCAAATTTCCTATCAAACAAAGAAAAACTGCATCTCGAAATTCGATCTGGGCGTCGAGAAAAGTGCCTGAGACAGACAGACAGACAGCAGACAGACATACGTACAGACATACAGACGTCACTTCTGCTTTATATATAGTAGAGAATATTTTACAGATTACGCACCGTATTTCGTAATTCTCCTCGCCGAACAGGGCATCACCTCGACGATCTCTTATTTCACTTATAGCTCGTATCAAGAACACACCCGAACCTTGATAAAAAGACGATTTTTGACTGAAAGTCGGTTTTTTCAAATGATTTCTGTACGATGACAAGTTCTAGAATATCACCAATCAACTGGTCGACCCGTGACACCAATGGAGAGGACCCAGTCATAACAGTCATTCAAAAATACCATTTTCAGAATAATAAATTTTGAAAACAAAGTGCAACTCTAAACGTGAATCCTTTCAGCAAATATTTGCATTTTAGATTCCAATTGTTACATTACCTCAAATTAAATATAAAAAGCATTGAAATTTATGGTTTTTGTTCGAAAAACCATTGTTTTTCACAAGTTCTTCAAAAAAAAAATAGTTTTTTCGAAGTAAGCAGGTTTGTTTGCAGACGAAGATAAGGAAAAGTTTGCCACTAAAGCAAAAAAAAAACACAGAATCTTTCAAAAACATTGAGTAATCATTTGATATAGATCATTTATTGCAAAAACCTAAAATTTTAATTTTGAAAAGAACACGTTTATGTTTTTGAACTTTGAGCGTTGAAGAAACGTTTTGAAAGCTTTTCTGGTTCGTTTTCAGGGTTAAAATCGCTAGTTTAACACTTAAATTTGCTAAATTTGCTAGCATGGCGATTTATAAATGAATAACTTTATAAAGCGTAGAATTGTTGAAAAAAACCTTTGAATTCAGAAAAATTCAGAAAAAGCGAAAAAAAGCAGAGCGCATGCAATTGATTTTCGATGCACAAACAAGCGAGTGTTGTACAGTGACGGGTTTTTTTGTTTACGAGAAAATCTCCCATTTTCGATCAGAATTTTTTTGGTTTAATATTTTCTGTATTTCAGTAAGCTTTATACTTTTCTTTTCAATTATAATAACTATAATTAGATATTTCCAGAAGGCTCCAAAACGCAGAACTCTCGCAAACGCCCGGTCATTCTCTCTACTATCATTTTCTTGGAAGATGAATCCGCGGGAATCGGTAAGGAATTTAGATTCTTCTTGGAAATTCGCGTCTTTTCATCATGAAAAGCTATCATATGCAAAACCCGAACCCAATTCGATTCTCTTTGGACTTTTCTTGGGAAAAACGGTTGAGATAAACTCAAGCAATAGATTCTACAACCCTGAAAATCCCAGAGCACAAATTTTAACACTAAATCTCATTTAGAAATCTTTTACAGAATAAAAGAAAAACCATTGTGTAAAGTGACTGGCAAGGTGTTATTTGTGTGGCCGGGTAATCGCTCTTCATCTGGCATACCTCTCGGGTATAGGGTGCGTCCCTTTTGGATCCGGAGAGCGGTGAGGGACTGAGCCAGCTGTTGAAAAACAGCTGGTTCCAAAGCATCCATCAAGCCGCCGATCCCTGCGCCACCATGCCTTTGGGATGACTTTTTGTTTCTAATTAGGCTGTAATTTTGCTACAAATATTCAGCCAAGTCTAGATATAATTACACGGATATCATTATCCAGATCTCCATACCATTGTAATCGTTCTTCATCTGGCATATCCACTCGATAGATAGGTGTTCTTTTTTGGAATCCTTAGGAGAGGTGAGGCACTCGCCCGATCCCGCCGCCGCACGGCCGCAAATCCCTGGGACGAATCCCCTCCCCCACAAATACTCAGCCAAGTCCAGACGCATACAGACATTAATTATTATACATCAATCCAAATCTCCATAAAATTGTTTTGCGTTTTATAGATTATTTCATTTTTTTTTTGCTTCAAGCTAGCTGTTGAATCTTACGATAAAAATATCAACGATGCAATATGCAATTGATCACGGGTTACGGTGGCTGAAGAACATTTTAAAGCACCTACATGAGTCAAGAGTTCAAAAGTTTGCACAAATTTTGTGGTAACTTTTTGTCATAAACAAAACTTTCAATCCTTTTTCTCAAGCTTTCAATTTGAGTTGCCGCTACGAACACGATCCCTCATTCAATCCAAATCCAAAACCACCATGCAGCATCAAAGGATGTGAACAAATTGAGCAAGTACGACTTGTATTCACTCATAAATTGCCACTCGGCACTCGCCCGATCCCGCCGCCGCACGGCCGCAAATCCCTGGGACGAATCCCCTCCCCGACAGATACTCAGCCAAGTCCACACGCATGCATTAATTATTATACATCAATTCAAATCTCCATACCATTGGTTTATGTTTTATCGATCGTTTCATTTTTTCGCTTTAAACAAGTCGTTTTTACAGTAATACAGTCATTTTATGATGAGAGAATTCTCAAAAATTTCACACTTTTCTGTACACTTCCCCAATAAATGAACGATTAAATCTAAAGAGAAAACAGAAACGAAAAGCCATTTGATTTTTAAACGATTTATTTCAAGAGATATTTGCAAATGTATCCGCTCGTCTCATTCTTTTCCCGAGTCAACCATTTATTCTCGTCGAATAGATAAGTCTAAAAATCGAGATTATCCCTTTAAATAGGCCAAATTGATGGCTACAAAAGCGGCAATCGGCAATTGATTCTCGTGATCTTTCGGCTCTCCATCAATCCAAAAAGTATAGTCCACTTCAGTTTTGTCCGTCCATTCCCAAGTATTGCCTACTTTCTGCAAAGAAATTTTATTTTTTAACGCTAAACTCACATGAAATCCAATCCAAAGCCTGTCGATCGATGCTGAAATTGATTTAGCGACTGATTTAAACTTTCAAAAACACAAACCAGCAGCCTGGCTTACAAGGACTACTCAGAAATAATTGATATTGGGTTGGTGAATTGAAAACTGCGGGACTTTGAAATAAAATTTATTCAACATAAAACCATCAATTCATTCCAAATAATTTCCATTATTATTGACGACTTCTGCCCATTTTACAGGCAATTTGTGGATTCCTCTTTCGTAGTAGGATTTTGGTTTGTGTGTGAGACAACTGTGAGACTCAAAAATGGAGGACTGGAGATGTCAGCTTTCAGCCCAGTTTGAGCACTTTCTTCAAAAGAAACCCATTTTGGTGTCAATAGAAAAGTTGTAGAGAATCAAAAATTAGGCTTATAGCCAAATTTCCAAAAAGATACACTTAGTAGTTTCGCTTAAAATGCAAGCTTTGTGAAAATTCGTAAATTTGGCATTTCTTGAAAACCAGTTTTTGAATCATTCTAAAAATCTGGATATAAGCTTCATTTTTGATTCTCTACAACTTTTCCATTAACACCAAAATGGGTTTCTTTTGAAGAAAGTGCTCAAACTGTCACATATGACAATAGCCGGCAGTTTTCAAATCACCAACCCAATAGCTTGGATTCATCAAGTTTTTGATGTATTTTATGAGATTTTCATTAATTATTCGACTTTAGAGTCAAATTCTCTATTATCTGCCAGCCGAAATAGGCAAGAGTGACTAAATTTTGCAACTCACATTGACTGTATCGATCAGTGATGAATTGCATCTCCTTTTGGCTATGAAACGATACAAGATGACCGCCCTCATGAACACAATTTGCCTCAGCACTATCGAAACATTCGTGTGAAGGGAATTTCTAAAATAAAATTGATCTCTAGCTTTTGGAAATGACAAAGAAACCTTGTAACAGGCAGATGATGCTTTGAAGAGCGTCCATTTTTCACGACAACTGAAATGAATTGAATTGAATTGCATCGAAAATCAAAAGATCTACTAAAACTCACATCTTTTCATGGTCTTGTCCAAGAGTTAAGGTTAAAAATTCGAATAGAAAAGCAAGATGCAAAAATACTTTGAACATTTCGATGTTTTGATGATATTTAGTGGAAATTTTTTGATTTTTGACGAAAAATCGACTTCAATCTTTGGCCTTTTATCATCGAAACTCTTTCGTTTTTCAATAAACATTTTGATTGTTTATACTTTTTGTGATTTGAGCTGAGCAATGTTTTTAGATTTATTACAGTCACACAACTTTTATTTCAAAATAAAAAGTTCTAATTTTTTATTTATTAAGGTTCAGAAAAAGTAGACTAGAATGGTAAAAAGGGCAAATTTCAAAGTGTGCTTCTGAACTCTTCCATCGATTTCCCTGAAATTGAAAAACTTTTTGTTAAAAACATGACAGATTTGCAAAAGTATTCAACAAAAGAAAAACTAACCCTCTAAAACTAATGACTTTCTTGAGTGGTTGAATGGGGAGGGGACATCTGCGCGAAATGGTGTTCTCTATCAAAATTTCACGTTTGAATATCCATTTGACGCAGAAAATTGTGCTGAATCGAATGGTGAAGAAATTATCGAAATCCAGCTGCTTCGATTTTTTAAAAATCGCGTTTTATCGAAAAAACCGCACTTTTACAAGCAGCTCGCTCGCCGCGATCAACTTTCGGCGGCTCGTTCTCAGCGTCGTCGAAAGATTGCGCCCTCAAAACCGATAACTTTTGTGTGGACATGTGCTAAGATCATTTTGATACCAAAAAAATAAGTATTGATCAACTCTGCGAAGACTTGATGCCTTTTTATTTTCTTCATCATTCGATTCAGCACAATTTTCTGAGTCGAATGGATATTCAAACGTGAAATTCTGATAGAGAACGTTTTTTTTGCCTTATTTCGCGCGGATGTGGGGGTCATCTTCAACTATCTGCAATCCCGAAGGGTAGATGGGAAGAGTAGATAGGAAGATTAGATGGGAAGAGTAGATGGGAAGGGTAGATGGGAAGAGTAGATGGGGAGAGTAGATGTCGGAAAGTTATAAGAATCATATTTAAAAGGTATAAGATTTCCCGGTCATGATTATTCAGATGAAGCTTTCAATCTCAAACTTTAGATCAAACGATAGATGGTGGGACGTTACTGCTGTTCAATTGAGTTCAACGGGGAAAAGTTGGTCCGGCAGTGGGTCAGGGGTGAGTAGAGCCCAAACGGTATTGTGTGCAAGCCCTTAAGGAATGCTAAGGCTAGCAAGGTAGGCAGTAAGGAAGGTTAGACCAATGTAGGATTCAGAAAGGATAAAAGAAAGGTAGATCCCCAATAAAGATTCGGATTAGAATGAGTTTGAAGAGAAACGTTAGGATCCGCTATGTTATAAGTGCCTCTTTTTGAACCGTTTCTCAAGCCAGATAAACTAACGCAATTAAAAGTATGTCTCAGCCCCGCCCTACACTCGATCGCGAACTATCATCCGGAAAAAAGCCGCCATTAAGCGAATAAGCCGAAAGTGCTCGAATAAACTTGAGAAATTGAAACTCAAAAACGTCGGTGGTCATGTTTTTTCAGCGAGAATCTATACTCTCTTTTAAAAACGCAAAATTTAAGTTCTGTGAGTCTGTCCGTTTGTCAATTTCCCAAAAATCATTCGTGGCTTCTTATTAACAGGCTTTTATTACTTTACATTGATCACTGCTAATAGGTCGGCTTTGCGAACTGGAGCTGACTCGTCGCCATCGTTGGACTCGTGGTATTGGGAACTGAAATCGGATCAACGAAATAACATATTCAATTACTGCATACCGATTCGATATGTGAAAGCATATGTGCTCTTCTCGTATCGATTGAAGACAATCACTGGCATAACGTTTCCCTCAGAAACAATCTTTGTTCCAATATCTTCCTCACAACAATAGCTGAAAAGGAAGCGATCAAAATACGAGAGAAAAGAATAGTTTAGCTAGAGTTTAGAGCGAGACGATTGATCCGGGTTTTTCTTCTCTTTCATTCCATTACTTGACTACAGTAGTTCTACCAGCGCTTTTCTCTACTTAAAGCACAATTTGTTTCACCGTATTCCGGTGTATCGATGATCACTCATTGCTTTCACTTCGATTCCCTTATAAACGCAACCAGGAATGCAATCGATACCCGTCATCGTCTTCAGGATCACTTCAATTTTGTACCCCATCGGAGCCTGGAATCGAAGTTTGTGTTAGTGTTAGTGTATTAGTGCTTAAGAGAGTTCAAAACAAACTCTGATTATGTAGTTACACTTTTCGAAAGTCTCATATTCGGTGTCAAACTCATTGTTTGCGCCGATTGTGATTGATTGCGTCTGGATTGGTCCCTTGGCTATCAATGCAGCCCCACAACCGCTTTCCTGGAATCTTCTGTATATGTTTTCGTGTTTTGCCTCTAGCCGATCAGACTTGGGGATGAATTTTTGGAAAGCTTGTAACTTGCAGAACGTGAACCCCAAACCAGCAAGTCCAGGAACCAGCCAGTCCAGGAACCAGCAAGTCCAGGAACCAGCGTCCCTAATAGGAACCAGCAAGTCACAGTCAGTAGAAATTTGCTTACAAATAACAAGTGTTTTGTAGCAATCAGTATTTGATAGACGCCTGTGCTTTAATTGACCATATTAGAACTAGAACTAGAAATATATCTTTTCCTTAATCAATCGATCACTCTAGATTTATTCTCCATTTTCCATACCCTCTCCGAACAGGTGATTCCACCCCATCCGCTTGGACAAATACAAACATTACAGTTCCTCGAATTGCGGAATCCCCCGTTCACACAAGTCGCCCCGTTAGGACATTTTGCTAAACCAAACGTCAATACAGGGTGCGTCATAACTACTCATGATCACTCTGGAGGGTGTAGCACTGTCAAAAGATAACCGATTTCCACACAAATTTCACAGGTAAATTTTGAGTGGGTCTCCTGTAGCGGTGCCCATTATCTAACCGATAGGAGCTCACAAATTTTTACAACAAGCTTTCAAAGTTGAGAGGCGCACTTCACTTGGCGCATTTCGCTCGGGGTTTTTGAAAAACGAGTTGCTTACTGAGAAGAGCTAACATTTTGCTAGTTTTCAATGAATAATGGTTCAGATATGTTTTTTAAAAACTAAAAATTACCAAAAGATTAGTCAGTTCGCTTTTCTTTCTCAACTTTTTAAACACCTCTCGGCCCGAATTTACATGACGCAAATCATAAATAAGCAGGGTTTTGTTTGAGGATTTTTCCCGTAAACGATGATCGGAGGTTGAAAGTCATCTTTCTGATAAATTTGGTGTAAAAATTTCTCATGATGCTACCGTAATCATATGGCATCAAATAGTTGTTGTTGTTCGACGTAGTCAACTTAAAATCTCTTATAAAAATAACTCTAAATAAAACGTTATACCTTGTTATAATTAAAACGTTGATCAGGAATGACATTTCCCGAATTGACGGTGATTGCAGTGTCTCGGTCATATCTCTCTTGTTCGTGAAAGAAGCCCAGAGCATGAGCGATCTCGTGAGCGGCTATGTAGAACTGAAAAAATGATTCCTGTTTCCGAATTTCCGAATGCTGATTCCGAATTTCCGTGCTGATTCCGAATATGTGATACGTTTTTGCTAAATGAGAATCTTTAAGGAGTTATCAGAGTCTAAAGTCTTGTTAGGACTCTGAAAATTTGGTTATTTGGGTCTTACTAGGGAGAGGCTACCACTTAAGGTGGATTTTAAGCCTATAGAATTGTACCCTGTTAGAGTCTGATGCGAGAATCCGAGTCCGTTTTTAGTTTTTCCCGGCCGACGTCTCAATCGCCAGATAGTTGGCAGCACTACATAGGCTCAAAGCTTTTGCATTGGAATTTAAGGTGCTTTCTAGCGAATCTAAACACTCCATTAGTGGTCTCAATGTAACGCAGTGGATACATAGGCGAACGATCATGGTTCGGATCCGGCCGAATTTTTGTTGATCGAATTTGGCTTTTTTTTGGTTGAATTTGGTCGACTCAGCCAGTTGAACTTCCCTTGTTAGTTATGATTTTAGGATCACTAGTCAATCACTAGTCATAACTCGACTTCAACTCACATATTCGCATCCAGCACCCAAAGAGAGAACTTGAACTCCCCCCATCATGCCTACATCAGAGTAGCAGCCGCCGTCATCCCTCAAGAAACGAACACGATTCCTGAAAACGCATCTCGTAATTGATTCAAACATGAAAAGCCCCACGGATTCGTTTGACTCTCCACAAAATCCACACATGTCGAATTTTGCCAAAACGCGATCGCCATTTGTGCCGCCTTTTTTGCCTTTGCACTTAGGGATGCATCGAAGTAATAATAAAAAGTGTTTCCCCAGAGATCGGTCGGGTATTTTGCAGAGTAGTGGGCCTAGAATTCAATGCTGTACCGATAGAGTCTACTTTAATACTTAAAACTGCTTCCAAGAACAAATACGCAAAAAATTATGACTTTTCTTATTTAATCGTGAAACAAGCTGACACACAAATAATTGCAACAAGCTGAGCTGTCGAAAGGCTTTTGCTCACTTCATCTACTATATATAAAGGGGCTAAAACATCAGTCTGTTTGTCTGTCTTCTCTTCCACACCGAGTGGGCCGTCTCAAATGATTTATATTAGGTTGGTGCAAAAGTCTTTTTCATTTTTTTCGTACTTCTGTTAAAAAGTAACAAATTCACCAATTAATCTATAGTTTGCTCTATAAAAAAAGTGTTTTTTTGTTCAATTTGCATCTTTTTAAATGAATTTCGGTTCACTTTCAAGCAAATTCGAGAGTGAAAAACGCCTTTTTCGTAAAAATCTATAAAAAACTCTACGGAAAAATCGGCTGAATGAATTTCTCTGAAATTTTGGCGAAATATCAAACTTTTTTTTCTCTATCTTTTATCTATTGACACGAAGATAGGTTTTCTTTAGCTAAGGTGTCTAAACCGCATCATCGAGTTAGCCCTTTTTGACTACCCGACTTCATACTCTCAAGAAAATCCAGGCATTAAATATTTTTAAACCCGTTTTAATGTTATTTTGCAGAAAAATAATTGCTTTTTCTAATGAAATCAACCGTAGTTTAATTGGTGCATTTGTTGGCTTGAAACGGCAGACGAAAAGGAACGAAAAGACTTATGCATCAACCTAATAGAATGTTAGGTTGGTGAATTGAAAACTGTCTGACTTTGAACTAAAATTTATTCAACATAAAACCATGAATTCATTCCAAATAATTTCCATTATTATTGACGACTTCTGCCCATTTTACAGGCAATTTGCGGATTCCTCTTTCGTAGTAGGATTTTGGTTTGTGTGTGAGACAAGTGTGAGACTCAAAAATGGAGGACTGGAGATGTCAGCTGTCAGCCCAGTTTGAGCACTTTCTTCAAAAGAAACCCATTTTGGTATCAATAGAAAAGTCGTAGAGAATCAAAAATTAGGATTATAGCCAAATTTCCAAAAAGATACACTTGGTAGTTTCGCTTAAAATGCAAGTTTTGTTGCAATTTTTGTGAAAATTCGTAAATTTGGCATTTCTTGAAAACCAGTTTTTGAATCGTTCTGAAAATTTGGATATAAGCTTGATTTTTGATTCTCTACAACTAAATCTTATCACAAAATTTCACAGAATTGTATGACAAAAGCCAAAGTCTAAGAACGCACAAAGCACCCTTGAATTTGACAATTTTCTTGCAGTTAACCAGATCACAGTTTTGTCCAAAAGCATTTCTTGTTTGGACCTTGGGAGAATGGGATCTGGGATTGTGTATCTTGTCCTTGGGATCTTGTCATCGAAGAAAAACTTCGTTGATTAGGCTTTCGAATTAGAATTAGAAAGTCTGATTAAAAGTTTTATAAAATTGTATGAACTTTTCTTTTGTTAATCATTCAAAAGTTTTATTCAAGTGCCGGACACTTCAGACCCACACTTCAGAGGACCTAGATTCGCCAAAATTGAGTCAATCATTCTGGTTTTTCAGAAAATAAATCTTAAGTATGTCTCCTGGAACTGCGCCCATTATCTAATCGATTCAAGTTTTCAACTTTTTTATATAGCCTCTCAAAGTTGAGAGCCGAGTGTCGCTCGACACGCTACTCATTTATCTTTGGAAGGCTATATAAAAAAGTAGAAAGCTTGAATCGATTAGATAATGGGCGCAGTTCCAGGAGACATACTTAAGATTTATTTTCTGAAAAACCAGAATGATTGACTCAATTTTGGCGAATCTAGGTCCTCTGAAGTGTGGGTCATCCTGTAGTTTCAGCTCTCCATGACATTCACCGAGATCGTGGTCGCTTTTCTCTTCTTTCCAATTCTCGGCGCTCCAGCAGTAGCTGGCTATCCTATTGGATTGTTTGAAGAATTTGGTATTCCAGTCATTGCCCAAATTGTGAGTTTATCGCTTTTCTGCAAAAAACTCAATTTTTTTCGCTGATCACGTTCGCGATTTTGGGCCAAGGATTCTTTATGGCAGTGATCCTGCTTTTCATTCGCCAACAAAACATTCTACCGGCCACACATTTCGCGAAGATTCCTGAAACGTAAAAATCTTGCATCACACACTGGTTTAGCATATTTAGTCACTATCCCTATGCTATTTTTGCTCATTATTTATTGCCAGCATTAGCTCCCGTTGCCCTGGGGCTTTCAATGTTGGGAAACGATGCTGAGCAAGCGCTGCAAACGTTCAGCGAGGTAATTTTTAATATCTACTGCTTTTTCAAGAGTACTGTAGTCCCGCAGAATGGAGCTGTTTATTTTTAGTCTGATTGTTAATAGGGATACAACGGAAAAACGAGATTTAACCACTTCAACAACAGGTTTTTCGGGGGGTTTTCAGACGAAAAGACAAAGCTTAATTCTATCTTTATGTGACAAGAAATCCTAAAAGAAAAGTAACCATTGAAGTGGTCAAATCTCGTTGTCTCGTTGTACACCCATTGACAATCGAACCGACAAAGAGAATACTGTAACTTTAGGGTAGAAAATAGACATGTGCACTTGGTCCAGTCCGGTCCGGACCGAGATCGGCTTGAAAAGTTAGAGTTTCGGTCCGGACCGGATCGAGAAATTGAAATTTCGGTCCGGACCGGATCGAGATCGGGCCGAAAAGTTGGAGTTTCGGTCCGAAATCCGAGATCCGAATTAATCCGAGATCTGATACGGACTGATACGGACCGAGTGCACAGAGTTTAGTAGAAAACAGATTACTGTAAACACCTGCACTTTATCTTAAACCACCGTAATCGCATGGTCTCAAACGACTAGGGTTTGGTTGGTGGGCAAGTACGATAGCTTTTCCAAAGCGCACATTTTAGAAAACGGCTCTGGCTCTGTTCAATTAAAAAATGATTTAAAAATTATCGGATAACTTAATAAAAAATCGGATGATTTAACTTCCCGTTTGTTTATTTTAATGTTTTTTTTTCTTTGTTATTAGTCAAATTTCTCGATTAGCTTTTTCTATTTGTCATTTTATCTTAGGACTTTTCTTAGGACTTGATTGTCCGAACTAAAACTTAACTTAAGCTTTTGTTTTACAACCTGTAATAAAATGAATGAAGAATATACCTAAAACTAAAGTATTTTTGAATTTTACGATCGAGAAAAATCATTTTAATTGTGAGTCTAAAGAATCCGAAGGAGAAAAAGTTGAAATGAACAAAAAGGGGAACTTAAATCATCCGTTTTTTAGACATCTTTTCATTTGACAGAGCCAAACGGCTTAATCAAGGGAAAACTCAATGAATTCATCAGTTATAATTGCCAGAAATATCCCTACATCGTCCCGCTTCTCAATCAACCGCACTCTTTCGCTTTCGACAGCTCGTCGGCCACAAAACTGCTAACACTCATTTTCGGAGCTTGCCTTTTCTGTCTACTTTATTTACTTTGTTAGTTTCGAAATATAATATAATAAAACCGGATTTTAGTATTACTCGCGACGATTTTTACTTCATTGAAATCCCAGGAGAAATTCATGAGCGAGAAAACGATGGCCATGCAAAAGAGCTGGCTTCGACGAGTGTATTTACAGGTTTGTCGTCTCAAAGGCATAGTTTTCAGTCTAGATTTGGAAAAATTTTGAATCACTACTTCAGATCATCATCCTATTCATTCATTTGGCCATTCCGGCTGGATGGTTTGGTGTCGTGTTGAGTCTGGAAGTTGTGCAACTCGTAGGTATGAAAGGATGATTCATTTGATAGATTTGGCTCAGGGCTGGGAGGATCTCAAAAAGGCGGTTCAAATTTTCAAAACGGATTTTCATATTCTCGATGAAGTTTTACCTACGTTAACAGTTTTCCTCAACCCCAGCAGTTTTTAGCTGCTAACGCAACTGAAAACTGATGCGGTTTGAGGTCTCACGTAAATTTATAATCCTTGTTTTTGTGCCAATCGATAATCATATTGTCTTCGTAGGCAGGATTCTTTTCTGGCCAACGCCGCTTTTCCTGCTGGGCAGTTGGAGCTGAACGCCGGGGATCCATTTATTTCATTTATCCAATTTGTTTCAAAATGATTCCTATAATTAGCTCATCCCAAATCTGGGAATCTTCAGGGGAACCGCGCGGAGGTCCAGGAACACTCTCCGCCCATGACCCAGATCAAAGATCTGTGGCCGGAGGCCATGGAGCCGTAAAAAGATTTTTGGGTTTCCATAGTTTATTCGAGAACTTTATTGTAGACAATGTTGCGCATGATGTTATTTGGACAGACCGACATCTCTTCCCTTTTATATATAGTAGAAAACTATCAAAATTTACTTTTCAACAGTTCAAATCCATTTTGAAAAGAAAAGCAGAACTAATTTTCTCTTTTACGACCTCTCTTTCCCCCACACCTTTGAAAGACGCGCGCTCTAACCACTCGACCATCTGCGCGCGGAGGGGAAGTTAGGCAACGTTGGGCGCGGCTAGTTTTGCGGTTTTTGAGTTTTTAAAAAATTGATTTGATGGCTTTTCTTGATTTTTTGGGGGCGAAATCAGCATCAAATTTCCTATCAAACAAAGAAAAACTGCATCTCGAAATTCGATCTGGGCGTCGAGAAAAGTGCCTGTGACAGACAGACAGACAGTCAGACAGACAGACAGATAGACAGATAGACAGATAGACAAACAGACAGACAGACAGATAGCAGACATACAGACAGACAGACAGACAGACAGACAGACAGCCAGACAGCCAGACAAACAGACAGACAGACGTCTCTTCTGATTTATATATAGTGGAGAATATTTTACAGATTACGCACCGTATTTCGTGATTCTCCTCGCCGAACAGGGCATCACCTCGACGATCTCTTATTTCACTTATAGCTCCTATCAAGAGCACACCCGAACCTTGATAAAAAGACGATTTTTGACTGAAAGTCGGTTTTTTCAAATGATTCCTGTACGATGACAAGTTCTAGAATATCACCAATCAGCTGGTCGACCCGTAACGCCAATGGAGAGAACCCAGTTATAACAGTCACTCAAAAATACCATTTTCAGAACAATAAATTTTTAAAACAAAGTGCAACTCTAAAAGTGGGCCTTTCAGCAAAGATTTGCACAAATTTTTAGATTCCAGCTGTTAATGTAACAACTCAAATCAAATATAAAAAGCATTTCTAGACTACTTTTTCTGAACCTTAATAAATAAAAGTTAGAAATTTTTTATTTTGAAATAAAAAGTTGTGTGACTGTAATAAATCAAAAAACATCGTGCAGCTCAAATCACAAAAAGTATAAACAATCAAAATGTTTATTGAAAAACTAAAGAGTTTCGATGATAAAAGGGCAAAAATTGAAGTCGATTTTTCGTCAAAAATCAAGAAATTTCCACTAATTTCCAAATTTCATAAGCAAAATGTTTAAAGTATTTTTAAATCTTGCTTTTCTATTCGATTTTTTGACCTTAACTCTTGGACAAGACAATGAAAAGATGTGAGTTTTAGTAGATCTTTTGATTTTCGATTCAATTCAATTCAATTCATTTCAGTTGTCGTGAAAAATGGACGCTCTTCAAAGCATCATCTGCCTGTTACAAGGTTTCTTTGTCATTTCCAAAAGCTAGAGATCAATTTTATTTTAGAAATTCCCTTCACACGAATGTTTCGATAGTGCTGAGGCAAATTGTGTTCATGAGGGCGGTCATCTTGTATCGTTTCACAGCCAAAAGGAGATGCAATTCATCACTGATCGATACAGTCAATGTGAGTTGCAAAATTTAGTTCACTCTTGCCGATAGTTCGACTGATAGATAATAGAGAATTTGACGCTAAAGTCGAATAATTAATGAAAATCTCATAAAATACACCAAAAACTAGATGAATCCAAGCTATCAATTATTTCTGAGTACTTGTAAGTCTTGTAAGTCAGGCTGCTGGTTTTTGTTTTTGGAAAGTTGAAATCAGCCACTAAATCAATTTTAGCATCGATCGATTGGATTCCATGTGAGTTTAGTGTTTAAAAATGAAATTTCTTTGCAGAAAGTAGGTAATACTTGGGAATGGACGGACAAAACTGAAGTGGACTATACTTTTTGGATGAATAGAGAACCAAAAGATCACGGGAATCAATTGCCGATTGCCGCTTTTGTAGCCATGAACTTAACCTATTTAAAGGCATAAGCTCGATTTTTAGACTTATCTATTCGACGAGAATAAATGGTGGACTGGGGAAAAGAATGAGACGAGCGGATACATTTGCAAATATCCCTTGAAATAAATTGTTTAAAAATCACATGGCTTTTCGTTTCTGTTTTCTGTTTAGATTTAATCGTTCAGTTGTTGTTAAGTGTACAGAAAAATGGGAAATTTTTGAGAATCCTCTCCAAACATCATCATCATCAGCATCAAATGTTTTGTATCGATCAGTTAAAGTGGTTTTGATTTGTTGCATTCTTTGATTAAAGAATCTGATTTCCTTTATCTGGGATCTTTCGACTTTGCACTTTATGCGATGAGAAATCATTTCTACTGATTTGATCAGCAAGAATGCCCGTGGATCGGTGCTCGGAATTCCAGATTGCAGAAACTCATGGACACACTCCCCAAATCGCATTTCCTGCTTTAAGCCATTAGGATATTCTCTCAACGATTGAGCAAATAAAGAGTAATCGTTTTCATCAAAGTTTTTCCAAGTAAACGAAACGATTGAGGGAAAACAAACTTTGAGCAAGGGCTCATCGCTTTTTCGATATTAATTCATTGACATAATCCAAATTTCATTGGACACCTTTGGAGTCATTTCTAGGCAAAAGCTGCTTATCTCACAAAGATATTTATGTGAAAGTTTAGGGAAAACTGAATTTGGAACCGAATCGATTGAAAGAAACCGAAAACGATGTTGAGATTGGAATTCGATATAGATTGTGCGTTCATGCTGAGTTTTTGACGTTAATCTCATTGGTTAGGCTAGCATGAGTCAGCCTAAGTAGCTTTTGCAAGCAAATCAGGCCAGAAATTAAGTTTAAGTTTATTAAGACCTGACTTACGGGTCCCACTATTAGGGCTGGTTGCAACATCCCTGGATATTTCATTCTTCGATTAGCTTGTATGTGATGTTCCCTTTACCACCAGTCCCCAAAAGCTAATAGCTTTTAATTTTTGATCAAATAATCGAGGTAAGGCTTGAAGCACTTTGCCTCGACTGACACCCTGTTGGATTTTATGAGTAATGTAAATACAAATCAGTTTATTCATGTGCCACCTCAGACATCAGCAAAATCCTTACTAATTATAAGAGAGAGTATGTCTGTGTATGTGTGTGTGTATGTCTGTCTGTTATGCGATTTTAGAAAAAACGGCTGAGCCGATAGGGCTAAAAGTTTGACATTATAAGTCGAACTTTTTACGTAGTTTCATAGAATCTAATAATATTTGATACATAGTTTCACCGTTTTTCCGATTTTCTTTTTTCATTTATAAATTTCAGTTATATTGTGAGCTCAATGAGCGAAACAGATCACGGAATACCAGAAAAAATCTACTTTCAGTGTTGAGCTTCTAAATTACTTAATTTTTATTTTTTCACAAAACTCATAATTTATTTTTTGTTGAGGAATTTTTAGGCTACAAAAGTAGAGAAAAATGAAGTGATTTGGCGAAATATTCACTAAGATATGCATCTTTAAAGTTGACCAAAAATAAACAGCCACATTTCATATTTCACCGCCCAATACATTAATAGGAATGAAAATTTCTTTATTTACAACTGAGCCATTCATCGAGAGCCCACTCCTTTTCCACGACTTCTTGTTTTCCATTGTAGAGGTAGACACGAGTTGGTGTGAAGAGAAAGTGCTTTGAGTCGTCGTCGGTGGCTCGAATCGAACCCTGTGACCTTTTGTTAAAGATTCAAATGAGATAAATATTCTCTTTTTCTTGCCACCAACTCAAAGTATCCTCAAAGACAGTTTCCCTTCACAAAAATTTCTCAAAGTAAGGAATCTAGTGATGGCTCAGGATTAAAATACCTATTAGAAAACAGTTATTTGAGAAATCTCTGCAAGTAGTTTGTTACTCACCCGAACGTTGGTCGGAAAATTGCTGTGAACGGGCATGAACGGACTCGATGAGCCGATTAACACACTATAAACAGCAACCTGTCGGTCTGTCTAAAAAAGATAATTTCAAATTTTGAGTTATTTTTTTGGAAGAAAGTCTTTGGAAATGGCCCGAATTTTGGACCGTTTTCCGATCCGAATATCTTCGTGGATATCCAAGAAATTCGGGACTTCTCACAAAAGAATGCATATGTCTTGACCATGTCTTGTCCATTAAGCATGTCTTGAAATCACCCACAAACCAAGATAAACGTGTTTTCCCACTGCTTCTTTGATCTGCTTTTGAAGCTCATTTTAGCGGGGAAAAACTATGTTCTCGTGGTCGTATTTAACCTTAGACTAAGTTTTCGAATATAGAGAATCCAATACAGAAACTTTAGATAAAATGCATTGAAAGAAAAATGAAGGTTTTTGAAAGAGAAATCTTTTTCGCAGATTTGCTCGAGATTTTATTATTACGAATTTTATTGGATTCTTGGTGTTTCGCCACGCGATACTTATCGAAACCCACATCGAGCAAGAAAGTGGCGCCGCTGTTCAGAGAGAAAGCCCCCGAAAGTGGACGCCAAAATGGAGACGAGATTGTGTACGCTTTGCGGTATCCGTGAAAAAGTCGCGAATAGTAGTACGCGTGAATGTCGCCTCCGTGCTAATGTAAACATAGATATGATAAGACTGGAACATTAAAAACAATTGTTTGTTCCGATTACCTCAAAAACAAGTAATTTTTTGGTGATATGATCGAGCACCACCGTGAAATTCACCTTTGGCCCATCCGGGAAGAGGGATGGGATCGGGATTTTCTGAAGGATTCAACAAGTTCAAGGCTAATAGATTTCTCCCTCTCCGGAAGCGAGCATTCTTCACAACTTATGTCCACTCTTTCAAAGAGCACTTTACCTTTAGGATTTTGCGTTTCGCGTTGATCTCGAACGTTTCATTTCCCATGAAGATGAAAGTTATACCAGCGTCTGAAATGCACAAGTTTTCAGGAAAGGTATAATAGGCAGGTATAACAGGAAAGGCATCAGTGAAACTTTATTCTAGCATAAACTCGCCTGCAAACACTGCATCAACTCTTGTCGGACAAGTCACGGTTTTGGTGCCATTCTCGGGATTGAGTGTGCCGGTAACGGTGACGGTGGCTCTTGTACGATTTCCTGGGATTGTTGAATAAGCGTCATAGTAACTTTGACCATGTTTCCCAAACAACTATAAACATCTTTGTTCGCACTACTTATAACATACCGTAGATCTTCTGGACGGCTTCAATATCCGCATGATGCAGTCGTGGCTCAATGTAGCGTCCGTAGCGATCGACTAAGTTGTCTGGCTAAAGCTTTTTGTTTGCAGTAAACATAGTTAAATACTTTGGTAATCTCGTGCATGATTGATTTCTTTTCGTTGAGATGATCCAATCCCAAATTGTGACCGATCTCGTGGATGGCTGTGTGGAAGAAGTCCGTGTTCCCCTTTCTAGAAATCCCTCTTTAATGTTTCTCATTTTCAAGAGCTTTTTATTTTATATAGTGCTTTAGTTTAATCGGGTTTCAAAGCACTCTCGTTAAAGGATAACCTGAGAAATTGTCTGTATTTTGTATTAGATTGGGAACTATGAAATGATCACGCCTTTGAAACAGCATTTCTCTCTCATTTCACCATAGATTCTTTTCAGCTTTTGAAATGATATAATAGAAACATAAAACACATTAATGTTAAAATTCGAACTCACTTCCGTGGTGAATTACGATTATCTTGACTGTTTTCCAAAAAAATGATCCTTTGTTCATTGAAGGCCTGGCATTTCAAGAGAAATCCGTTCAAAAACAAGCCGACTTTTGACCACAGATTTCTCTAAAATTCTAACAAAAGTCAACCCTAGTGATACTGCATTAAAAATCAAAAAACTAAAGGCCATTATCGTGGAATCCAGAAAAAAGCCGGATTTTACCGGCTGACCGTTCCTCGCTAATCCACCGCCAAAGTGAGTTCAAACTTTAACATTAATGTGTCTTATGTTTCTATTATATAATTTCAAAAGCTGAAAGGAATCTATGGTGAAATGAGAGAGGAATGCTATTTCAAACCCCCGATCATTCCATAGTTTCCAAGTTTCCGGTCTTGAGCCGACCTCTCCTTACTTCGGGTTAGCTCGCTAGCCAAGTCTTATCAGTATATGCCTTTGAATCTAGGATGTGGACTTGGCTTGGTTAGGGCTTGAACTTTTAACACGAGACTCGCCCACTCTATCTCTTCTCCATCCTTGTTTGTCCACCATTCATCATCGTCGAAATGAGTGTAAGCCGAGAGGGGCTCCTTCGCGGGGTGGGAAGCATGAGCCAAAACATTCCCTAGAAGATTCCCTTTAGCTCCTTTCATATTTTGTGCGCTTAGTTCCTTATAGACACCTATATTCTCGGGCAATCCAGAAATTGTGTTCTATAAAACTCTAAAAAGGTTCACCTCTGCCATCGAACGGATTCCCATCGCCATGAGAACGAACCTTGAAGCTGAACTGAAAAAAGCATTTTTTCTATTTATCCATTTTTTTCTATAAAACCTAGTGACAAATCTATATTAGGGTCATTGAACCCAGGAACATGAAATGCTCTAGTTCTGGGTTTACTGAACGTTCTCTGAACATCAAATATAATAAGGCTCTCTTAGCTCAATTACCTTCTCACCTTAATATCCCCATTTTCGTCGACCTCGCGGAAATTGAGAGGGATCACGTTAGACCAGAGTTGAAAGGCGTCACCGATTGCTTTTCTGGAAAGAACTTTTGAGTTTCTTGTGCTATTTGTTTCTTATTGTCGTTGTTGGGGGAAAAGATAGTTTACTTGATGGTTGCTCTAGGGAGATCATCCGTGGAATTTAGAATCGAGTAGGTCACTTCGGATCTATCCCATTTAGCGACGGTTCCTGCCAAATGATATCAAAAGATGGTGAGAAACAACGATAATTTAAACCTAGACGAGCGTTTTCTGAATTATTTTGTTTTTGTCTCCATGTTTGAATCTCCATCGTCTTTGTTGTGCAGAACTAGCTCTCGGGGTTCCTAGAGAGGTTTGGGGACTTTCTCAAGAAAAGCAGAGAATATTCATTTCCTAGAGAATATACATGGTTCCTAGAGATTCCTAGAGATTTATACCCCAGATGGTTTTTATGCTCGAATTGTTTGTGGGAACTTCTTTGTGGTACCTTTTAGCTGGCATCCCCAAACCCCAGGTTTTTCCCTGAGTAAAGCTCCTTATAGCTAGGTGGATCTGTTTCTTTTTTCTATAGAGTTCATTCTAACTTACCTCCTCTATCTATGATTAACCAGCTAAAGAAATAGATTTTCAGGCTCTTTTTAGCCATGTTCACCCACTTCCAAGTGCGTTGAGAGTCTTGGACGGATCGCGGGGGTCGGGATTTCCACACCGTGATCGACTCATCTCTGTCATTGTCTCAGCATCGAGTTGGCCCGTCTGTGGCAGGGCGGCTCGCTGTTGGAAGTACCCAAATGTTTGCAATCTTTACGTAAAGTTATGTAGCTGCAATTCAATTTTAAAAGTCTCAGGCAAAGTTTCCCTTATTAGGCGTTTCACTGAGCTAAAAGTGAGAAGTCTGGAAATGAGCTTTTGTTCGCTTAGAAATTGCAAGAAGCTGTTTTTCCAAAACAGACATAAAAGCACTCATTCAATAAAAGCACTCATTCAAGAAAAGCACTCATTCAAGAAAAGCACTCACTTGATCGCCTCTGTCACCTTCACTTTGGACTTGTTCCCATCGGGTGCCCCATAGCCGATTTCCATCCATCGTGGCAAATAGTCAAAGTCACGTAGGTAATCCTGGCATTTTGATTTATGTTCGGAATTTAATTGATTTGTCAAAGAAACCCGAGTTTATGGTAAATAAAATTCAGATTTTGAAGCTTTGGTCTACAGTTTTCCAAGGCGCTCGGCACCTCACCATTGCATTTTTCTCGGTGAACCTTCGTTTGACTCTCACTCTGGGGACGCGGCTCTCTTTCAAGTTTTTGGGAAAGGCTAAACATTTCATTTCTTTTCAATCTTTCACTTTTTCTTCTTTTCACTTACCTTTGATTTCGCCTATGGTCAGAGCAAATAACACCAGGAACACAAGTCCATAATACATCCTGAAAGCTAAACAAAATGTAGCTTCAAATATTTAGTGACCAAAGAGATTTTGACCTTTTGTAAATAAATAAAACCTTTTCTCTTTTCGAGATTAACTGTGCCGAACTTTGGCGAGTGTAAAAAATGGATTTCGAGACCAACTGTTCCCCCGTTTTACGTTTTCATCGAAAAAATAACCCTTTCAATGGTCAGAAAGAAGAGTTTAGTCCAAGGATCATCCAATGGGAATCTTTTAAAAAGCTCTAGCTTGCCTCACATTTTATGAAATAAATTTCAGATGAAAAGGCTGCTCTTTTTTCTCTGTTTCTTTATTGGAACTCTGGCTGTGATCCGGGAAAGACGCGAACAAGTAAGGGATTCTCATTTGAAAAGTTTGAACAAAGAAAAAGACGATGGAATAAGTTTGTAGTATTGTAGAAGGCCTATTCTGGTTGAACGCCAAGTTTTAACTTGAATTTTAGGGTCTCGGAACTGCAGTTGAAGCTGAGTCAGAACGCACTTCTGAGGTTTATCTCTTTAAAGTTCTTAAGTAACCCTTAAAACAGTATATTGACAAAGATGCCAAAGATAATTTCATTATTAGACTACCGATGATAGCCAAGTCCAAGAACAAGGGACCATGTTAGGCGAGAAGTTCCTGCAACTTTCGAATGACGTTTTGGCCCTCAAAAGGGTAAACCTTGCTAATTGATAACATTTTGTACCAAAAACCCTTTTTTCTAGGAATTCGCGTCACTTCAAGCCGATGTGAGGGGTGGAATACGGTTCAAAGGGGAGAAGGGCGACCGTGGTGGGTGCTAGAATCAAAAGAAAACTTTGTGCATTCTTTTCGAGTCAAAAACTCATAAAAATCTCTAGGTCCGAAGGGGGAACCCGGTCTGGACGGTATTCCCGGTCTAGAAGGAAACTGTGGTCCAAAAGGCGAACCTTGTGGTGAGTAAGTTTTGAGTAAAAGGTTTTGCAGAATTTCTTTGGCTCTAGGTTTTGGCTGCAGTCAAATGTCTCACTTTTTAGGCGTCGTAAAGAAATCAAAAAGTAAGTGCTAGTGAGAAAGGTCGAGTTTCTAAAGCGCTTTTTCCCCCGATACTTTTTACTATCGAGCATTCACTGTATTATGGGATAAATCGTGTGTTTTATGTTTGTATAAAAAGTTTCAAGAATCATTATAGACTGTAACCAAGTTAGAAGGCGGACACTCGTCAGCACGACCGTATCTCCATGATGAGGCTTCTCCTTTCTACTGGCTGTACTATAAATGAATGACTTCAAGTTTCTCATCGTGAAAACTTTGGTAACATGTACCAGTCCATTGGCTGTTTTTTGTAACAATTTCTCTAAATCAGGCTACATTTTGTTCAAGCCTTTTTTATTTGTTAAGCTTACAAAATCTTTGCACTGCTCACTTTCCCAAACCAATCACTTGGGGTCTTGTGAGAACTTTGATTTTATCACTTTTAATTTGTTTCATCTTTTCTCTAAAGAATCTCATCTCATAGTGGTCACTTTAGTTATATTATTTGCACTTTTCAGGTAAATAAAAGTCACCTTTTTATTATGTATAATATAAGCGTCAGATGATGACATTCAAATGTTTGACGCTTTGATAAATGGCTTTTAAAACGTTCACTTAAAACTTGAGATGGTGAAATTGGTTATCTTTTTCTTCTTGTTTATCGGGATTCTATCTGTCACTCGTGAAAAGCGGGAAGAAGTAAGTGCATTTCACTCGATATGTTTAGCTCCAGCATTTTATGATCCAAGTTTCTAGCTTAAATTTTTAGAGCAAGGATTCTCCGGGGAAACTAGAAGATCGCCAATCTGAGGTGTGTTTTTGCCTATACGCTATTTGCATTAAAACTTTTCCTCATTAGACCACCGATGATAGTGAAGGCCAAGAGACATTTGAGCAAAAGTTTCTTCAACTCTCATTGGTCGTTTTGACTCTCCGAAGGGTAAGCACAGGTTTTTACGAGGTTTTCTCTCAAAAAGAATATCAAACTTTCTAGTTATCCGAGAAGTCTTCCTTTAGGAAATCGCATCACTTCAGGCCGAGTTGCTATCCTCTCGACCTCGATCTAAGGGAGAAGGCGGAGATCGTGGTGGGTGACACAAATCAGTGCCGAAATGTATAACACAGTTTACGAACTATTCATAGTTTATTTTCTCTTTTAGCTGACTGTTAAACCGAAATTTGGTAAGCAAACTCAAAACACCTGGAATTTCCTTTATTCTAGTGACATTCAATTTAAAAAAGATGTTATATAATGAGAAAAAGACCTTTCAAAGATTTTAGGAGACCTGGGAAATGCGGGTAGGCCTGGCCTGGAAGGACTACATGGCCCGAAGGGAGAGCCTGGTGGTATAAGTGATTTTATTATAAAAAGTCGAATGACAAAAATCAATTCAATCAAATGGTTTTATTATAAAAGTTTACTTTAATGTTTGCACTTTTAGCCAAAATTAGCCTTCAATTAAACACGAAAAGACGATAAGAATGCAAGAAAGCTTTTCAGAATGCTGTTGATGGTGAGGAGTACGTCATCCGTGATTTGCCAGCAACTTTAAACTTATTTGTCATAATTTACAATAACAAACTCATGTTCATAACTTTAATGGAGTTTTAATGGAATTCACAATGATTTCAGTAATCAAATCTTTGTACTTTGTACAGTGATTAGAACGCACCAAAAGAATAAATCTTCGATACTTTTCCCCACAAAAGCCCTAATCTCTGCGTGGGACGGTGAAAACACGAGTGGAAAGGAGTTGATTTGCTTGAGTCTTTGAATCTTCTGTTATTTATGTCTTTTTGATATTCAGGTGCTTTTCCAGAAGAGAAAAAGAGAAAAAAGAGAAATCCCATTTTCATGTTTCATTGTGAATAAACTGGTTTTATTGATTCTTTTGGAAAAAGCAGAATACAGCAGCAGACAAAAGTCTAAGAACTTTTTTCTTTTGTCGATAACTTTTCAACTAAGCTACATATCAATACAAAATTGGGCTTGGAGATGTAAAATTAGTGGAATTTTTATCAAATAAAAGTAACCGGCTTTCAGCTCAAGATTTCTCGAGTTTTTATCGATTTTAACGACGACACCAGTTTAACAACTTTGTGATCTTGAAGCGTTCTACGCAACTTTAGCACTTTAGCATGTTTTCTTTTCTCTTGATTGTTTTCTACTCAATAATCAATTAATCCGAGCATTTTAAGCCAGAGCAAAGCGAAACAAGTGTCCGTGGCACATCGGGAATCGATTGTGAAATGGCGAAAGGAGGGAAAGAAGATCGAAGAGATTTCGGCTTCGATTCGTGTCAACAAAGGAACAATTTCTCGAATCTTGAGTCACTACGATCAAACCGGAGTTGTCATGGCAAAAACTCGAAAAGGTCGACCCAAAAAGATTACGCAACGAGGTGATAAGCGAATGTGGAACTGTCGAAGAAGCGCTCCTGCTCCATTGCTGTCGATATTCACAATGATTTGCCGCCTAGTGGTAAAGGAAAAATCAGTAAACGGAAAGTACAATGTCGTTTGAAGCTTCATGGCCTATTTGGACGACGCCCGGCGCACAAGCCCTTGATTTCCCAAAGAACCGCGAAGCTCGGGTCAAGTTTGCGCGAGAGCATATTGGCTGGACTAAGCAACAATGGGAAAGCCGTCTATTCACCGGCCAGAGCGAGTTTCATTTATTTCATTGAACACGTGTGGGAAAACGTCGAGAAGGTGTGTAATGGAAGAAAAACGGGCATTGCACAAAAACAAAAACATCAACTGTTTGGAAAGCGCAAAACATCAACTGTTTGGAAAGGCTGAGCCAGAGACTTCACCTAAGGTGTGTAATGGAAGAAAAACGGGCATTGCACAAAAACAAAAACATCAACTGTTTGGAAACGCAAAACATCAACTGTTTGGAAAAGCACTTGTGGGAAACCGTCAAGAAGGTGTGTAGCGGAATAGAAACGAGCAATGCACAAGAAATTTGATCTCTTGGTTAAAAAGTGGATGGAGATTCCTGTACCGACCGTCGATACACTTTTGGCCTCAATGAGTCGTCAATGTCAGGCCGTCATTGAGTCGAAGGATTTCCTGCTAAATATTGATCGCTTTGAGAATTGTTTTTCCTAAATCTTTAAGGTGATTTTTTAAAACTGGCTAATTTTTTATTAATTTCTAAAAGTTGTTAAACTGATGTCGCCAAATCGACTTATGTCGACTTATGTCGCCGTTAAAAGCAATCAAAGTTCTAAAAAATCTTTAACGGAAAGCAGGGTACTTTTACCTTTTATTCTATAGAAATTTCACTAATTTTACATCACGTAGTCAAATTTTTCACTCTTATGTAGCTTGGTTGAAAAGTTATCGACAAAAGAAAAAAGTTGTTAAACTTTTGTCCACTACTGTATATTAAGTGATCTTCGAAAATCCAAAGGTTAGAGATCAAAAGAAAGGCGGAAAAGCAACTGCTCATTTGGGGGAAATGAAGAGAGCCCAAAAAACAGTTGAGCTAGACAACTGACCCATAACTTACCCAATTCAGCGATTTGTTGAAAAACTTGTCAAACGCCCATTCGTACCAAGCCCTATTGTTTATCGAAGTAAAAAGTAGAAAGATATTTTATCTTGTTAGAAATTAACTTATTTACGTTTTTCTCCACGCCCCAGTAAGGACCTTTGGAGTTCCGTTAAGTAATTGAAAGAGTTCCAAGATTCGGGATGAGTGAGAAAAAATGTTAGAATCTTTTGCCATTATTGAGGATCTAGAAACAACAGTTTATTAAGTAATTAACACTAAGATAAGTTTAAAAGTTGCTCGCTTTGGCTTGATGAAAATGGGAAAACTTCTGTATCAAGTTCGCCTTTTCCCTAGGAGTTAAAGGGATTGTATAAAACTATAACTTAAGGTGTCTCTTGTCTCTTTGCCAATGCTACTATTTTTGCTTGTCTTTATTCTGTTGTCGGACAGCGGTCTTCTGGAAGCCGATGCTCACGATCAGGTCACGCGTGCCCGACGAACGGTGAGTACCATTTCTAACATGTTGACGACGACGTGAGCCACCGGTGGCTCACGACAAGGTGTCCACTTGGGACCACGCACATCTGCGCGAATTAAGGGTGGGAATGCGTTCACCGTTGGATTTTGATGGCAGAGGTGTTATTCGACGTGGAATTTTATGCTGATTCCAAATCTAAAAAGATTTTTGAAATCCGTGTGGCAGAAATTTTTAAAATTAAAATAAAAAATAGTGACAAAATCGACTTTTTTTATTAAAAGGCCAAAAGTGCCGTTCTTCGGAAGGTCAGATCTCGGCGATAACGGCAAATAACCAAAATTTGAGCAGAATCCTAATGCAGCAGGGTTGTATCTTCATTTTAAAACCAAAAAAAGATGAAAATTGGTCAATTCCGAAAAAACTAGTAGCATTTGGAATGGAAAATACACGTTTTGCGACTTTCTGCGCACTAAAACGTGGACAACCTACCGAATGTAGAGCTTAATCTGCAATAAATTCACCATAACCCGAAACAGAAGTAATTAACCATATAAAAAAATCTTGGTACCATTGTCTCTTTTTTGCTTTTAATATCGTTTTCTTTCTTTCTCTTTAAGATTGTTTTACTTTTTTTTTACCTCTCTCTTTAGATACCGAGAAAATCCAAGCGAAAACTGGCGGCTCAAAAGAGAGCAAAGGGAAAGCTGAAGTAACCAGAAAAAGATCGCAAAAATAAGGAAAAGATGCTCCGAGTGTGGAACGAAAAAAGTTCAAGAGAACGGTTCAAAATTACGCTCTCCAGAAGAAGATCACTCCTCTCTTACTTGCAAACAGAATATACCATTTTTATAAGTACTCAAATAAGAAGAATAGGATCTCATAGAAAGCAAAAACCAAATTTTCAAGGGATCCACATAGAGAATAAGAACGGACAACTGGACTTTTTTTGCTTCCGAGTATCGCATCAAAGAAAAGTTTCACGAACGAGATCGACTATGAAATTGTTGGAGGAATTGTAAAGGTCACACTTTAAGCAGTCAGCTTCAGATTGTCTCGAGTATCAGCCCTGAAAAACAGAGAACCGTATTGATGTGCGATAAAGGTATGGACACAACTAAAGTTACTCTAATGCTCCCCGAGAAAGCAGTGAAACCGAAGTCGTGCTATAATCATTTAATCTAAGCAGTTTAGCATGGATATGGCAACAATGAGAATCTTTAAAAAGTGAAGTGCCTCGTGAATGATTTATTTCCCTTATCCGCGGAAACTTTTCTCAGTGATGATTTGAACTTCCTAGTTTCGGCATACGGTTCATCGAATGTCGCATCTTTTTCATGCGTGTGGTGTGACTTTCGTGCAATCAAAACTCTACATTCGGTAGGTTGTCCAAGTTTTAGTGCGCAGAAAGTCGCAAAACGTGTATTTTCCATTCCAAATGCTACTAGTTTTTTCGGAATTGACCAATTTTCATGTTTTTGGTTTTAAAATGAAGATACAACCCTGATGCATTAGGATTCTGCTCAAATTTTGGTTATTTGCCGTTATCGCCGAGATCTGGCCTTCCGAAGAACGGCACTTTTGACCTTTCAATGAAAAAGTAGATTTTTTCACTATTTTTCGATTTTAAAAATTTCTGTCACACGGATTTCAAAAAACTTTTTAGATTTGGAATCAGCATAAAATTCCACGTTGAATAGCACCTCTGCCATCAAAATCCAAGTGTGAACGCATTTTCGTGCGGATGTGCGACGTGGGCCACCGATGGCTCATACTCGCTTCTTGAATACGGCCAGACCAATACATTTTTTTTTCCAAAATCAAAATCAAATTCCAAAATTTGAGAATATATTAATTTTTATGATGTTGAATCATAAAAATTATATTAGTAAAACCTCTTTTTAGCAAATCGAAAAACGCGCGCGGCCGGCTAGTCATCCACGGCAGTGTGCACATCGAGTACAAAAACGTCTTTCGGTAAATGAAAAAATCTGATTGCTAAAAGTTTTTACATGCCTTCTAGCCATGCAAAATCCCAAAACTTCATCAAAATCGGTCTTGTGCAAATAGAGGTATTTCGCTAAAAAGAAGTGAAAAAGAAAAGAAGTGGTAATGTCAATTTGAATACTTTTTTAAACCTAATTTGCATAAAATTTTTGTGTCTAACACAAGTTTTCCAGCGATTAATCTGATGTTTTTGGTGAGTTCACCTTTTTGAACAAGCTCTTAAAATGCGAATTCGCGCTTGAAATGCAAAATCTGGTTTTAAAAAAGTATGCAAATTTACATTACCAAGCCACTCCTTTTTAGCGAAATAACTTTTTTTTGCACAGGATAGTATTTGATGAAATTTTGGATTTTGTATGTCTGGAATGCATGTAAAAACTTGTAGCAATCAGATTTTTGATTTAGCGAAAAGACTTTTCTCCCTTATATCGTTATGGTGTGCCAAATCGCGTTTTTTCATACGAGCCACACAAAAAGAACGTGCTTCAACAGAGAATCAGCAAAATGCATGTGACAAAAAAATTGAAAATTTTTCTATTTAAAAGCTAAATTTTGAATCAGCATTCTCGAAACCCCCAATATGCTAATTTTCAGTCCCAAATCTAGTCTAGATCATTGTCGTCCGAAACGGTAGCCAAGCGAAAAATCGCTCACGTTGCCAAGGTGTTAAGTCAGGATATAATATGTACAAGAGTGCCCACAAAATGTGGTGTGACTTTTTGACCCAAACGAGTAAAATTTTTTTTGCTGCCATTTTATTATCAATGTATTAGGGGGAACTTTATCACTACAGTTAGGTAAGTCTAACTAGGGAAAGGCACGAAATTCCTGTGAGCTTTCGTTTCCGAACCACATCTTACCAAATCGAGTACGGAGATTCATAATCTAAAATCAAAATATGCCAAATAAGCTTGCCAACGCGTAAAAATGAAATTGAAATTTCGAAAATAAGCTTTAAAGGGCGCTTTTCAATCACAGAGATATGGGGATCGCTGGTCTAGTGGATATTGGAATGGCCTCTTCAATTCTTTAAAGCCTTTTAAAGCTTTTAAAATTTCAATTAAATTTTTACGCGTTTGCAAGGATATTTGGCATATTTTGATTTTAGATTATGAATCTCCATACTCGATTTAGTAAGATGTGGTTCGGAAACGAAAGCTCATGGGAATTTCGTGCCTTAGTAAGTTTGCTTTCACTCTTTAACCTGACGAGGGAACGTCAGCAGACTTAGCTGGTCAAATGAAATAAGACTTCGACCATTTGTCACTGAACTTTTAAGTTGAATCCGAATATGTTTTTAGTTTTTGCAACGGAGCACGGAATCGCGCGATATCTGGCATACAAGTTTTTGAGCTCTCTTTTAAAAGCGCGCTTTACTAAAACCATAAGAGTACAGGCACTAAAAACTAGAGTGCAGACAGAAGATCTTGTTTCAATAGACTTGTTCAATTTGTGAAAGACAAAATAACACCAAAAAATTTGAACATGGAATGCCTCTTTACGACGTGGATATCCAGCAATTCGCCATAAAAATAAACTACGAGGAGACTCATATTTCTAACTTTGTTGTGTCTTTGCGCTGGGTTCAAAATTTGAAGAAAAAACCGGGCATAACTTCGAGGTGTAATGTATCCAAAAATTTGTATTCTAGATATCTCGCGATTCCATGCTCCGTTGCAAACACTAAAAACATATTCGGATTAAGCTTAAAATTTTGAATCGAATGGTCTAGGCCGCATTTCATTTGGCCACCTGGATCTGTTGACTTTCCCTCGTGAGTATTGCTTTAAAAAAGACCAAATTTTAGCCGGATCTGAGACAACAAAGTGAAACGAGAGAACTTCCATTATCAGAGGAGACCGAGGACGATTTGCCCTCCCCCGACGACCTCACTTTTATCGGCGACATGGCCTTTCAGAAAGCAAAACATGGAACATATGGAGATATTCAACGAAGCATGGTTGCCGATGAAAACAGGTTTTTTTTAAAATAAAATATTTTGTAAAAACAAATACACTTTGAGGCTTTGGCCGAACGCACGTGTGCCATACTTTTTCCACTCATCGCTGAGAAGCGCTGAGAAAGTCGCAGTCCGAGCCGCGATGGCCGCCTTTCACGAGCAAACCTGCATTCGCTTTGTTGATTATGATCCAGAGAGACATGATAACTATGTTGCAATTATTGGAAAGAACAAAGGCTGCAATTCGATGCTTGGCATGCTTGGGGAGGGCTTGCAGATAATCAACCTTCAACCAGGAACTTTTTGCTCCGAGAGGGGGACGGTTATCCACGAGCTCATGCACACTCTCGGCTTCGTTCACGAACACCAACGGTAAACGAGAGTTATAAACTTTTTATCTGTTTGTGGTTTCAAATATTTTGCAAATTTTTTAAGATTTTATTTTCGTTTTTGAGCCACCAGTGAGGCTTACATTTTTTGATAGTTTTCCTGAGTTCTGAGAGTTTTCTGAGAACAAGAAAAAAGCGAAACTTTTAGATATGATCGGGACGAGTATGTTAAAGTGCTAGAGGATAATCTCATTGATGAGGAAGGAGTAAAGAACCAATTTGAAATAGTGAAGAGAGGCGAAACGAACGCAATGGGCGTGGGCTACGACTACGGCTCGATCATGCACTATGAAAATGGCGCCGGAGGGAAACGTCGTGCAAACGGCAAAAGCAGGCCAACTTTCGAAATTCTCAAGCCTTATAGTGGAGAGATCGGGCAGAGGGATGGCTTCAGTTTTGCGGACGCACAAAAGCTGAACCTGCTCTACAAGTGCACGGATTACGTGCCTCGACCAACGGCTCGTCCCATCGCCCCCGTCGCGCCCACAGAGGGGGGTATGTTCAAATGGGCTCTTAAAAAGCTTTTAAATAATGCTACAATATCTGGATATCTTTTTTCTTTTTACAATTACGCAAAAATTCACGTAGGTAAGCTTCCGGTTAGAATATCTTTTTAAAACTTTTTGTGTAATTTTTTTAGCAAGACAATGCGATTTATGCCCAACTTTGAGGTCAGTGAAAGTTGGGCAATTGAACCGTGTGCCATGTGGTGCGCGTTTGGAACACAAAATCGCGCGCTATCTGGCACACTGGCTCGTGCCATCGGTTCAGTTACCCAATTTTAATGAAAATCCCTTTTCTCAGCTATTTCACCAAAGATTTTTGTTCTGTTTTTAAGAAATAGGTAGATTAAAGTCTCCGCTATTAAATACTGAAATAGAAAGAAATGTCATGGTGGCTAACAGTTTCCAGACAAAATTGGGCATAGACCATTTTCAAAGTGCGCCTTTCTACTTGTTTTACTATAAAGCTCATCCAAAATTAGAATATAAGAAGTTCAATCTTTTCTGGACAATGGTAAAATAAAAGTTTGGTGACATGATAAGCAGTGATTCATTCGCATATGCACTCAACCTAATACATAGACAGGGTGGTCTAAAATTACCCGTGCACCAGAACTCTTTAACCGCGGCAACGATAAAAATTGCTATGTTAAACCCATAATTGTTATATTTGGTGTGAAAGCTACATGTTGTGCTTTTTAAATATGCTATCAAAAAGTTCTTTGCAAAAATCATTTGCTTTTGACCAGAGTCGGTTTATGCTCAGCCATTTTAGCACCCTTTTTGGGCCGAGGCTATTTTGACCAAACTTTCCAATTAAGTTTTATATTTCAACTAAACAAACTTCTTTGATGATTTTTATATCCACTAACAACTGCAATCCAACTGCAATCATGTCCTTGAGATCTCTGATGGTTTTTCGCAATAGACGATTTATGGATAGTTTTTCACTCCATTATGACTTACTTACTTAGGATTACTTAACTTTGCACATTGCGAATTCTTTAATCAAATATTGAGAATTTAGGGTAGGCTAATTACCGTCATTTTATTTTTGCAATAGGGTCATTTGCGCAACTCGCCATAACTTTCTTCTAAGTGGGCCAATCTTTATGATTTTGGTATTATTTTGTAGATCTTAACAAGTGCAACAAAATAACACGTAAATCATAAAGATTGGCTCACTTAAAAGAAAGATATGGCGAGTTACGCAAAGCCAAAGACTTTTTAAATCATAAAGATTGGCCATAAAGATAAGAAATTTATGGCAAGTTGGGTAAAAGACTCAGTTGCGCAAATGACCCTATTGCGCAAATAAAATGGCGGAAATTATCCTACCCGGAGAATTTTTGAAAAAAAAATTTAGTTAATGGAGCGATTAAGGAGAGGGGTGGAAAGAACAACAAGAGAATAGTTCTAGGTGCGGTCGGTTGTGCGAATGGCTGTTGCTGTCGATGCAATTGTGCCGGTTTCCTCTGTCACTGCAATTGTCCTTGCTTTTGCACACGTTTCTATCCAAACGACCACTACCACTGCAACTGTATGTGCAATCAGTTGACCTACATGCCTAACAACTACGATCAAAGCATCGTTCCCCATCTGAAGATGTGAGTCAACAATGGGTATTTGTAACTTAAGCTTAAGGACTTTCAAAAACATTCAAAAACAACCCGTAACAAAAAAATGCTCTATTTTATTATCAAATTCAATCTGAAACTACACCAATCTGCAATAAAAACATGTTGATGAGCTTTCCAAAAATTGCAATTTCAGAAACTACAACAGATGAAGTGAAGCGGAACTTGCAAAAAAACTTCTTTTGTTTTGTGCTATTTATGGAAATGTATCTTGTTTATCTTTTTTTCTCGTTAAAAGCTTTACTTTAAATTTTGCAAATTGACACTACCTAATACGCCGATTATCGTATAAGTAAAGTTACCGTAATCCTCGTCTAACTCCACCGCAAAGGCTCCACCGTCCTCCATCGGTATTTCCATAAGCCTAAATGCTAGAAACTAGGTGAGAAACATGAACAAACTGCCTTTATTAATCCAAAAACCAAAACTTTGACTTTTTGTGGTGATGATGGGTAATCATCTGGAAATTTTTGCTTTGTAGAAATTGCTTCCGGCCGTACAAGTTTGACAAAAGGTTATTTGTAATCCAAATTCTGAAACAAAAATCTTGAATATTTGCAAAAAAACGAGCATTGAATTCGTAAGTATTATTATATCCCTTGCGGGAGTACGAGAATTTTAAAGCGTTATGTATGTGTAGCAAAACTCAGTTCCAAGAAACCCACAATGGCTTAACCGACTCCGAGACCTAGGATGCTAGGATCCAAAAGAAGATGACGAGCCTCACCTGGTTGTTGATTGATGCAAAATACTTTATTCTCTTTATTCTTGATAACAATAAAATAGAACATAGACAAAAGGAGAATTGAAAAAGAGGAATGGTGAAAGAGGAACTCCGAAATTGGGAATGAATGGAATTGGAGTCCTTTGGATTGGCCTCCGCCCACTAAAAGCGAGTGGCCACTGATGGGGTGATATGATGAAACGATAAAGAAATACGGTACTTAAATGATGCGATAGTATTCAATAATTATTGAAATTAAAAAACATAAGCGAAGGTAAAAAGAAAAATCTTTTTTCAAATTCTCCAGATTAAAAGCTGAAACAAAAAAAGTGCTGGGTATTTATCTGCAGTTTCTTCACAACCTACAAAACTTTCTTCTGCTCAACCCCACAATCAGCGAGTTTAGTGCCTTATCCCAAAACAGCAAAGATTAGTTGCATAGGTAATTTACCAACACTGTGCCTGTACACACCATCACGTAACGTATACCCTGATTATGCCTACTTGTGTGGTGCAGCGGTAACGACCTTGCCCAATGGCTGGGTGGATAATAGCGATTGAAAAAACAGTCATCTCCCGGTTTCCACCCCAACTGTGCTACTCTAGTAAAACTGTTGTACTGTAATTGTTGCACTAACCACCACTACCATCACTACCGCGACTTCAAAAGAACATTGACAATTTAGCCTTTTGGCAAACAAAACCAGGAAGTTTTTCAACAAATCGCTGAATTGGTCAAGATATGGGTCAGTTGTCTGGCTATGCCCATTAGTCAACTGTTTTTTGGGTTCTCTTCTTTTCCCCCAAATGAGCAGTTGCCTTTCCGCCCTTCTTTTGATCTCTAACCTTTGCATTTTCGGAGATCACTTAATATACAGTAGTGGACAAAAGTTTAACAACTTTTTTCTTTTGTCGATAACTTTTCAACCAAGCTACATAACAGTTAAAAAAAATTTGACTACGTGATGTAAAATTAGTGAAATTTCTATAAAATAAAAGGTAAAAGTACCCTGCTTTCAGTCAAAGATTTTTTTAGAGCTTTGATTGCTTTTTACGACGACATAAGTTTAACAACTTTTAGAAATTAATAAAAAATTAGCCAGTTTTAAAAAATCACCTTAAAGATTTAGGAAAAACAATTCTCAAAGCGATCAATATTTAGCAGGAAATCCTTCGACTCAATGACGGCCTGACATTGACGACTCATTGAGGCCAAAAGTGTATCGACGGTCGGTACAGGAATCTCCATCCACTTTTTAACCAAGAGATCAAATTTCTTGTGCATTGCTCGTTTCTATTCCGCTACACACCTTCTTGACGGTTTCCCACAAGTGCTTTTCCAAACAGTTGATGTTTTGCGTTTCCAAACAGTTGATGTTTTTGTTTTTGTGCAATGCCCGTTTTTCTTCCATTACACACCTTAGGTGAAGTCTCTGGCTCAGCCTTTCCAAACAGTTGATGTTTTGCGCTTTCCAAACAGTTGATGTTTTTGTTTTTGTGCAATGCCCGTTTTTCTTCCATTACACACCTTAGGTGAAGTCTCTGGCTCAGCCTTTCCAAACAGTTGATGTTTTGCGCTTTCCAAACAGTTGATGTTTTTGTTTTTGTGCAATGCCCGTTTTTCTTCCATTACACACCTTCTCGACGGTTTCCCACACGTGTTCAATGAAATAAATGAAACTCGCTCTGGCCGGTGAATAGACGGCTTTCCCATTGTTGCTTAGTCCAGCCAATATGCTCTCGCGCAAACTTGACCCGAGCTTCGCGGTTCTTTGGGAAATCAAGGGCTTGTGCGCCGGGCGTCGTCCAAATAGGCCATGAAGCTTCAAACGACATTGTACTTTCCGTTTACTGATTTTTCCTTTACCACTAGGCGGCAAATCATTGTGAATATCGACAGCAATGGAGCAGGAGCGCTTCTTCGACAGTTCCACATTCGCTTATCACCTCGTTGCGTAATCTTTTTGGGTCGACCTTTTCGAGTTTTTGCCATGACAACTCCGGTTTGATCGTAGTGACTCAAGATTCGAGAAATTGTTCCTTTGTTGACACGAATCGAAGCCGAAATCTCTTCGATCTTCTTTCCCTCCTTTCGCCATTTCACAATCGATTCCCGATGTGCCACGGACACTTGTTTCGCTTTGCTCTGGCTTAAAATGCTCGGATTAATTGATTATTGAGTAGAAAACAATCAAGAGAAAAGAAAACATGCTAAAGTGCTAAAGTTGCGTAGAACGCTTCAAGATCACAAAGTTGTTAAACTGGTGTCGTCGTTAAAATCGATAAAAACTCGAGAAATCTTGAGCTGAAAGCCGGTTACTTTTATTTGATAAAAATTCCACTAATTTTACATCTCCGAGCCAAATTTTGCATTGATATGTAGCTTGGTTGAAAAGTTATCGACAAAAGAAAAAGTTCTTAGACTTTTGTCTGCTGCTGTATTCTGCTTTTTCCAAAAGAATCAATAAAACCAGTTTATTCACAGTGAAACATGAAAATGGGATTTCTCTTTTTTCTCTTTTTCTCTTCTGGAAAAGCACCTGAATATCAAAAAGACATAAATAACAGAAGATTCAAAGACTCAAGCAAATCAACTCATTTCCACTCGTGTTTTCATCGTGCCACTCAGAGATTAGGGCTTTTGTGGGGAAAAGTATCGAAGATTTATTCTTCTGGTGCGTTCTAATCACTGTACAAAGTACAAAGATTTTATCACTAAAATCATTGTGAATTCCATTAAAACTCCATTAAAGTTATGAACATGAGTTTGTTATTGTAAATTATGACAAATAAGTTTAAAGTTGCTGGCAAATCACGGATGACGTACTCCTCACCATCAACAGCATTCTGAAAAGCTTTCTTGCATTCTTATCGTCTTTTCGTGTTTAATTGAAGGCTAATTTTGGCTAAAAGTGCAAACATTAAAGTAAACTTTTATAATAAAACCATTTGATTGAATTGATTTTTGTCATTCGACTTTTTATAATAAAATCACTTATACCACCAGGCTCTCCCTTCGGGCCATGTAGTCCTTCCAGGCCAGGCCTACCCGCATTTCCCAGGTCTCCTAAAATCTTTGAAAGGTCTTTTTCTCATTATATAACATCTTTTTTAAATTGAATGTCACTAGAATAAAGGAAATTCCAGGTGTTTTGAGTTTGCTTACCAAATTTCGGTTTAACAGTCAGCTAAAAGAGAAAATAAACTATGAATAGTTCGTAAACTGTGTTATACATTTCGGCACTGATTTGTGTCACCCACCACGATCTCCGCCTTCTCCCTTAGATCGAGGTCGAGAGGATAGCAACTCGGCCTGAAGTGATGCGATTTCCTAAAGGAAGACTTCTCGGATAACTAGAAAGTTTGATATTCTTTTTGAGAGAAAACCTCGTAAAAACCTGTGCTTACCCTTCGGAGAGTCAAAACGTCCAATGAGAGTTGAAGAAACTTTTGCTCAAATGTCTCTTGGCCTTCACTATCATCGGTGGTCTAATGAGGAAAAGTTTTAATGCAAATAGCGTATAGGCAAAAACACACCTCAGATTGGCGATCTTCTAGTTTCCCCGGAGAATCCTTGCTCTAAAAATTTAAGCTAAAAACTTGGATCATAAAATGCTGGAGCTAAACATATCGAGTGAAATGCACTTACTTCTTCCCGCTTTTCACGATTGACAGATAGAATCCCGATAAACAAGAAGAAAAAGATAACCAATTTCACCATCTCAAGTTTTAAGTGAACGTTTTAAAAGCCATTTATCAAAGCGTCAAACATTTGAATGTCATCATCTGACGCTTATATTATACATAATAAAAAGGTGACTTTTATTTACCTGAAAAGTGCAAATAATATAACTAAAGTGACAACTATGAGATGAGATTCTTTAGAGAAAAGATGAAACAAATTAAAAGTGATAAAATCAAAGTTCTCACAAGACCCCAAGTGATTGGTTTGGGAAAGTGAGCAGTGCAAAGATTTTGTAAGCTTAACAAATAAAAAAGGCTTGAGCAAAATGTAGCCTGATTTAGAGAAATTGTTACAAAAAACAGCCGATGGACTGGTACATGTGACCAAAGTTTTCACGATGAGAAACTTGAAGTCATTCATTTATAGTACAGCCAGTAGAAAGGAGAAGCCTCATCATGGAGATACGGTCGTGCTGACGAGTGTCCGCCTTCTAACTTGGTTACAGTCTATAATGATTCTTGAAACTTTTTATACAAACATAAAACACACGATTTATCCCATAATACAGTGAATGCTCGATAGTAAAAAGTATCGGGGGAAAAAGCGCTTTAGAAACTCGACCTTTCTCACTAGCACTTACTTTTTGATTTCTTTACGACGCCTAAAAAGTGAGACATTTGACTGCAGCCAAAACCTAGAGCCAAAGAAATTCTGCAAAACCTTTTACTCAAAACTTACTCACCACAAGGTTCGCCTTTTGGACCACAGTTTCCTTCTAGACCGGGAATACCGTCCAGACCGGGTTCCCCCTTCGGACCTAGAGATTTTTATGAGTTTTTGACTCGAAAAGAATGCACAAAGTTTTCTTTTGATTCTAGCACCCACCACGGTCGCCCTTCTCCCCCTTTGAACCGTATTCCACCCCCTCACATCGGCTTGAAGTGACGCGAATTCCTAGAAAAAAGGGTTTTTGGTACAAAATGTTATCAATTAGCAAGGTTTACCCTTTTGAGGGCCAAAACGTCATTCGAAAGTTGCAGGAACTTCTCGCCTAACATGGTCCCTTGTTCTTGGACTTGGCTATCATCGGTAGTCTAATAATGAAATTATCTTTGGCATCTTTGTCAATATACTGTTTTAAGGGTTACTTAAGAACTTTAAAGAGATAAACCTCAGAAGTGCGTTCTGACTCAGCTTCAACTGCAGTTCCGAGACCCTAAAATTCAAGTTAAAACTTGGCGTTCAACCAGAATAGGCCTTCTACAATACTACAAACTTATTCCATCGTCTTTTTCTTTGTTCAAACTTTTCAAATGAGAATCCCTTACTTGTTCGCGTCTTTCCCGGATCACAGCCAGAGTTCCAATAAAGAAACAGAGAAAAAAGAGCAGCCTTTTCATCTGAAATTTATTTCATAAAATGTGAGGCAAGCTAGAGCTTTTTAAAAGATTCCCATTGGATGATCCTTGGACTAAACTCTTCTTTCTGACCATTGAAAGGGTTATTTTTTCGATGAAAACGTAAAACGGGGGAACAGTTGGTCTCGAAATCCATTTTTTACACTCGCCAAAGTTCGGCACAGTTAATCTCGAAAAGAGAAAAGGTTTTATTTATTTACAAAAGGTCAAAATCTCTTTGGTCACTAAATATTTGAAGCTACATTTTGTTTAGCTTTCAGGATGTATTATGGACTTGTGTTCCTGGTGTTATTTGCTCTGACCATAGGCGAAATCAAAGGTAAGTGAAAAGAAGAAAAAGTGAAAGATTGAAAAGAAATGAAATGTTTAGCCTTTCCCAAAAACTTGAAAGAGAGCCGCGTCCCCAGAGTGAGAGTCAAACGAAGGTTCACCGAGAAAAATGCAATGGTGAGGTGCCGAGCGCCTTGGAAAACTGTAGACCAAAGCTTCAAAATCTGAATTTTATTTACCATAAACTCGGGTTTCTTTGACAAATCAATTAAATTCCGAACATAAATCAAAATGCCAGGATTACCTACGTGACTTTGACTATTTGCCACGATGGATGGAAATCGGCTATGGGGCACCCGATGGGAACAAGTCCAAAGTGAAGGTGACAGAGGCGATCAAGTGAGTGCTTTTCTTGAATGAGTGCTTTTATTGAATGAGTGCTTTTATGTCTGTTTTGGAAAAACAGCTTCTTGCAATTTCTAAGCGAACAAAAGCTCATTTCCAGACTTCTCACTTTTAGCTCAGTGAAACGCCTAATAAGGGAAACTTTGCCTGAGACTTTTAAAATTGAATTGCAGCTACATAACTTTACGTAAAGATTGCAAACATTTGGGTACTTCCAACAGCGAGCCGCCCTGCCACAGACGGGCCAACTCGATGCTGAGACAATGAGAGAGATGAGTCGATCACGGTGTGGAAATCCCGACCCCCGCGATCCGTCCAAGACTCTCAACGCACTTGGAAGTGGGTGAACATGGCTAAAAAGAGCCTGAAAATCTATTTCTTTAGCTGGTTAATCATAGATAGAGGAGGTAAGTTAGAATGAACTCTATAGAAAAAAGAAACAGATCCACCTAGCTATAAGGAGCTTTACTCAGGGAAAAACCTGGGGTTTGGGGATGCCAGCTAAAAGGTACCACAAAGAAGTTCCCACAAACAATTCGAGCATAAAAACCATCTGGGGTATAAATCTCTAGGAATCTCTAGGAACCATGTATATTCTCTAGGAAATGAATATTCTCTGCTTTTCTTGAGAAAGTCCCCAAACCTCTCTAGGAACCCCAAGAGCTAGTTCTGCACAACAAAGACGATGGAGATTCAAACATGGAGACAAAAACAAAATAATTCAGAAAACGCTCGTCTAGGTTTAAATTATCGTTGTTTCTCACCATCTTTTGATATCATTTGGCAGGAACCGTCGCTAAATGGGATAGATCCGAAGTGACCTACTCGATTCTAAATTCCACGGATGATCTCCCTAGAGCAACCATCAAGTAAACTATCTTTTCCCCCAACAACGACAATAAGAAACAAATAGCACAAGAAACTCAAAAGTTCTTTCCAGAAAAGCAATCGGTGACGCCTTTCAACTCTGGTCTAACGTGATCCCTCTCAATTTCCGCGAGGTCGACGAAAATGGGGATATTAAGGTGAGAAGGTAATTGAGCTAAGAGAGCCTTATTATATTTGATGTTCAGAGAACGTTCAGTAAACCCAGAACTAGAGCATTTCATGTTCCTGGGTTCAATGACCCTAATATAGATTTGTCACTAGGTTTTATAGAAAAAAATGGATAAATAGAAAAATGCTTTTTTCAGTTCAGCTTCAAGGTTCGTTCTCATGGCGATGGGAATCCGTTCGATGGCAGAGGTGAACCTTTTTAGAGTTTTATAGAACACAATTTCTGGATTGCCCGAGAATATAGGTGTCTATAAGGAACTAAGCGCACAAAATATGAAAGGAGCTAAAGGGAATCTTCTAGGGAATGTTTTGGCTCATGCTTCCCACCCCGCGAAGGAGCCCCTCTCGGCTTACACTCATTTCGACGATGATGAATGGTGGACAAACAAGGATGGAGAAGAGATAGAGTGGGCGAGTCTCGTGTTAAAAGTTCAAGCCCTAACCAAGCCAAGTCCACATCCTAGATTCAAAGGCATATACTGATAAGACTTGGCTAGCGAGCTAACCCGAAGTAAGGAGAGGTCGGCTCAAGACCGGAAACTTGGAAACTATGGAATGATTGGGGGTTTGAAATAGCATTCCTCTCTCATTTCACCATAGATTCCTTTCAGCTTTTGAAATTATATAATAGAAACATAAGACACATTAATGTTAAAGTTTGAACTCACTTTGGCGGTGGATTAGCGAGGAACGGTCAGCCGGTAAAATCCGGCTTTTTTCTGGATTCCACGATAATGGCCTTTAGTTTTTTGATTTTTAATGCAGTATCACTAGGGTTGACTTTTGTTAGAATTTTAGAGAAATCTGTGGTCAAAAGTCGGCTTGTTTTTGAATGGATTTCTCTTGAAATGCCAGGCCTTCAATGAACAAAGGATCATTTTTTTGGAAAACAGTCAAGATAATCGTAATTCACCACGGAAGTGAGTTCGAATTTTAACATTAATGTGTTTTATGTTTCTATTATATCATTTCAAAAGCTGAAAAGAATCTATGGTGAAATGAGAGAGAAATGCTGTTTCAAAGGCGCGATCATTTCATAGTTCCCAATCTAATACAAAATACAGACAATTTCTCAGGTTATCCTTTAACGAGAGTGCTTTGAAACCCGATTAAACTAAAGCACTATATAAAATAAAAAGCTCTTGAAAATGAGAAACATTAAAGAGGGATTTCTAGAAAGGGGAACACGGACTTCTTCCACACAGCCATCCACGAGATCGGTCACAATTTGGGATTGGATCATCTCAACGAAAAGAAATCAATCATGCACGAGATTACCAAAGTATGCAACTATGTTTACTCCAAACAAAATGCTTTAGCCAGACAACTTAGTCGATCGCTACGGACGCTACATTGAGCCACGACTGCATCATGCGGATATTGAAGCCGTCCAGAAGATCTACGGTATGTTATAAGTAGTGCGAACAAAGATGTTTATAGTTGTTTGGGAAACATGGTCAAAGTTACTATGACGCTTATTCAACAATCCCAGGAAATCGTACAAGAGCCACCGTCACCGTTACCGGCACACTCAATCCCGAGAATGGCACCAAAACCGTGACTTGTCCGACAAGAGTTGATGCAGTGTTTGCAGGCGAGTTTATGCTAGAATAAAGTTTCACTGATGCCTTTCCTGTTATACCTGCCTATTATACCTTTCCTGAAAACTTGTGCATTTCAGACGCTGGTATAACTTTCATCTTCATGGGAAATGAAACGTTCGAGATCAACGCGAAACGCAAAATCCTAAAGGTAAAGTGCTCTTTGAAAGAGTGGACATAAGTTGTGAAGAATGCTCGCTTCCGGAGAGGAGAAATCTATTAGCCTTGAACTTGTTGAATCCTTCAGAAAATCCCGATCCCATCCCTCTTCCCGGATGGGCCAAAGGTGAATTTCACGGTGGTGCTCGATCATATCACCAAAAAATTACTTGTTTTTGAGGTAATCGGAACAAACAATTGTTTTTAATGTTCCAGTCTTATCATATCTATGTTTACATTAGCACGGAGGCGACATTCACGCGTACTACTATTCGCGACTTTTTCACGGATACCGCAAAGCGTACACAATCTCGTCTCCATTTTGGCGTCCACTTTCGGGGGCTTTCTCTCTGAACAGCGGCGCCACTTTCTTGCTCGATGTGGGTTTCGATAAGTATCGCGTGGCGAAACACCAAGAATCCAATAAAATTCGTAATAATAAAATCTCGAGCAAATCTGCGAAAAAGATTTCTCTTTCAAAAACCTTCATTTTTCTTTCAATGCATTTTATCTAAAGTTTCTGTATTGGATTCTCTATATTCGAAAACTTAGTCTAAGGTTAAATACGACCACGAGAACATAGTTTTTCCCCGCTAAAATGAGCTTCAAAAGCAGATCAAAGAAGCAGTGGGAAAACACGTTTATCTTGGTTTGTGGGTGATTTCAAGACATGCTTAATGGACAAGACATGGTCAAGACATATGCATTCTTTTGTGAGAAGTCCCGAATTTCTTGGATATCCGCGAAGATATTCGGATCGGAAATTATTCGGATCGGACCAAGATTCGGGCCATTTCCAAAGACTTTCTTCCAAGAAAGTAACTGAAAATTTGAAATTATCTTTTTTAGACAGACCGACAGGTTGCTGTTTATAGTGTGTTAATCGGCTCATCGAGTCCGTTCATGCCCGTTCACAGCAATTTTCCGACCAACGTTCGGGTGAGTAACAAACTACTTGCAGAGATTTCTCAAATAACTGTTTTCTAATAGGTATTTTAATCCTGAGCCATCACTAGATTCCTTACTTTGAGAAATTTTTGTGAAGGGAAACTGTCTTTGAGGATACTTTGAGTTGGTGGCAAGAAAAAGAGAATATTTATCTCATTTGAATCTTTAACAAAAGGTCACAGGGTTCGATTCGAGCCACCGACGACGACTCAAAGCACTTTCTCTTCACACCAACTCGTGTCTACCTCTACAATGGAAAACAAGAAGTCGTGGAAAAGGAGTGGGCTCTCGATGAATGGCTCAGTTGTAAATAAAGAAATTTTCATTCCTATTAATGTATTGGGCGGTGAAATATGAAATGTGGCTGTTTATTTTTGGTCAACTTTAAAGATGCATATCTTAGTGAATATTTCGCCAAATCACTTCATTTTTCTCTACTTTTGTAGCCTAAAAATTCCTCAACAAAAAATAAATTATGAGTTTTGTGAAAAAATAAAAATTAAGTAATTTAGAAGCTCAACACTGAAAGTAGATTTTTTCTGGTATTCCGTGATCTGTTTCGCTCATTGAGCTCACAATATAACTGAAATTTATAAATGAAAAAAGAAAATCGGAAAAACGGTGAAACTATGTATCAAATATTATTAGATTCTATGAAACTACGTAAAAAGTTCGACTTATAATGTCAAACTTTTAGCCCTATCGGCTCAGCCGTTTTTTCTAAAATCGCATAACAGACAGACATACACACACACATACACAGACATACTCTCTCTTATAATTAGTAAGGATTTTGCTGATGTCTGAGGTGGCACATGAATAAACTGATTTGTATTTACATTACTCATAAAATCCAACAGGGTGTCAGTCGAGGTAAAGTGCTTCAAGCCTTACCTCGATTATTTGATCAAAAATTAAAAGCTATTAGCTTTTGGGGACTGGTGGTAAAGGGAACATCACATACAAGCTAATCGAAGAATGAAATATCCAGGGATGTTGCAACCGGGCCCTATTAGTGAGACCTGTAAGTCAGGTCTTAATAAACTTAAACTTAATTTCTGGCCTGATTTGCTTGCAAAAGCTACGGCAATCGGCAATTGATTCCCGTGATCTTTTGGTTCTCCATTCATCCAAAAAGTATAGTCCACTTCAGTTTTGTCCGTCCATTCCCAAGTATTACCTACTTTCTGCAAAGAAATTTCATTTTTTAACACAAAACCCACATGGAATCCAATCCAAAGCCTATCGATCGATGCTAAAATTGATTTAGTGGCTGATTTCAACTTTCAAAAACTTTCAAATTCTCAACTCATTCTCAAACTCAAACTCATTCTCATTCTTTTCCCCAGTCCACCATTTATTCTCCTCGAATAGATAAGTCTAAAGATGAGGAATCCTGTGGATTCCACATTTTTCACCAACATCCAAACATTCAGTTCTCTATCTAGCCAAATTCTAGCCATTGTAGCCAGATTTTTAGCCCAATCGGCCAACTGGGAGCCGAAATTTGGCTCGATGTAAAAAATAAGGGGAACCCCAACTAACTGCGGTGGTTGACGGGATAACCCAAACTGTCTGCGGTGGTTGAATGGGGGGGGGTCATCCTCAGCTATCTGCGATCCCGAAGTAAACTGGGGGAAGAGTAGCTGTCGGAAAGTTATAAGAATCCTATTTAAAAGGTATAAGATTTCCCGGTCATGATAATTCAGATAAGATTTCAATCTCAAACTTTAGGTCAAAAGATAGATGGCGGAACGTTACTGCTGTTCAATTGAGTTCAACGGTGAAAAGTTGGTCTTGCAGTGGGTCAGGGGTGAGTAGATTCCAAGCGGTATTGTGTGCAAGCAAGTAAGGAAGGCTAAGGGTAGCAAGGTAGTCAGTAAGGAATGTTAGAGCAATGTAGGATTCAGAAAGGTTAAAAGAAAGGTAGATTCCCAATAGAGATTCGGATTAGAATGAGTTTGAAGCGACTTGGGTTCGGGTTTTGCATATGATAGCTTGGATCCGGTATGTTATAAATGCCTCTTTTTGAACCGCTTTCTCAAGCCAGATGAACTAACGCAATTAAAAGTATGTCTCAGCCCCGCATTACACTCCGTCGCGAACTGTCATCCGGAAAAAAGCCGCCATTAAGCGAATAAGCCGAAAGTGCTCGAATAAAATTGAGAAATTGAAACGCAAAAACGCCGGTGGTCATGTTTTTTCAACGAGAATCTATACTCTCTTTTAAAAACCCAAAATTTAAGTTCTGCCAGTCTGTCTGTTCGTCAATTTCTCGAAAATCATTTGTGGCTTTTTATTAACATGCTTTTATTACTTTACATTTATCACTGCTAACAGGTCGGCTTGGCGAACTCGATTTGACTTGTCGCCATCGTTGGACTGGTGGTATTGGGAACTGCAATTTCTGCATACCGATTCGATATGTGAAATCATATGTGCTCTTGTCATATCGGTTGAAGACAATCACCGGCATCACGTTTCCCTCAGAAACAATCTTTGTTCCAATATCTTCCTCACAACAATAGCTGAAAAGGAAGCGATCAAAATACGAGAGAAAAGAATAGTTTAGCTAGAGTTTAGAGCGAGACGATTGATCCGGGTTTTTCTTCTCTTTCATTCCATTACTTGACTACAGTAGTTCTACCAGCGCTTTTCTCTACTTAAAGCACAATGTGTTGTACCGTATTCCGGTGTATCGATGATCACTCATTGCTTTCACTTCGATTCCCTTATAAACGCAACCAGGAATGCAATCGATACCCGTCATCGTCTTCAGGATCACTTCAATTTTGTACCCCATCGGAGCCTGGAATCAAAGTTCGTGTTATTAGTGCTCAAGAGAGTTCAAAACAAACTCTGATTATGTAGTTACACTTTTCGAAAGTCTCATATTCGGTGTCAAACTCATTGTTTGCGCCGATTGTGATTGATTGCGTCTGGATTGGTCCCTTGGCTATCAATGCAGCCCCACAACCGCTTTCCTGGAATCTTCTGTATATGCTTTCGGTAGTAAAGTGCCGATCTGACTTTGGGATGAATTTTTGGAAAGCTTGTAACTTGCAGAACGTGAACCCCAAACTAGCAAGTCCAGGAACCAGCAAGTCCAGAAACCAGCAAGTCCCTAATAGGAACCAGTAAGTCACAGTCAGTAGAAATTTGTTTACAAATAACAAGTGTTTCGTAGCAGTATTTGATAGACGCCTTTGCTTTAACTGACCATATTAGAATATTTTAGAACTAGAAATAGATTCTTTCCTTAATCAAACGATCACTCTACATTTATTCTCCATTTTGCATACCCTCTCCGAACAGGTGATTCCACCCCATCCGCTTGGACAAATACAAACATTACAGTTCCTCGAATTGCGGAATCCCCCGTTCACACAAGTCGCTCCGTTAGGACATTTTGCTAAACCAAACGTCAATACAGGGTGCGTCATAACTACTCGTGATCACTCTGGAGGGTGTAACTCTGTCAGAAGATCTCGGCCCGGATTTACATGACGAAAATCATAAATAAGCAGGGTTTTGTTTGAGGATTTTTCCCGTAAACGATGATCGGAGGTTGAAAGTCATCTTTCTGATAAATTTGGTGTAAAAATTTCTCAATCGGCTTTCAATGTCACTTCAAAAACCCCAAAACTAGGTCGCAGGCCAGGCCAAGTGCAACTCCCAACTTTGAGGGCTTATTTAAAAAATTTTTGAGCTCCTATCGCTGAGATAATGGGCATCGCTGCAGGAGATTCCACTCAACATTTAGCTGTAAAATTTTTGTCGGAATCGGTTATCTCTGGACTGCGCTACACCATTCAGAGTGATTATGAGTAATCATGACGCATTTTCAATCGAATGGAGCACGAACCTTTGCATTTATAATATGAGTTCATCATCGAGATGTCGTAGAAGGAAATCAATGCTGATCCCATTGTGTTCTGATAGACGGCGCGCTGAAATTTTAAAGATAAGCTCAGGGGTATCTTTTTGAAACTTGCACAAAGTCGACAAACCTTGGCAAACATCGTCCTTCCATTATTTGAGGTAAATGCTAACTCATCGTATTGCATGATGCTACCGTAATCATATGGCATCAAATAGTTGTTGTTGTTCGACGTAGTCAGCTTAAAATATCATAAGATTTCTTAAAATATCTCTAAATAAACCGTTATACCTTGTTATAATTATAACGTTGATCAGGAATAACATTTCCCGAATTGACGGTGATTGCAGTGTCTCGGTCATATCTCGATTGTTCGTGAAAGAAGCCCAAAGCATGACCGATCTCGTGAGCGGCTATGTAGAACTGAAAAATTGATACCGAACTTCCTGTTTCCGAATTTCTGAATGCTGATTCCGAAAATGTGTTCCGTTTTTGCTAAATGAGAGTGTGCCAGGAGTTATCGGCGTCTAAAGTCTTGCTAGAACTCTAAAAATTTGGTCATTTGGGTCTTACTAGAGAGAGCCTACCACTTAAGGTGGATTTTAAGCCTATAGAATTGTACTCTGATAGAGTTTGACGCGGGGAACCCGAGTCCGTTTTTAGCTTTTCCCGGCCGACCTCTCAATCGCCAGATAGTTGGCAGCACCAGATAGGCTCAAAGCTTTTGCATTAGAATTTAGGATGCTTTCTAGCGGATCTAAACACTCCATCAGTGGTCTCAAGGTAACGCAACGGATTCATAGGCAAACGATTATGGTTCGGAGTCCGACCGGATTTTTTTTGGTCGAATTTAGTCGGCTCAGTCAGTTGAGCTTCCCTTGTTAGTTATGATTTTAGGATTACTAGTCAACCTCTAGTTATAACTCTCACATAACTCTATTTCAACTCACATATTCACATCCAGTACCCAAAGAGAGAACTTGAACTCCCCCCATCATGCCCACATCCGAGTAGCAACCGTCGCCGTCCTTGAAGAAACGAACACGATTTCTGAAAACGTATCTCGTAATTGATTCACACATGAAAAGTCCCACGGATTTGTTTGACTCTCCACAAAATCCACACATGTCGAATTTTGCCAAAATGCGATCGCCATTTGTGCCGCCTTTTTTGCCTTTGCACTTAGGGATGCATCGAAGTAATAATAAAAAGTGTTTCCCCAGAGATCGGTCGGGTATTTTGCAGAGTAGTGGGCCTAGAATCTAATGCTGTACAGAGTTCAGAGTCTATTTCAATACACAAAACTGTTTCCAAGAACAAATACGCAAAAGGCTGAGCTGATCGAAAGGCTTTAGCTCACTTCATCTATTGGGTTGGGGAGAATGAGTCGGCGCCGAAAATGAAAAAAATGTCTAAAACTTCTATTCGACTTCGTCAAATAATATGCGTTTGATATCATTAGAATGGTTAACTAATTCTCTACAAAATGACATTTAAAACAAAATTCAAACAGCGCCCCCGCTCAAGAAAAAGCCATTTTTTCACAAAAACTACAAACTGTAATCTAGAAAAAACCATTGGTGGGATCTTCCTGCAAATTTGGCAACGTAAGTAATTGAATGTGCTCTATCTTTTTTATATAAACACCAAAGAAGGTTTATGTGAAAGAAACTGTTCAAATGATGAGTCGGACTCTTTGCCATTTTAACCAGCTGCGTTTGGAAGTTCATAAACTCCACGAAAGAAAAGCTTTGTGGAATCTCTCAAAAGTGATTTTGTAGAGAAATAGTGGATCCTTTTGATGAAACCAAACGTATGTTTAAAGAAGGCTTTATGTGTGCAAAAAGTCCCTTTAAAGTTTGGCGCCGACTCATTCTCCCCAACCCAATATTATATTTAAAGTGACTAAGAAATCTGTCTGTTTTTCTGTATTCTCTTCCACACCCAGTGGGCCGTTTCAAATGATTTATAGTTAGTTTGGCTTCGAATTTCATGTGGTTGTGCAACATTTTTTTTTAATTTAAAAAAACCAAAAGTATCAAGGCGGGCGGGAGTCGAACCCGGCTCGTCTGGGCTAGAGACAAGTGCGCTCGCACTGCGCCCTGTATAAAGGAACATAGCCCAGTGATTAACGCGCGCGTCTTTCAAACGAGCGGAAGAGAGAGGTCGCGGGTTCATCTCCTCTCGAATTCTTTTGCTTTTTGCTCCAGAGCAGCAGCGAAGCTTTTGGTTAGTTCTATAATACCTGTCTCTTGTCTCTCCCCGTCTCCGAATCGTCGAGAAAATCACCAAGAATCACGTCTACTTGAGGACTGAAAACAACTTTGGAGATAACGACTGGACCTTCCCTTACTCTGAGAGAACCATATCACCACCGTAAAGACTATTTGCAATTCCAGCATTCGTGTTAATCTAAAAATTGAGAAGTAATACCCATTGTTTACATGTTACAGAAGAATCAAATCGAGTTTGTCAGCTGAAGCGTAGTTTTTTTGCAATTTTAAAACCTTGAAGTAATGGAGAAAAGGATTTGGATCCGAGGAGAAACCTTGGAGAAAAGGATTTTGCATTTTGGAGTGATTTTATAATGAAAATAATTTTATAATTTTATATTGTAATGCATTTTATAATGAAAAAATGAATAATTAGTTTAAGGTTTTCAAAAAAGTTTAATTTCCATCCAATGTAAGTATGTTAAAATTTAAAGTGTCCCCCTCTCCAGTTTTTGTACGTCTACATTGTTGTCACGTCAACATCAACCATTGTCGACGTACTCGAATAGGTCAACAATGATTGTAAAGAATTTCGTTCACTGGTTTTTCAGAAATTTTCACCAAAGCGTCAATAAACTGGTGAATTTCGTATTCTTTTGTCCAGCGTATTTTCATTTCTTTAAGTTTCTAGTTGAAGCTTTTAAAAACGGTTTCTTTCAGATGATGTAAAATCAAAATTTAGAATAATAATGATGTTTAAAGTTTCTTTGAGAAATGCTAGACTGAAAAAAATAACTTTTTGTCGATGGGTAATGAAAACTTTCGAACCTGGCTGAGGGAATCTCCCTCTTTGTGGTGGCGAGGCGATCGTTTGTGATTCTTCAGACCCTAGAATTCCCAATGAAACTCCAAAGAATCAACTCATTCAACTTTGATGATCTCCGCTAGATTCAATTTCTCTTCGGCTGTCGGTTCCTTTGTTGCCATTCTCTCGTTCATTCGATCCAATGCAGATACAAAACGATCGACATTTGTACGAGGATGAGCCTGAATAAGTCTCAATCAATTAAAAATCTGCCCGATTCCACACCTTCTTGAATTGTTCTATTTTGTCGGCGGTGAGCTTTCCCCATTGATGTTTTGCCCTCGATTCAACCAGACCGACTCCGAGCACAAAAAGAATGAACCCGAGTTTGAGAGACATCTAGAAAAGCTTCTTTTACGAGGGAAAAGAAACCGAATCCAGCTGGCCTATTGACTCGAGACCAAGTCCATTGAGTCGGCCTTATTGAGTCGACCTTATTGAGTCGTCCATGGGATCTCGAATCAGTTTTTAGTTTTTGCAGAACGCTTTGGAAATGCGAGAAATTTGGCATAGAAAATCACCTTGAATTTCGAGCTTCTTATGGGCTGTCACAGTTTTCCCTAACAAGTTCGCCGGTACTCTAGTGGATAGCCTGCTAGACCACCGAACGTATTACATTTTCTGCCCTCAAGTTCAAATCCCACTCTCAGCAAACTTTTTTTTGCCAAATATCTCGCATTTGCAAAGCGTTGCAAAAACTAAAAACTGATTCGAGATCCCCATGGTCGACTCTAAAAGATGGACTTGATCCCGAGTCAAGAGGCCAGCTTGATTCGGTGCTTTTCCCTTGTTACTCATTGTTTGGAAATCAAGTAGTGTAAACCCAAGCAAAAAAATCATTGAAGTTTAAGGAAGAACGATCACATTTAACCCAAGTCAACCATATAGCTCTCAAGAATTCCTCAAGAGAATTATGGAGAAAAAAAGTTGAACTGATTGAAAAACAAACTGAATTACCCTCGGCTCATTTGTTTACTTCTAAGTGATTAAATGATGATTAGTGAATCCGATAGTTAATACTTATTGAAGTGGAAAGGAGCAGATCCGGGTAGAGTGTTTTTCTCCAATCCTGTCTACACTTAAAGCTTACAACTTGAGTGAAGTGATTTAGGATAAGCTATGCAAGGGAAATTCGGATAGGCTAATTTATTTTGGTAGAGAATTAGAGAAGGCCGGGCAGAAGGGGTTAAAGAATAAGAATTGTCCTATTGCCCCATGGAGCTCAAGATTTAGCAAGTCTTAGAACTGATTTCAGTAAAATGTCAGTAAAATGTCTGAAGTCTCGGCTTTTCGATCCCATTATATTCATGCGTACTTGCCAAACTTTAGTTTTATTTTTCTTCCATCTTCCGAAACTTTCAGCCCAATTTCGTGTGTGCACAGTTGGTGATCTTTTCGATTAGATCGAAAAAGATTCAATATATTGACAGTTTTAAGGTTTTTTGATACGAAAGCCTTGCATAAAAAAATGGTACACAAATGTGCAAACAGTCGAAAAGCGATGTGTTCTGATCGACACGTTTCAGAGATCTCTCTATTTTGTTTATCCAAATCCAAAGCACATTGTCCAAAACACAAAATTCTTTATAACAAAAGATTTAATAACGAGTGATAAATATCAAAAATCCTATTATCAGAACGCTTTTTTTATACATTTTTTTACAATTTTTGGCATCCTGATGTCCCGCGATTGGATCACCTCTCGGCCTTTGCTTGATCCCTCGATGCCGGAAGAGAGCAGGGAGGCCGTGCGGGGTACTGAGGCAGAAGTTTAACTGTCGTAGCCGATGATACTCCGATGGCCGGGCTGGGGCGCTCGGAGGGGAACCCACAAAAGTAGGACCCACGACTATCCCGCGCGGACGTTGCTTAACTTGGCAGATCGGACGAGATAGACCGCAGGCCCTTCCTCTTCTAGGCCCGAAGAGGGCCTTCTAGACTTGCTAAATCTTGGAACTGATTTCAGTAAAATGTCTGTTTTCCGCTGTTTTCCGATCCCCTGATATTCATTCGTACTTGCCAACTCGACTGCAGATTCTTTTCAAAGTTTTAATTTAGTTTAGTTTAAGTTTTAATTTTTCTAGTTTTAATTTTTCTTCCATCTTCGGGAACTTTTCGCCCAATTTGGTGTGTGCACAGTTGGTGATCTTTTCGGTTAGATAGAAAAAGATTCAATATATTGACAGTTTTAAGGTTTTTTGATACGAAAGCCTTGCATACAAAAATGGTACACAAATGTGCAAACAGTCGAAAAGCGATGTGTTCTGATCTACACGTTTCAGAGATCTCTCTATTTTGTTTATCCAAATCCAAAGCACATTGTCCAAAACACAAAATTCTTTATAACAAAAGATTTAATAACGAGTGTTAAATATCAAAAATTCTATTATCAGAACGCTTTTTTTATTTGAATAAACAAGTTGAAACTAAAAACAAAGCCGCATCTTTTTTGATCTATCACTTTTGGCAACTTTTTCGTACTTAATTTTGGGGCTAGGCTAATTTCCGGAATTTAAAAGGCTCCAGTAATAGATACAGGGATGACGGTGTGTTGATTTGTCTTTTTAAAAAAGTGTTTCCCAAAATATTTGAGTATCGAGGTTTTCATGATGAGAGAAATGGTAAATCGTCGATATGGCTCAGTCAAAATGATCAACGAAATCGATCCCAGCACTCCGTGAGAGCACAAAAGACCGAAGAAGAAATTGTTCACGCCTAAAAATGAGCTTTACGAAAGTATTTGAACTTTTGAATAGGAGTTGAGAAGAATAGAAGTTACCCTGATAAATTACATCTGATTGGATCAAAATAACAATAGCATAGTAGATCCACGGAACGCCGAGAGAGGCTGTGGGAATGATGTGCTGAAAGTTTAATAGACAAGATGTTAAAAAAAAAATACCCAAAATTTCTAAACGCTGCCCAGTTGGACTTCAAAGAAAAGTTTTCGATGGCTAATTTCGTTTCCAATCCAAATAAATTCAATTTTATTGTATTGGGGCATTGGGTCAAAGGATATGCAATCATTAAAATATGCAATGGCTAAACTATGCAATAGCTAAACTATGCAATGGCTAAACTATGCAATAGCTAAACTATGCAATCGTTAAACTATGCAATGGCTAAACTATGCAATCGTTAAAATATGCAATAGCTAAACTATGCAATGGCTAAACTATGCAAACGTTAAAATATGCAATGGTTAATAACTCATCCACAATTTAGTGCAATGTCTTACCATCCAGAAAATAACTCATCCACAATTTAGTCGCAAAAAGGTCATTTTCAGATTCAAAGTGTTATAAGTTTCTTCAGAGTTGATCAAACCGTATGTTTTTGGTCTCAAAATGTGCGCAATACTCTTGGCCACAAAAATTATAGGCTAGACGTTTGTGATACCCCATCAGCACCGAGAATTAACCGTGAGACACTGCGTGAGAGCACAAAGAACTCGGACTAGCACTTTTACTGTATTGGGGCATTGGGTCAAAGGATATGCAATGGTTAAAGCATGCAAATTTTTTCACCAAAGCAGCTATCTATTAGGGTGGTGCAAAAGAAACTGCCGATTTGACGGTAAATTCAAAAAAAGATGGCATTCGATGGCGACATGATCACAATGGAATATTTTCGCAAGATTTCGAGCAGATTGGCATGGATCGGCCTGAATCACGTCCCTCAGCTTGGCTTCGTTCACGTCTTCTGGCCCCGAACCGTGCTCGTAATCTTCCAAAGCCTCGTCTCCCTCTCGGAATCGTTGAAACCAAGTCTGACACTGCCTGAGAGACAAACTGCTATCTCCGAAAGCAGCACAGAGAGAACGATGCGATTCGGCAGCAGACTTTCCAATTTTGAAGTTTCCAGAAACCGTAATGCTGCTCGTAGCACAAACTTTTGCTCGACCATGATCTAAATAAAAAATATAAACATTTTAAACAACAATAAAATAAAATAAACAACAACCAAAAAATTCAAATGTCGAAATAAATAGCAAACAAATATGCGAAAAAACATAAAAAAAATAATGCCGTTAGCATCGCTCGTTTCTGATAAATGAGAGCTGATACCCATCGGTAGTTTCTTTTGCACCACCCTAATAATAGAAACGCAACCTCTATTAGAAGTAATAACTATGGATATTCAGCTTAGGAGACCGAATATCCCGAGTTTTCAGCCTTTAAGGATATGTAAGGCGTTTCCTGAAAAAGAATTGCACTCTTTATCATTTGTCTTGCATCCAGCAGTGGCAATTTTAAATAAATGAGACAAAATGAGCGCTGATACCCATCGGCAGTTTCTTTTGCACCACCCTAATAGAAAAGCTCAGTTAACCTCAGGGTCAAAAGATATGCAATGGTTAAAGCATGCAAACTTTCTTCATCAAAGCAGTTATCTAATTTCTACTTGGTTAGAATTAAAAGCTAGAACTTCAAACCAAAAAACGGCCCCAACTTTTTTTGGTTTGTGATGAAATAATCGAGAAACTTTTTTTTAAACTTTCATGTTTTTTGAGTCAAAGTTCTATTGATTCAATATTTTTGTTAAACATCATGATTTCTTTCAAAAACTTTTATTATGTTATATAAAAGATATTGAGTTGGGAGAATGAAATGGTGGCAAACTTTAAAGAAACTTTTTACCCATAAAGCCCTCTTTAAATACACGTTTTCTTTTATCAAGAGGGTCCACTATTTCTCTATAAAATCACTTTTAAGAGATTCCGCAAAGCTTTTCTTTCGTCGAGTTTATCAACTCCCAAACACAGCTAGTCAAGATGGCAGAGTTTGACTCATCGTTTGAACAGTTTCTTCCACATAAACCTCCTTTGGTGTCTACATAAAAAAGATAGAGTACACTCAATTACATAAGTTGTTAAATTTTCCGGAACATCCCTCCAACCGTTCTCTTTAGATCACAGTTTATAGATTTTGTGAAAAAATTGTCGTTTTGTTGAGCTGAGGCGCTTTTTGAGTTCTCTTTTAAATGTCATTTTGTAACCTTAGTTAACCATTTTAGTTAAGTAGCATTTGTTGGAAGAGAATTTGTTAACTTTTCTACTCATATCAAACACGTATCATTTGACAAAGTCTGCTAGAAGTTTTTGAATATTCTTTTGATTTTCGGCGCCATTTCATTCTCCCCAACAACAATAATTGTAAGAAAAGGCCGCTTTTAAAGAATTTCCCGGTTACCGGGATATTCTTTAAAGGATCTGTGTTTAACCCATGTGTAGATCTGTGAATAGTAACTAATATCGATAATCAAACCGTTGCCCATTGCCTTTTCAAAGTTTGCCCATTGCCCATTGCCTGGACCGGGTACTACCGTAACCCTAATAG